TTACTATCTAGCCCACAGATACTAAACTGCTGCTTCAAGGCAGCCAAGCAAATCCCTATAAGCTTATGTAAGCACATACTTGGAAAAAATAAATAAATAGATAAATAATGAAAGCAGACATCCGTCAAACCCAGGTAAAAAGTAGAAAAGAAATGCTTAAAGTAAATGCATCGGCAAAATGCACGACGCGCGTTTCAGCGTTTACATACGCCTTTGTCAAGAGCTGGTTATAAAGCAGTCTCAGCACGCCCCCTGGATCGTCAGAAGCCAATCAGTGAATACTGATCGTCAGTGAGTTAATCAGCATCACTATCATTGTTAACTCCTCCGGTGCCATTGCACCCTTCAAATGAACTGCAACCATAATAATGTTATCTTTCATTCTGTAAAGGAGGAGAAAGTTATGTTAAGACATTTGTAACCCAATGGCTACATAAATATCGGTAAATGGATACACTTCATGTATCCAAATATGATCCATGAGCGCGCTTAATTGTTATTTTGGTATTTGACAGTTCTATTTGACTGTCAGATAGGAAGTGCAGGCCGCAAATGTACTATTTAGCACCCCAAAAAATTTGAATTGGTCAAACTGTGCTGTAACCACAGTATTTGATGGTTCTATTTGATGCTCAGATATGAAGTGCACACCCCAAATTTACTTTTTATCACCCAAAACAATTTGAATTTTTTAAAGTACGCTGTAAGCACAGTGTTTGACGGTTCTATTTGACTCTCAGATATGAAGAGCACGCCCCAAATGTACTATTTAGCAGATTAGCACCCAGAAAATGAGAATGTTTACAATTGCGCTGTAACCGCACTATTTGACTCAGATATGAAGTGCACCCCACTAATGTACTTTTTAGCACCCAAAAATTTTTAAGTTTTAAAACTGCAATGTGACAGCAGTATTTGACGCTTCTATTTGACTCTCAGATATGAAGTGCACCCCACTAATGCACTAGTTTGCAGAATTCTTTCCTAATCTGTCCCTATCAGCGGCAGCATCCTCTCCCTACACTAATAAGACCTCATGTGCGTGCAGCCTTTCAAAACGCGCCATTAAATCGCCGAACACCGAACTCCAACCCGAACATACAGAAATGTGTTCGGGTCCGGGGTCCAAAAAACGTAATGTTCGGTATGAACCCGAACTTTACAGTCCGGGTTCGCTCAACTCTATTAAGAACACACTAAATATCACGGTCTACACAGATTGTCTTCCATGCACTTTTAACCTGGAGTCTGCCACAAAGAGGAACAAGTCTACAAAAATGTATCTTGGCTTTCCTTGGGGTGCTAGTACCTACCACCTGTGTGCCTTTACGGGTCTCTGAACAGGAGCAGTTAAGTAGAGGAATTACTCTCGGCTGTGCTTTATTGGTTACTTTTTGGGACAATTTTTATTTTGCAGTTATGCAATAAATGCAAAGCTTTATTAAAAAGTTGCACTCTGAGTACATACTAATTTTGACACATTAAAATAATTTCCTCTGAGTTGCACAGATCATCTTCTTCCACTATATTCCATTGAGCAATCTAGCCTTGTCGCCAATAGTGAAAAAGGGAGGTACAGTTCCCCCCAGGCCTTTTGTGTAAGGCTGCCTATTGAACCGTGTGCAGAATAGTCAGATTTCAGTGATATACAGTGCCTTAGCAGCACATCCCATTCAAATTATATTACCCAAGACAGAGATATAGGAGAGGGACCTGGGATATCCTGAGGAGGCTACTGATTGGTCCAAAATTGAGTGATATACACTACAACCATTTGAGTTACTCATAAGAGCAAGCATTCAAAATACTTTACCGGTGGTACTTAACTCCTGTTAAACTTAAAAATGCACAAGCATCGCTAGCACCAATGTTAAAAAACAAAACTGCAGGGAACTGGCAAATTCTGTTTAGGCACTAAATCAAAGGCCTTCTGGCTCCCTGTAGTCTATTCTTTCCCAGTTGTTGGTGAAGGTATTCCCACTCAATCAATAGGCACTCTTGCTTTTGAAAGGTTACATCCAATCACCAGGTCAGAAAATAAACTGGTATCCCAAAATTGCTCTCTCTGCCCATAGGGCTATGGGTGAACACTGGGCCGACAGTCAAATCACTTCTCTTGCAACGGTTATTTGAAAAACTAAAGAAGCTTTAGATATGGATAGATTTACCACTCAGTTACACGATACACCTACACCTTTTCACAAAGTTTGGGATCCATGAAAGAATGAATGTAATTGCATTAGCTTGCTACTCATGGGACAATACCCTCACACAGCACTACCTTAGCGCTGGACACTTTATCCCCACTGAATTCCTCCCTCTCTGCTTCAAACCTTTCTTTCCCAGAGCATGGATTCTGAAATGGCATCTAGACTCCTCTCCTTTCTATTTCCTTCTCTCTCTCCTCAATGCTGTTCTCTCTTTTTCTGTGAATAGAATTCATTCCCTTACTGACCCTTCCACCTTTTATCCTTTACCTCTACCCTTTGTCGGACCAATTTCCATGAGATCGGGTATCCCCAAATATTGGCACAAAAGGACAGATTGGGTATCGAAGGCATAACCACCTTCCCTTGTTTTTCTTCTAAATTTAGGTTACAGAGACCTCACAGTTTTCCCCTCCCCAATGTACCCTGTTCTTTTCCCCAGGTTTATGGTATTCCACATGACATTCAATACATGGGTTGAGCATCCATTTCTGGGTTGTACTACACATTGGTTATCCACATGTGGATCCTATGTTATTCTGCTATTATGAACAGTACTGCCCAGGTTTCCATGCAAGTATTGTATACTGTTCAATTTGGTGACTGAACATTTTGCGCCACCCACGTCTTCACTACAAGCAGGTTGAGGCAAGTGGAATAACCTACAAAAAATGTTCAAATCTGCCACCGGACTGAAGTCCATGAAATCCCTGCATCCAATTACCTTAATCAAAAAGCAACTGCACGGGAGGAGGGCGGGTGGGGGGAAGAGGCGGAGCCTGAAGCACAGATGTTGCCTATCTAAAAAGTCCGGCAACATCGGGGGCATCCTGCACCAATTCTGGCCACATACCCTGCCATTGCACCCAGGGCATCCCGCTGACACCGCTGATGCCATTTTTTCTGACGCAGTACTAAAAGTCGATGTGCAAGCATTAACAGCACGCACTTAGACGACAGAACGAAATGGGGGTCTGAAACAGGGCCTACAAGTACTGGGGGAGAAGGTAAAACACCTACAACTCCACACAAGCAGCCCTGTCCAGACAAGTCAACCTACTAGACAACAGGGGGAGATGCAAAAACGTCAAAATCAGAGGGGTGCAGGAATCAGTGCCGCTGGAAGAATTACCGCACTTCATCAGATGCCTAGTGGCTGTACTACTACCAGCAAGACAAGCCAAAACTTTCCTATTTGACGGAATTTACAGAATAGCTAAATCCCCGCAAGCACCTAACGCAGCTCTGCGAGACATCATACTGCGGTGCCAATTGATGTCAGACAAATTGGGGCTCCTGCCAGTGCTACAAGGAAAGAATCCTTTTGAATTCGAGGAATGCCGACTCCTTTTTTCAGGACTTAACCCCTTAAGGACACATGACGTGTGACATGTTATAATTCCCTTTTATTCCAGAAGTTTGGTCCTAAAGGGGTTAAGCAGGGCCACACTTCTCTGGCGCAAAAACATGCAACCACTCACTAAACCACTCCAAGCAGGCATTGCCTACAGGTGGTCGACCCCAGGGACCCTCTGGATTACCAAAAGAGGACAAGCAATACAAGGCCACAGATCCCTCAGAGGACCCAGCACTAATGGTGGCACTGGGACTCCCAAACCTAGAGGCGATCTCAACGACACAGCCAAGCCACCAACCTTGGAATGCGGACATCGCAATGGTCAGCGCACCCAGAACACACAGAGGCACCAAGACCTGAACTAATGCTCATGACCTATGGCCTTTAATAAGTTAATTTGTCTATTATGTCATGCAAACGTTTGTTATATTATCTACTTTTAGTTAAACATTATGCTTCAACAACCAAGCAACAATCCACAAGACGAAAAAGGAGTCTATTGGGGCTACACCACCCAGCTCCGGTGACATCCCCTAATGCAGGGGTTAAAGGGTACTAACAGCAAGAGAGCTCTATCACCTCAATTAGCATGGAGCCTTAAGTAATATCTGCCACCACTAGAACTGTGCCCTACTGGCGCCGCTCAATCTTCCCACACTCCTACCCACCTAGACACACAGTCGACATACTTACAAATCCACCTCGTGACTATACATAGCTGTCACCACTACTACAACATAGCCCTAGGCCCACAGTGCAGTACAACAACAGGCGACAGCCACGCAGCTACAATTGTGTACCAAGACTGTTGTAGTTCAAGTTTAATCAAGGGGCTCCTCGGCAGAATGCCACAACACACCACAATCCAAACACAGCCCATGTCTTGGGCGCCATGTGGCACACCATACACCAAGAGCCTGAAGAGAAAAGACCGGGGCTTGACTATCATAGCCAGAAATCAAAGCAAATACCACACGCCTCACCCACCTTACGGCTCCAAGATAACTGCACTGACTTCCATAGACTGGCATCTTATACACCCACAGTTCTACTTGTTTCTTTCCTCGTTACAACATACCAGTCCAATATAATAAATGTGTGAGAACCATACCGTGTACCTACTGTGAACTGTGAAATGTTTTCAAATGGCGTGTATATACTGTTGTGGTATTACATGTATGACTGTCTTTTCATTGCATGAAAAATAAAGCTTTTTTTTTTTTTTTTAAACTTCACTTTTTTGTGTTAATGTTCTCTAAGACATACTTGAAAATGAAAGAATTCTCCAAGTTTTCTTCCTGTTTAAACATTTTATATAAACAAGTATGTGAGAAAATAAATCAAATAGTGACAATCTGAAAGCTGTTAAATATGTAGTGCTTGTGTTATTGCCTGTAGTGTCCCCACAAGTAATAACACAAGCACTACAACTGACCCTTTTGATGACAAATAAAAAACACAGAATGTGAGCAACTTTATTTTAACAAACCATTTTATTGAATAATTGTGTGGTTCTCCCAGAATAGAAATACTCCATTCTTTGTATCACAGCCCAAAAAAAATATACATTATAAATTTACTTAATAAACCCTCCCCAGAAATGCCCACTTAGCTAGTAGTTATATTTTTTATTATTTTTTTTTTTTTTGTCTTTGTAACTTTTTCTCATTTGCTGAAAGCTCTAAACTGCAGTTTTAATAAGAAAATATATGTGGAAGTTAAACAGAAAATATACACATGGAAAGGTAACAGATGTATATGTGACTTCCGTGCACTGTGACTAAAAGGTCAGCGTCAGAGTTTTACCCAAGCCTGCACGTAGCTCTGAACTTGACCCAGCATGATCTCCCATTTGACCATTAAAAAGAATAAAAAGAAAAATAATAAGTATAGTCTATATTATTGGTCAACCCTTCTGATGCCAAAAGAACCTGAAGTTTGCATCTTGCCGTGCAGCACAGAATTGGTTTAAAGGGAAGTACCTCCCAGAAAATCACATGTATTGGAAGGCAGAGAGAGTTTTTAAAAGGCAATGGGTAGAATATAAATGCATATACATTAAAACGAACAAAACAGACGTGGCAGAAAAGACATAGGTCTGTCCGGGCTGTAATTCCACCTGTGACCATTAGGATATAACTTTCGCTTCTGGTAAAAATGCTTCCCAATACTTAACCAGCTGGAAGAAAAAAAAGAAAATATTGACATGTAAATTGCGGATCACAAAGTGTGCCTCTGTATTTTTCACCTCCACGGCTCAATCGCCCACCTCCAATACTACAAGTTTAGAAGAGAGCCCCAGATTATCAACCCCATCCCCCATGCCACATTGACAAAAAGCAAACCGACAAATTGGCTGTAAGATCACAACAGGGCTGAAAAAATAAACCTGCAGCTCCACTATTTTAGCTTGAAGATAAATAAACACAGAAATTTAAGTTTATTCTACAGATCCATATAGTTTACAACAGGGGTGATCAAAATGCTTTTCCCAGCTTTAATGTGAAAGGCAGGGAGTAGCCCACTTATACAAGGCCCGGTTTAAACATTTGTCTTTGAAAGGGGTTTTGCCCAGTTAAAACGATAACATACAATGTAACATAGGCAGCTCACCTTGTGCTGTGCGTTCAGGAGTGTTTCCAGATATTTAACTATGTGACTTTTAAAATCCTTTGATTTCTCTTTCTAGGAAAAGTAGAAGAAAAAAAAAAAAATAAAAAATAAAAATAAACCATTCACAAAAAAAAAAGCAAATCAGTAATTTATATATACGGTGATGGGATTATAATTAATGCCAGATACCCGCTGGATAATACAGATGTAAACCTGCCACCATTTCTCGAGAGGGGGTTATACTGACTCTGAGATTACTTAACTCCTGCATGGTGTATTCTTTTGATGCACAAAGTGATGTCACCCAGCACATCGTATGCTATTCAAAATTACAAGCAGGTCCTCCATTACACAGTATACTGTTGGAGTTTAGAGGGATTTTTATTTTTACAGTTGCACTCAATGACTGACCTTGGTCTGTTTTTTGCCATTATCTATTTTGTGTGTTTAGGATGTGTTCACTAAATTACTGTTTGAGTCTGTGTTCACAAAATATTCTATTATATTTTGTGTCAGCAGTGCTTCCCTGCTCATATTTGTGAGGTATTTGAGAGGACATTTATTGGACAGAATATAATCTAATTTTTTTTACTGTTTTACAAATGCATTAGAAACACATTTTGTAACTTACACCCAGTTTCAGTAGGTAGAGTTAGAACTGTTGCTGTTGATTCACTAAATATTATAGGATACAAGTAAAAGACACATTCATATCCCAAAGTTTGTACACCAGAAAACTCCTAAGTCAGGACAAGCTGCTAAAGGATCTTGGAGGTTTCTGTAAAGTGTTAATAATTTGTGATATTTTCAGTAAAATTTTACACACATAAAATAGTAGAGACAGGGAGGTACCCCCGAGCTCTGATAAAGGGAATATACATCAGATGAACAGCAGCAGATAAGAGTAGAGAAAATACCCATGCAGGAAAAATAGAGTTATAAACACACATCGTCAAAGACTTGATTTTACAAGCAGACAAAATGGTTTTATTCATTTCTTGGACACATAATATGGAATTACATGTAAACTCCAATGGCTGCACAAGAGAGTAGAGTTTTAAGTTGCTATAGGCTTAGCTCATCCTACCAATCCTGCCCTTAAACATTTGATCTCTATGAGCCAAGTCACATGTCAATGCCATCAGGTAGCATTTATATATTGTACTTTTAAAATACCGATTTATTGTTATTATAAAATAAATTAAGGAGTTAAACGGTAACATGCTGGGTGTTGCTGGGGAAACTAGAGATTCTGATTGGCTACTGTGACTTTTTAAAAAATATATACCTTACATATTTGTTTTGAATTGGTTATGGTGCAAGGACCCAGAAACATTGCCTGTTCCAGGATCGTTAAGATTTCACTCTGTGCTAAACAGGCGATGTGTAAACAGATAGCGGTCACAGTATGGTGCCTATCTATTTACAAAGAAGCTCCTCTCGTCCAATGTAACAAGTGGAACTGTTCTTATAAATGACTCCTGCTGTGCAGCTTCATTACAGTAGTCCTGGGCTCTGCCGATCACAGCCCTGAATTATGAAAAGTTTCAGAAGTGTTATTAAAATGGAGATCTGACAAAGAAAGAGGATGCTTAGTGAGTTATACTTCATGTTCTGGTCTTTGTGGTACTATACTGTACTGGAAATAGTGTATAATTTGTCAAATTTTAGAATTTAAATTCCTCTTTTGTTAGTAACAGGTCTGAGTCTCATTGCTCATGTTCTGACATAGGTGAGTCCATGTGTGTGAACTGACAACCACATGCTGGAATAAGTTGCAGGTCTACGATATAAAAAAAACAAAAAAACAAAAAAAACAACCTATTTTAAAGAGACTGTCTACATAACAAAACGGACACCATAGGTTTAATACATTATACAGAGGAGCACATTCTAATTAATAAAATAAAAAAGAAGAAACAGATAAATAAATAAAAACAAATTGCCTCTTAGTTCAAGGCTCAGTGGATCAGTCAGCAGTTGCAGGCATCTCTTTAAAGAGTTACTCCAAGCCTCATAACATGCTGTGATGGTTATGATGTGAGGACTACAGCATCCCTGTTCCACTGTAATGTGCAAACCGTTACCTGGTTCCCTGCTGAACCAAGCCGCCTTGCTTTTGTGTTGACATGTATGCAGTTTCTGCAGAGCCGATCCTGTAACCGTTTATTGGCTTCTCTCAGCCAATAAATAATATTCTGTGCATATAAATATATACAGAACAGACATTAGCCAGCCCAGAACTTTTGTTCCAGGTTGGCTAATGGTGACCTTATGACATCGGAAATGCATATAAACCGATAACAGCCATATTGCAGCTGTTATTTTTTAGACAATAGAGACACTGTAGGCACCCAGACCACTTCAACTAATTAAAGTAGTCTAGGTGCTGTGACCTTTTGCACTAACTGCTGCAATGTAAAACACTGCAGCTCTAAGTCTGCCCTCTGTGGCTGTCTATCAGACAGCCACTACCGGACTTCCGGAATCCAGACAGACATTTGGTCCGTAATCTGACGCTGGACGTCCTCGCGGACCTCGAACGTCAAATCTTCCTCATAGAAAAGCACTGAATAATGCTTTCCAATGGGGAGGTCAAATGTGCACGCAGCCATTGCTGTGCATTAGATCTCCCTCGCCAGCTTACATCGACGGGGGAGGAGCCTGGCAGAACCAACAGTGTACAATTTATAATGATCTTTGCCATTCTGCTTTCACAAAACTCATGTGACTTCCACAGGCAAACATTCTATTCTATGAATTATTCACCAACATGTGAATTTTTAGGAATTCTAAATTAATTTTAAATGTAAGGCCACAAAATCCAAATGGTGAAAGTTCCTCAAAGCAGCCGAGCTTTCAGTTCTGATATTGTGGAGTGACATTTAAAAATTAATTTTAAATTTATGACATTTCACACTTCAGAAAATAACCCTTTGTGTGTGTGTTTTCTACTTGTATGTTACTTTAATATATACATTCTGTATATGTGCCAGTAATAGGCCTGACTCTCAGAATGTTGCTCATTAAGCACCTAGAGTTCAAGCCATAAATCAGACGTGCCAGTCTGAACAAGAAAATACTATCAGGAATTATGCCAGCAGAGTTTTAATTGAATAAAAGACAGAAACAAATGAAACATGACCTGTTTTGGTAAGAAAGATCGCCTTATTTACAGTGACATTCAGGTACTAACCTCAAACCGTGCCACCTCCTTTCGTACAGTTGTGGAAATCCTTTCAAAATCCCTCTCATACTGCGTCACTCTGGATTCCCACTAATAGGACACAAAGCAATGGGGGAGGGATAAGGTGGGAGACCGTGAATAACACCTAGTAAAAACCTTCCATTCAGCAAACAAATAATGCAGCAAAATGACAGTTTTTGTGATAACTGATTGTGTTGATCATAGTAATATGTAACCCAGGAAGACTGGTGGGAGCCCTGGAGTGGAGAATTCTTCCCCCATAGAAGGCAGTCTGTGGATTTTTGATACCAAAGCAGGCATGTCACCATGGCGACCAAAATTAAAAATTATAAAAGGTCAGATCTCACAAAACGTCTATTGCCTCACACTAAAGCCACCATATACTTTTTATCTTTCATAGTAACCTTAAGCCTTCATCCTGTTCCCTAATCCCTCACACTTACTGATTTTCCTATTTTCAATAATCACTCAATGGTATTGGATTAATTTGAGGGGAGGCTTTCACTACAACTTTACTCTGGAAGAGGAAGAACTGCCCCAAATCATCCAGTGCCAAATTTACAAACTGCTTGGTATAGGGAAAGCATTTACATAGTATTTTAATTGTCCACAAAACTCCTAATAATTACCAAACTCAAGTTATTAACATCTCCAACAATTAATCTATAATTCTACCTTACATACAGCTTATATATGATTTACCACAACCCCCTAAATATTTATTCTGTTAACCAAATGCTACAAAGTAATACATTGCCCATAAACCCACTCTAAACTGAATCTTGCTCAAACTCATAATGCCTGCTCGCACACACCTCTTATTATTCTAATATATTTTGCTTGGTCATACCTCCATCATTCTACCATTCCTGCTTGGTCATACCTCCATCATTCTACCATTACTGCTTGGCCATACCTCCATCATTCTACCATTACTGCTTGGCCATACCTCCATCATTCTACCATTACTGCTTGGTCATACCTCCATCATTCTACCATTACTGCTTGGTCATACCTCCATCATTCTACCATTACTGCTTGGTCATACCTCCATCATTCTACCATTACTGCTTGGTCACACCTCCATCATTCTACCATTTCTGCTCACCCAAACCTCTACCATTACTGCTTGGCCATATCTCTGCCATTCTACCATTCCTGTTTGGCCATACCTCTACCATTTTACCATTTCGGCTCACGCGCACCTCTTAGCATTCTACCATTTCAGCTTGGTAATACCTCTATCATTCTACCATTCCTGTTCGCCCCACCTATTATTTTGCCATTCCTGTGCACTCACAAACCTATCATTCTATCATGACCATTACCTCTGAAATTTCGTCCTTTGCCTGCTGCAGCTTGTCTGGTTTGTTAGCCCACAGCAGCCTCGCTTCAGTCTCTCTTTTCTTCTGTAGATTGGCCTGGCCATCCTGCCACTTCTGCCATATTTTCATGCGTTGGTCAAATACTCCCTGTAATAATACAAACACAGTAGTCATATGGCATGTAACCGATTTACTGCCAATAGAGCTTCCAGAGAAGCAGAGAATGCTTGTAAACCATAGTTTCTATTTCGAAGCAAATGAAAACATTACAATATAAGATGATTGGTTGTAAGGATACATTAATTTAATATAGGAAGATCATTACAAATTCCAAGTTCATTATTTGCCTATAAGGATTCTGGTGGGCAAAAAAAAAAGCATAAAACAGAAAATAAGTGTAATAAAGATTAGTCTGTGGGAAAAAAATGTGTAAAATATGAATGTTCCATCTTCTTCACAAAAAAGCCACCGAAATGGTAAATATAACCCCCAAAAGAAAACACAAATACAGACATGGTAAAAAGTAATATCATGCAAGAACGGATTCAGTATTCACTTTAGTCTCAGAAATTTGCCTTTTTGACAGCACACACCAGATGTTGGCAGGTGAGCTTACACTTTACTTGACATTGGTTTTGTTTATACATTTTTGCTGATGATAAAGCCATTGCAGCCCAATAGCAGCGGGAGATTGATCACAGGACAACATTCTGTGTGTTTGTGGGTACTTATATTAGTGTATACATTTATAATCCTAGAATGCAAAATATGTTGACTCCGGGTTAAAGGAGTTCTAATGAGGATCTTTCCCACACAAAGCAAACGCTATTTTTCATGATGTATATATTCAGTTAAGCCTTTTAATTTGGTCCACCTATAGCTCTGATCATTAGTGCAATTACCACCAGCCAATCATGTGGCAGAAAATAATGAAATTATGATCAAAATGGTCAGCTGATGTTAAAACCAAACATTAGAATGGGGAAGAAATGTCTATCAGACCTTGACCATGGAATTTGGTGCCAGGACTCGTAGTTTTAGGGTCTGAGAAACTGCAGATTTCCTCGGATTATCGGTGATATCTGAAGCTTACGAAGAATAGTGTAAAATACAAAAACAGCAGAACCCCAGTTCTATCTGTGAAACAGCCATGTTATTTAGAGAGGCCAGAGAAGAATGAGTAAGTAAATATCATAAGATATGTTAAAAAGTGTTTCAAGCATGGGAAAGAGGCAGTGTCACCAAAGCGATGTGCCTGCTTGTTCCAGCAATTTCCATGGTGATTGCCCCACTTATTACTTTATTAAATTATTTCTGAACAGAACACTTTTTACAAATAACCCTCAAAGTGTCACTTCCAAAGCAGTGAATTCAGTTATAATACCATCTAAGCATGTTTTTGCATGCCACTGCCCGATTTTGTTGCTGAATGTGTTCCCCGCTTACAGCCACAGTCTACTAACCTTCTAATGGTTAGTTCAGGCAGGATAACACAGCATGTCACAAAGTAAAGTCATCGCATGCAAGTTCCACAAACATTACAATGAGATCAGTGTACTCATCAGATCTCAATCAAACAGAGCACCTTTGGGATAGGGTGGAAAGTGATATTTGCAGCATGTAAAGAGCGGACAACGCTATCATGTTACCATGGTTACTGGTACCTTGTTGTATTCATGTTATGAGGACGTCAGACTGTTCTAAAGCATCCTACGCAGTATTATAATAAAGGGGGAATAGAGCTTACTTCGGTAAGGTGTGCTTAGAGTTGCAGTGAGATTTGGAAATTGTTGCAGTTTCAGGATACTAAGTGAAGGGACAAAGTGTCAGGAAGGGTCATCCTTGCCCCATAACAAAAACATAACAAGGGCTAGGGTGGCCCTGTGTGCCTAAACAGCATTGGTGTTCAAAGACCGGATTTAGACAGGGATGTGCATTCACAACATGCCTATTTATTCTGGATCTAAAAATATTGTTCAGGTAAAAAACAATGCAATGGCTAAAAGTGGCACTCGGCCTATGGTCGGTGCTTCCAACAAATACCCCATCTGTTTTCAACCCACTACTACAACTCATCTCGGCCTCGAAGAACCGTACAGCACCCATAGAGGAAGTTAAACTACTGTTCATTGCAATTCATAGTTTTCATGTCTGGGAAACAACCTCACAAAATCAATTTCCATGTTCAGTCATGCAAGAGATGGGAAGCCAGTGAGAAAAAGGAAAAGGCTGGACTAACTACACTGAAATTATCAGCTTAGGAGGAAAAGGATTTCGAAAGGTAAAACAATACAAAACCCAAAACACTTGCTTCATTGTTCTGAGCTGGTGCAGGTCAGGGACAGTGAAATTCTATCCGAAATAGAATTAGGAGAAGCTAACTGGAACAGTTTTTATACATTATTCTACCAACTAAACAACTAATTAAAGCATCTATTGGTAATCCAAACCACAAATTAGAAATGTAAGAGCTTACATCATTGTATGGACAAAACAGTGAGAATATTTTACTCATGATTTATTTTTGCAGGTTTGCAACTTACTAAATAAATAACTAAATAAAACCCAAACAAAACTGAACTTTCAAGATAGGAGAAAACTTGCAGGATTGTTAAAACCAAGCCGAAGTCACCAACATGTTTAAATGCTGAAATTTGAGGATGGATTGATTCCAGATAAGCTATTTTCAAACAAACGTGAACCCCACAGAGTGGATGTTTGTGCTTTGAAAGAAAAAAAAAAAAAAGGACACAAATTATAGTTACGTAGTAATTAAAAGACAGGAAATTAATCACAATGGTATTGAGCTTAATAAATACTCAGTCCAATAAAAGAGTCCAGAATTCAACTGATAGTCCCAAATAGTTGAAGATTACATTGGAATCCACATAGCGTATTAGATCATAAGGACGGTATTTATAGCATAAGTAACCTAGACCCTGCTTGCGAGGACAACACAGGGTTAATAGTACTTATGACTTAATATACTTTTATGAATAAAAGATGAAGTAATAGTCCAGGTATATAAACCAGAGCAAATAAGTACAAGGAACTAATTGCTCAAAAGCTTGAAAGCTTGAATTAGTGATATTATCACAGTTCTTTGAAGAGTAGTAACTTGAAAAAAGGGGTTGATTGATAAATCAGTGAATTTATTATGGTACTAAATAATAATACGGCGAGGACTGAGAGGAGGAACAGCAAGTGGAAATCCGGTCACGAGCACTCCTGCTGATCAATCCGGACCCGGCATCTGTATCTTCTTGTGAAACTGCAGCTCACCCCTGGATGTGAGGTCGGAGGTGAAGCAGACAGTAACTCAAACGCCATCCTCTCAGGCTACTAAGATACAGAAGAGGATAACTACAAAGACAATCCATATCCATCCGGGTCTGGACTGCAGGTTTTATCGTTATTTTTTACATGGTTTCTAATAAACTACCTACCTACCTCAGTTTCTTATCATTTTTTATATTTGAATGTATTATTTAGTACCATAAATTCACTGTTTTATCAATCAACCCCTTTTTTCAAGTGACTACTCTTCAAAGAACTGTGATATCACTAATTCAAGCTTTCAAGCAATTCGTTCCTTGTACTTATTTGCTCTGGTTTAAATATCTGGACTATTACTTCATCTTTTATCCATAAAAGTATATTAAGTCATAATTACTATTAACCCTGCATTGTTCTCGCAAGCAGGGTCTAGGTTACTTATGATCGAATACGCTATGTGGATTCCAATGTAGTCTTCAACTATTTGGGATTATCAGCTGAATTATGGACTCTTTTATTGGACTGAATATTTATTAAGATCAATAACTTTGATTTATTTAAGCGATTTCCTGTCTTTTATTCCACCACTAATTTCTTTCTTTAAGATTATACCTATCTCTAGATACATATTTATCTACTTCTACTGATTTAGCTCCTGGATACTTACACTCTATGGTGCATTCTTTCAACTATTTTTATAGGACTGGGTGAAATCCTTTTTTCCAGTTTCAGAGCTAATAGATTTATTGTTCTTATTCTCTCTAAACCTTCCGCTGTGTTCACTTTTGTGGATACCGGAATTCTGTACATAGTAATTAAGGTTGGGGGAGTGGGGACGATGACTCCAATCTATCGAGTTCAAATTAAATTAAAATACTGATGACTAAAATGCTGTAGACAGTACACAGTTTTTCCACAGCAGTGGCCATCTAGTTATTAAGATTATTAGTATGGTAAGATTGGAGAAAAGAAAAAGAAAACACAAAGGAAAAGGTCACGGTCGATACTACGTACAAGTCATACAGATTGTTCTTTTTCTCCCACCACAAGCTCTTTTAATGTTCCATTTAGAACGTATAACTGTTTGCCAGCCATTTCTAAATTTGCATACACTGACAATTATATAGATTCATCATGGATAATTAACCTCTTAAATTAAGTTACACTCAAGGAACCCAGACCACTTTGTCTCAATGAAGTGGTCCGGGTGCCGTGCTCCTGGCACTTTATTCCCAAAATGTAAATTATTGCCATTTTCGAGATACATTGCGAGACTAAACACACCTCTAGTGGCTGTTACACTGACAGCCACTAGATGGCACTTCCGCTATGAGAACATAGATTTGGTTTATGATGTTCGTTTGTATGCATTGTTTGAGGACGTTGAACGTTTAATCAATGCTTCTCATAGAGCAGTACTACAAAAAAGAGTGCTAAGAAACTAAGGATCCAACTTGCCAGGCAGAGAGATCAGGACTGTCTAAGGGATTAACCCTGATGTTTATTAACCAAAAATAAATAAAAGTGTGGGCTAATTCCTTGCCTGTCCAACCTGGTAATAACAAGATCCCTAAATTTTAAAGGAAGGACAGAAAATAAAAGGTGGTACTACATACAGTGCCATAGAATGTATTGTCCTGTCTAAACATAGCAAGTTACTAAATAGCAGTGTGTGTAAATGGTAAACAAGTGTTAAAAGCAAGGCGGAGCCCCCTCATCTTTAATCCCCTATTGCAGAAAAAAAAAAAAGTTTTAAAACACACATCCTAAGAGAAAGATATGGTACACACAGGTAGGGTATTCAGGGAGTATGTAGACATGTATAATGCACACTAGTATACATACAGCTATATAAGGGACTTAAATTCCTATACTGGCACTATAAAATAGTGTGCTGCACCCCTCAGCTGTGAGTGATTTAACACTGACCGCCTACACGCCAGCCCTCTAGCCTTGTAAATCGACCCAAGAGGAGAGTATACAGAGAAGGTTACATTCGTGAAAAGTGCAAGATGTCTGAGGCATATAGAGCAATGTATAGTTGTCATAGACAAGCACTGGATTCAATACTTTCTCTATGACAAAGAAATATCAGATTAGTAGAAGTCGAATTGAGAGAAAACGAAACAGGAGGCAGAGCAGGCGGCTGCATGGACCGAATCTCGGCACTGGAAAAAAGGTGAGTAAAGGGGTTATTTATTATACTTATCCCAGCTTTGTATTCCTGGCACTGTAGTATCCATTTAAGCACCCCCGTACTCTGTTACTACATGCAAAGAAACTGATACACACATAGCTAATATATAATAAGTGGGATAGGCATAAGGCTATCCTAGCTATAGGATAGGGCCAGGGACTAGTGAAAGTGTTTGGAGGATTGGGCAGACTAGATGGGCCGAATGGTTCTTATATGCCGCCACATTCTATGTTTCTAATGTACTCAGTGACTGACATCTTCTTTAGTATAAATATGGGAAATCATTTACAAGAATGAGAAATAATTCAAAGCTACGCACGAATAGAAGCATTAGTAACAATATACAATCTTAAGGTTCCTAAAGGCGGCCAAGGTTCACAAGACCAGTTGTGCCCTTTCCAAAACAGAACTCACCCTGACAGCAGAAAGTAGGCGGATGTAATCAGCCAGCAGCTCAGCCAGCAGGAAGAAGTCACTGTTGGCTTGCTCCTGATGGAGTTGTTCTATCTTCTCCTCCACTTCGGCAAGCTGGGAAAGGGCTCTCGATAGGGCAGTGTTATCCTCAGAGCTGCCAAGCATGGCGAGACTCTTCGAGAACTGGGCAGTGTTCAGAGCCAATTCTGCAATTAAAAAGTGGACACTGGAATGTTTTCTAAACTTCAACCGTTTTTAATTTAAAATAGAGTTAATGCTGCTTTTTACTGCTGTGAATAATTTAAGTACAATGCACAGTGTTCTAGAAGTTCTGACTGCAGTCATTAGGCAGGAGACACCAGTAAATTTGATAAGTGCAGCAGTTATCTTTATTCGATTATTTTAGGGTTTTGGGAAATTACAGGCTGCACAATGTATTAAGAAGGGTGAGATAAATGTGGCAAATAAAATCTCAACTGAGAACAGATCCATTTAAAAAACACAACATGCAACACTTTACAAAATATAATAATGGTAATAAATCCAAATGTTATTAAGTGAAACTTCTTGTTCCCATGCTGCGTTTCCAAGGTGATTTCAACCTCAGATTTGGGAGCTAGTATATAGCCACCAATATATTAAGCAGCCAATATTTTTTATGATAAAATGTTTAGCTTATAAATCTGCGTTCATACTGGTTCAATAATGTTATTTAATTTTTTTTAGTTGTGCTGAAATGATATATAACTAGGGCTTGCACTCCTGGTTAAATTCTTAATGCCCGGTGCATTTTATATATAACACAAAGCTATATCAGCTTACATTTTATTGAATAAAAAACAAAAGAACAATACAGGAGTAGCGAGTGTAATCTTTTACAAGATATTCTATGTACCTAGTACAAGTAATATGCGGCCCTTGCACTGGCTATGCTAAAAGAATCCCCCTCATCTCAGTTTCACTTTTATTTTATTTGGCAGCTACATGACTTTGTTCCAGTTATCGTTTCTTTCTCTTTTGTGTCAGGTGAAAATACTAACAACCCAGGCAGCAAGGTATATCACCCCAACAATACGGTTTTCACAATTTAAGAGAAAATAATAAAAGGGCATAAGTATAGATGAAAAAGGAAAAACAGGTTGGGGGAAAGAAACAAATCCCACTCTGAGTGGTATCACCTATGGACAACAGAGAGATTTTCGGCACTATTTACCTTTTCTGTGGTTCACTAGAGTCTCGACCACTGCATGCAGCTTGCGCAAATGCTGCTCTTCGTTCTCCACCTCCAGCAGCTTGTCCTCGAACCACTAATATAGGTAAAAAATTAATAAAAAAAGATTAAAAAATTATTTATATATATCTATCTTACATATAAACATTTACCAACACCCTAATTACATTAACACAGAACACAGCAGTAACACTTTAAATAAAATATGACAAGGTTGCCTGGGGTTGCTGTATCTCTTGAGCAGACTGAGCTTGCCAGAATTTCGGATCTGGACTGCCTTTATGGGCGGAATCAGTCTGACATGCAAATGGTAAAGGCGCTCTTCTCTGTAATGGCACGTCAGCAAAAACATTTTTGAGAGGTGAATGGGGACTAACCAAAGGGCTAGCTACCGAGGTTTCTCTGAGCTTTTGCTCATTATCAAAATTCTCATTCTCTGTTCTTGTTGCAAAAAAACGTACTGTTTACTATTTAATAATGCTGCTCTCTCATCGAAGCTTGTCTATGTGTTATCAGATCAAAAATATTTCTCAACTTCAGTGCTGATCATTAGGCAGGTCCCTGAAAAATGGAAATGTAGGGATCTAATCAGTTGGAATTTCGAGTTTAGACTGGCTGGCTTTATGACGTTTTTACTAGAATTCAGTGATTAAGCCCAAAGAGCATGCTGCAAAAAAAAAAACAGGCAGATGGACAGAGCAGATACAAAACACTTCCAATAAAAGCTGTATAAATGTATAGAGAAAATACTTACAACATCGGACTCGTTCATTTTGATGGTCATTTTGTTCACAGCATCAGTGGCCCTGTTAAACATCTTGAGAAGTCCTGCTCCACTTAGCGTCTGGGTATTGACAGCACGGGGAAGCTACGAGAAGGAAATTAACAGCATTTTACAAAAATTAAATCATATCAAATATACTTGTCTGGGCCTATTCATTTAGCAACAAATATCTATCAAATGAATAATGAATGGTAAAAAGATTTTTTTAAAAAGGAAGCACAAAAAAATAATTACAAATAAAAAACTAATTATGCACATACATACTCTTGTTAATGATCTAACAGAGCACAAGACTTCAGTTCAGGGTACAAATCCAAATTGATAATAAAATGGGGTGTGCCTTTACAAGCCATGATGAAAAGAGTCTCTCAGGTGTCTGAGATTAATCAGGCTTTCATCTGAATGCCTCCAAAATCTAACCTATCCTTATTTATGCACTCATTGCTATTAATTTAGTTTTGTAGCAATCATCTGTACATTAAAACTCATGTATAATAAATAAATGGGTTCACTTTCAAACATGACAATACTTGTCTCTCATTACAGTCTGGTATCTGTCTTCTGTCTCAGTCTCAGTCTCATGACATCTGAACTCCAGACCTAAATTTGATGGTCCATCTGGCCCCAAAGGGACACTAATAAGTACCTGTCAGGGTTAATACCTCTAAAGGTTGTCCACTAGAGGGATCTCTTGAAGGTTTGGTCGCCTGACGCTGGACATCCTCACGCTATGCATGAAGACATCCAGCGTCACCCAACCTATAGGGGAAGTCCTAATGTGAGCATGTCACTCCTCGCATGCGCATTATGTCCCCCCGCCGGCTGACAGGGGGGCACTATAGTGAACTATTGTGCTAGGAAAACAACGATAGTTTCCCTTTAAAAGCTACAGGCCTCTAGCAAGGCTTATGACCATCTTATAGCCAATGTGAATACCTACATACTACAAAGATATGAAGATTATCATCACCAAATTCTATACCTGATCTTTGCTCCCAACTAAAAATGCCACATCGCCACAGCAATAAAACAGTGGAGAAAACACACAAGATTAAATCTGAAATCATCTAACGCCTTGGCTCTGATCAGTTTTTACTCAATGAAAAGGTTATAGTGTAAGAAGTCCCAATTCTTGTATAGTGATGTCTTACCTCACATCCTTCGCACAATAATTGAAATAGCATGTACATACCGTTAGGGAACACACTGAACAAGTCCCTGAATTGGAATGAGATAACTTGCCATAGGCATAAAAGAGAAAAGACTGACTGGTCTACTACAGGAGTTGCATTAACATAAAATGTTACTATTTAGTCACATTTTAATTCATTACCTGTATATCAGGGAGGGAGGGGGAATCATTAACAGCCTAGTGTCCCTTTAAGTATGATAACAATAATATCAAATTATTTACTAAAGGCATATGTTGTAAGTTATGTCAGCATATATACTTGGAAACAGAGTTATTCACTAAAGTCTAAAATGTCAGGAAGTGAATTTCAAATTTAAGGCAAAAACATGCAAACTTAAAACATAGCTTAAGTTTTTTTTTAAATGTGGTTATTCCACCCTGAAATTGGAGATTTCCTACTTCTACACATTCGTGAAAAGCCCTGACAGTCCTTTTATGAACAGGTACTATTACCTCTTCCTTTTCCAGAAACTCCCGAACTTCTGGATCTTGTAAAAGCGTTGGGTGGCTGACTATTCTCTGGAGATATCTGAAAAACACACACATTCAGGTATTATGTGCCTACAATTTTTTTCCACTAGAGAAACACGTGAAATTTGCTAGTGGTTCAACTGAAAGGACATACTGTATTTTCCAGAATACAATTATTCTTTTAACTCCAAGATTTGAATCCTATTGAATTCTAGATTCCATAATATATATATATATATATATATATATACACACACATACACACATATATATATATATACACACATATATATATATATAATATGTCGCTTTGGGCAGGCCTAGAGAAAAGATTAAAGATGTCTTTCAACAGGAGAGTGCAGCCTATTGTGGCAGGAGAGGTGCGAGTCCAGTCTCGATTAGTCTGCACCTGTCATGGCTCCCGGCTCGCTGCCATGTGCGTCCGTGCCTGACCAGCACGACCACACCAACTCACTGACCTTACCTGCTCAGCGGCGAGCCGGGAACCGCTCCTCCACGCTGCTCGGGGAAATCCAAGATGAGACCATGAGGTCGTGTCCATCCATGGCTCCACCCCCCCAAAATTATACGAGCGTGCGCGTGACTTCACGACGTCAACGCACACGCACGTTCTGGGGTCAGAGGTCACCCTCTGACCAATCAGAGCCTAGAGAGGGATATTTAAATCCCTAATTCACCGCAGTACCTTGCCCTGTCGTGGTATATATTAAGGAAGAACCCATGGCAATAGATGCGCAAATGATTGCTTCTAAAAACTTGCAGAATAATTGTAATTGGTTAACTCAAGACAAGGTGCTGCAGCAACTAAAGAAAGTTAATATAAACAAAGCTCCAGGGCCTGACGGTATCCATCCACGTGTACTTAAGGAACTAAGTGCAGAAATAAGTGAACCTCTGTTTTTAATCTTTCAAGATTCTTTTCTTTCAGGAAGTGTTCCGGAGGATTGGAGGAAGGCAGATGTGGTTCCTATATTCAAAAAGGGTTCAAAATCCTTGCCTGGAAATTATAGACCTGTGAGCTTAACTTCTGTGGCTGGTAAAATATTTGAAAGGTTATTAAGGGATAATATTCAAGAATTCCTTGAGAAGAACATGGTTATCAGCAAAAATCAGCATGGTTTTATGAAGCACAGGTCATGTCAAACTAACTTGATTGCGTTCTACGAAGAAGTAAGTAGAAGTATAGATCAGGGTGTTGCCGTGGATGTGATCTATTTGGATTTTGCCAAGGCATTTGATACAGTTCCACACAATAGATTAGTGTTCAAACTCAAGGAAATCGGTCTAGATGAAAATGCTTGTTCTTGGGTAGAACATTGGCTTAAAAACAGAGTACAAAGAGTTGTCATTAATGGTAAATTTTCAAGCTGGACAGAGGTGGCAAGTGGTGTCCCTCAGGGGTCTGTTCTGGGACCTCTTCTATTTAACATGTTTATAAATGATCTTGAAGACAGCATTGAAAGTCATGTTTCAGTGTTTGCAGATGACACAAAACTTTGTAAAATAATACAATGTGAGCAAGATATTACTTTGCTGCAGAGGGATTTAGATAGACTGGGGGACTGGGCACTCAAATGGCAGATGAAATTTAATGTTGAAAAATGCAAAGTTATGCACTTCGGCGTAAAGAATACACAAGCAACGTATACCCTTAATGGAAGCGAATTAGGGATAACAACACATGAAAAGGACTTGGGAATTGTTATAGACAACAAACTATGCAACAATGTGCAATGTCAATCAGCAGTGGCCAAGGCCAGTAAGGTATTGTCATGCATGAAAAAGGGCATTCATTCTCGGGACAAGAATATAATTTTGCCTCTTTATAAATCACTGGTAAGACCCCATATTGAATATGCTGTGCAATTTTGGGCACCTATTCTAAAGAAGGATATTATGGCACTAGAAAAAGTGCAGAGGCGGGCTACAAACTTAATAAAAGGAATGGAACATATCGGCTATGAAGAAAGGTTAACAAATTTAAACCTATTTAGTTTAGAAAAACGTCGCCTGAGAGGGGAATATGATAACATTATGCAAATATATTCGGGGCAAATACAAACCATTGTGTGGAAATCTATTCACAAACCGGACTTTACATAGGACACGTGGCCATGCGTTTAGACTGGAAGAAAGAAGATTTCGTCTAAGGCAAAGGAAAGGTTTTTTTACTGTAAGAACAATCAGGATGTGGAATACTCTGCCTGAAGAAGTGGTTTTATCAGAGTCCATACAGATGTTCAAACGGCTACTAGATGCATACTTGCAAGAACAGAATATTCAAGGATATAATCTTTCAATGTAGGGTAATAACTGCTTGATCCAAGGATAAATCTGACTGCCATTCTGGGGTCAAGAAGGAATTTTTTTCCTAGCTTGTTGCAAAATTGTGCTTCAAACTGGGTTTTTTGCCTTCTTTTGGATCAACAGCAAAAAACAAATGTGAGGTAGGCTGAACTTGATGGACGCAAGTCTCTATGTAACTATGTAATAATACTTCCTGGTATCCTGATCTTGGCTTTTCCCTGGTTATTCCAAATTCTGGTTCCCCTGACTTGGCTTGTTTAAATGGTATCTGAGTATTTCTGGCTTCCGCGACCTCGGCTTTCCCTTTGACCATTCTCTATCTCTAGCGTATTAGTCTGGCCATTCTAAGGTCCCGTTTACGCTCTGTCCTTTTATTTCCTTTCCTATGTATATGTTTACATAGTTTCTGTGTGTTGGACCACACTAGCAGCCGTGACAGCACCTCCACCGGGAACAGAATTAAACTATTCCTCCTGTAAGCCCCGGCCATCCAGGGTTTACAAAAAGAGTAAACGCAGTCTGCACCTGGCAGAAGTCCAGGCCACAGTCCCTCACCACCAGACCAAGGATCGCTGTGTCCTCCCTTCCTGGTCCAAGGTAAGAAGCATGGGGGAAGAGGGAATAAACCAAAATAGAACATTGAAAAAACAAGATAAAATATATTTAAAAAAAACGGCTTTCCTTTCACTCCCCCCATCCCATATCCTCTACACACAAATGCTAAACTTCCTATACATATAAGTGGAATTTTGCCACAATTAAAGTAATAATAAATACAACACTATTTTATTTATATTTTCTTTACTACATTTTTAAATAAAATATATGGGTACGTCTTACATTATTATATTATGGTACATTTGATCACATGAATAAGCCAAGTAATATTATGCACAAGTAACATGGCAGACCATGGTATTGGATCCTGCCATCCACTTATTGCTGAATAAACTGGATGCCAGAAACAAAGATCTCCCCATTAATTGCCTGAATACTTCAACCTGCACCTATCCCTTTGTTGTGTAACAATGATTTACCTCTCCAAAGCTGCCCGTCTACGTTCCAGAAATTCAGATGAAGAGGAGTCCTCCTTCCCAACTTTCACTTTGGTCATACCTGACAAAACACATTAAGACACAAATGTCTGGGTGATTACATTACACCTGGCGTGCTAAGAACATGGAACCATTTTTCTGATGGAATGCAACAGGATTCCTAAAATTCCAGGTAAACTTACAGATTACATTTCAGTAAAATAGTTCTATTTTATCCTTATTGCCATGTGATTGGCACAGACTAAATAACAAAGGCATCTCACATAACATACATCACAAAATAAGATACGTTGCGCAGGCTGGTGGACTGTAATTATTACACCCATTGACAGATTTCTGTGCAAAATACATGTTTTCATCCATCCACATATATGCTGGCAATTATACCAAATGCATCCCAAAGACACAAATGGTTTGTGTAAATGACAAAATGACATATTCCATGGGAATATTCCTTATTCCCTCACAACGTTTTGCACAGGATTTTTTTTCCCTGTTATTGTCTTGTGGAGAAAAGAGAAACAGGAGTGGAGCTAAGGTGTAAGAGCTTTTTATTTTTATAAAAGATACATTACTTCTGTCATGCAAAAAAAAAAACCCAAACAAAGCAATGCATTAGTACAGGAATTACAGACATTTTGTGCACTTTTGATGATTACCAAGCACGATAATATACAGACCAAGCAGGTGTAACAAGCACCCACGTGTAATTTAGTGTCTCAAACTCCTTCCACAGACAAAAAAACCCCAAAAAATATTCTGACCGCATGCTGAGAAAAACACTAAATTAAATTAAAAAAATAATAAAATTACACGTTAAAATGTAAGCAGATAGTCCTCATTAGATTAACATTGTGTTCAATACGGATCAATAGAGCTGCTCTGCAGAATCAAAGCGTACAAATTACAGCCATATAATACAGACATTTTAAGGCAGTAGATTCTCATGCTGGCTTATTACATGACATTTTGCTTTCAAACAGAGATCTGAAACAAAGCTATGGTTTTGTGTAAATACTCAGGAGGACTTTACAGTAAGGCGAGTGCTGTAACACACACGGCTTGCTGCAGAAGTCACGTGATGGATGTTTCCAAAAACACAATGAATGACCTCAAGACAAATTACACATTAATTACCGATCAGGCTTTTCTCTGGGGGTGGCGCGATAATCAGCCCGTTCTGTGAGTGCTTCTCAGAAAGCTTTTCATACAGGCCCAGGAAGTCACTGAACCGTCTTTTCACAGTGAAATGTTTACTCCTGAACATAGGCAAGTTGGTCTGGAATAAAAGGTATTACCATGATTGTCTGCTACCACTGACAGACTACTTGTACATTTTGCTTTAAACAAAAAACATAAAACACTTGTGTAGATCTTCAGTGCCATTTGGAAGCAGTCACTTATTAAAACTGACTGTACATCTGTAGCTAAAAAAGTAAATAAATACATTTCTAAAAAATTGCCTTAAACAATATAGTCGACTAGTGATAGATTAAAGTGCTTTACAGATTAAACAAATCTATCCATCAGGCACCAGCCCTAAACCAACTAACGCACCACGTTTGGAGAACATGAAATGCTGCACGACTCCCACACAGGTTGCCAAATTTATATGGGGGGAGAGCTCACCAGTAAGTAATTCTCTCCTCCTCACACATGTATATTTGTAGGCATACCTAACATATAGAAAGCTTTAATTACAGCAAAGTTATTAAGATATTGGTGTCTTAAATGCACCATCATGAAACAATCAGAAGTTGTCTTGCAGGAGGGTTTCTGTGTGCTCTGTCCATTCACAGAGTTTCCAGAGCAGAAGGAGCGGCTCAGAGGCTAGTAGCATAGTACTTGGAATAATGATACTTGTATAGAGTATATCAATTAGTTGATTGTTGTGGAGGTAAACTAGGGAACAGGGCCTCACCCTAGAGATAGAAACTGAAATATGTGAGGAGGACAATAAATACAGTATTTAACCAGGAAGTGCGCAGTGCAGTAGCACACATAGCTGCCCACCCCCATTGGCATGTACAGAGGCTTTCAATTCCTGTCTGTACACGCCATATTTGTAGTCTTTACCTCTACAGCAATGACATACCAGGTTAAGAAAATCCCAAACCATATTTCACGACAAAAAGAAAAACTGCAAAAACGCCATCAAGTTCAAGTTCTAAAAAGAAATTGGCTAAGAGGAGATGGAAGATTATCCCTTATATTTTAAAGAATGTAAGCACTGACATAGAACAATAACGATAATGTCAATGAATTTAACAATGAATGGTAGACTAGGACAGTTTAGTAGTACATAGTTGACTTGGTGTTATTATTGGTCGGGTGATCAGATTGTCACTCGTCAATATCACTGATAACTGTTAATCATGACTGATTATCTTAAATTCCAATTGAAGAAATACACTTGGTGTTTACATATTAATGTGTACGTGGACGTTTTCTGTCCTCTTTGGGGGGAGACATATGGTAAGTGATTGGTAGAAAGTGGAACAGGTATTTTCTGTCTACTTACCTGGGTTGTTACTTGGTAAGCCATGTACGCATTCATGCCATCCCCTGTAAGAAGAGAAATTGCAGGCAACTCATCTTATAGTCGTCACCTATCAATTAACTAGAATGCCAAGATTTTCAGAGCAGTGGGCCAGGGAACCTGCTATGCATTGCTACCTCAAGGAGAACACTGAGAAGACTTTATCCATATAAACAGACATCCATATATAGGCTGTCTGTGAAGTGGTTCAAGGACTAGAATCAGAGGGTACAATGGGTTATTATTAAACTGCCTTATTAACAGACATACATATTCTGCTCATTTAGCAGAGGAGTTTTCCCACTGCTGATGTCTGGGGATTGTAATTCCTTATTTTGCTAGGTGTCGGATGCTCAAATTGCTTAACTGCTCAAATATTGCTAAAAAAATTAACAACTGATTCAACAAAACTGTATTACACAAACATTTCCACTTGGTGCAACTATACTGAACAAAGTATATTGAGGCAGATTTAAAGTGAATTGGTAATGAAAAATTTAACTTAACGGAAATTGCTCCCATGTAAATTAAATACAGTGTATATCACAAAGATACATGGTGTATTCAATGTCAAATATAGAGAGTCACTCACTTTTCCCTTATTCCAGCATCACTTTGGAGGTGTTACACTCCGTTCCTATACTCTTGTGCTCGCACATGTTCTGTGGTTGTTATGGTTGAAGAGCAGAGTAGCCTCCTGCTTGAGGATTTCCTGCTTTCCCTTGTCAGTCAATGCCTCAGCACACCAAGGCATTGATTGACAACTGGGAGAAAACTATTTTTTAGATAGGTTTTTCACCTAACCTATACATTTGCTATTACAATGTATAGCTAGAATCTTATGCTCAAATCAATGAGCATAAGTTGTTTGTGGCATGATAGGTCTCTTTTAATATGGGGGTGAACAATGCTTCCTAATTGCTCCGGCTAAATGTAATTCCCAGAAGTGCACACATGTAGTTAATAACAGAGTAAATATAAATTAGCCCCACTGTATTAGCCCCACTGTAGGTGGAAAATGCAGTCACCTACTAACCGATTTTCTCTGGATCTCGAATGCTGACAATCAGCTCAAATTGATCCTCCTGTTCTTCTTCTTCAAGCTGAGGACATAAAAAAAAATATTTTACATATAAAAGGAATGCTATGGATGGCCATCTGTATCTCAAACAACACTACAACATTACAATCATTGTATAAACAAATCATTTGACTCATCAGATCAGAAGAAAATTTATAGGGAAACCCACGATAAATGTACTGTTAGAAATAACGGTTTAGCCTTTAAGCCCAAGAGGCGACTTGCACAGCTTCCATAGCCCACTGTTCTCCTGTACTCTCATTACCTCTTCGTAAGACTTGTGCTTTGCTTTGGAGGGGGCGCAAGCTGCTATGAGCATAGGTGTAGTCAGTGGTCCCTTTTTTGCCTCCTCTTTTTGGTTATTTTGAGAACTGTCCACTGCCAGCTTGACTGTGGAATCTGTAAGACCGGATAGAATAAGGATGGTTAAAGCTTGAAAGTTAATATTATTTTTATTTATTTATTTTTTTTAAATAAAAGTATAAAGTGCATTAAATATTAAGATTCTCTGGTTTTCAATTACGTCCTGCAAATTGTAATAATGGTACACATTAAAGAACAAACACTGCTGCCTTTTGACCCAGTTTTTTTTTTTTTTTTTTATCTTTTAGCAATTTAGAATGGAATGTAAAGGGTCGCTGAAGGACTGTAGGTTACAAGTGTTAGATGCAGCTGGAGAGAGCATACTTCTCTGGTTGAGGGAGGGCGTTTTTGTATAAGAGCAAAAAAGTGAACACTGTACTCACTATTACAACTTCATCTAAATTAAGTGGTTATGGTGCCTACAGTTCTCCCATTCTTAGTGGTCCCAATTTACATTAAACTAATTAGAAAGCTTGGGAGCATGGCTTCAAGCCACACCTCCACAAGCCCCATGGGTATAAAAGTCACTTCCTAAAAAAAAAAAAGCTCCTGCCTAGCTTCATAATCATGTTAATAGCCCTCCCTCAGCAAACATGTCCATCATCCAAGCCATAAAGTGATTGTCCTCAGCTATGCTCCCACACCCCAACCTCTATCTCTCTGTCCACCATTCACATCCCTACATCATTCCAATTAATTATTCCTCCTTTAGCAGCCATATTATTATTCACCTTTTAAATGATATCCCAGGCTCAATAAACCAAGCCATGTTGCTGCCGTGTTTTCAGGGCAATGTCCCTGGCCGCATCTCAGAACCACACCCTCCCACCCAGAGTCACGCCCCTCCCCCTCCAAGTCATATCCCTGCTCCCTACCTTCACAATTATATCCATGATCCCAACTTTTCCGGCCATGTCCATAAGTGGATACCTATATGGAACCCAGTAATACCCATATGGAACCCAGTCATGCATGACATTCCCCCACATGATAGCAATAATTCTATTCCCGCAATATTAGTAAGGAATAAAAGATCAGCTCTGCCATTTCCAAGTGAGCTACCAACGTTGACACAGGATGTAATGACATAAAATAGTAGCAAAACCAAAGAAACCAGCAGAGAAGCTTTCCACGCCCACCTAAACTCCCAGTAAGCTACTAAACTAATGGCTAATGATCCAAATCATCATCTTATTCAAAGGTTTATATATTGTTTTACATTATAAGGAAGATAAAATCCCTTTAATAATTTCAAGAAACCTATATATTTCATTCAAAATTACAGGAACAATCAAAGCACCATGACCACTACAGTGTGCTGTAGTGGATATGGTTCCAAGACTATGCTTTGACTGCTCCTGGCACCATAACCACTATAATGCGCTATAGTGGTTATGGTGGTTGGAGTGTTCCTTTAACGTGCTTATTAACGGAGATTAAACACCTTTTTGGAAAAGAGAAACAGTCCCAGCAGGCACCTAACTTTTTAGAGCAGTGATCAGTGATGTGGAACAACAGGAACACCAGATACTGAATGCATTTGATTCATCTAAGTATTTGACTGCAATATCGGAGTATGATTTCAGTAAAATATTGAATTTCCTCTTCAAGGCTTTACAGACTGTAAAGACCTCTTTTGAAAAAGCCCAAACCCGGGCGAAACGCGTCAAGGATAGGATTTGAAGTTACTATATATGTTTTTTATATACTTTTACCCATATATATTTTAAAATATATCTTTTTAATAATAAATTTCATTGCCTTTTTTCAAATCCCTTGGCTTTTGCATATCTTCTGGTGCTGCTGCTTTCCTGTTATATCCTGTGGTGGGGATTATACCACCATAAGCTGTCATCACCAGAGCAAGTCATTGCTCTGGATACTGTAAGTAGGATACCTACTTTTTTCTATATTATTTCCAGTTTATGATATTGTACCATTGGTCTGTATATTTTGTTTTTTTCATATATATATGACCGTTGAATTTGGACCTCCTGGTATATTCAGATCCTAAGACGGGGATTGTACCGTCCAGGCGTTATACGGCAGAGCTCCTAGCAGCTCGGTAAAGTGTGAGTTTGCTCTTTACTCACAGTGTATCTTATTTATACATTATTACAATACCTTTTCATACTGCACTATTATTGTTTATTGTTTTCTTTGAGGTTTCCATATGCTGTAACATTCAAGAACTACATATCCTAAGACGGGGATTGTACCGTCCAGACGTTATACGGCAGAGCTCCTAGCAGCTCGGTAAAGTGTGAGTTTGCTCTTTACCCACAGTGTATCCTATTTATACATTACTAAAGTACTTTTGCATATTGCACTATTATTGTTTATTGTTCTTTTTTGAGGTTCCCATATGCTGTAAAATTCAAGAACTACATGTATGTACATTTATGATTATCTGATTACTTATTCTTTTGGCGCGGTCTACCACCTTTTCTTTTTCACTTTTACAGACTGTGTGGTAAACTCTGTGCAGACTAGGAAGTGACTCATACAACCAGAATTCTCAATCAGTAGATTTTAGAGTAATTTGATAATGTCGGAGATCAAATCACAGGTGCCAGTGAATTAATGAATGAATTGCGTTCTTTAAACCGGTTGTGTTTGGTGTAGTCTCATTACTTGTGTTTGGAATAACTTTCCTCTTTAATACCTTGTGAAAGCTTTTACTGCATTACGCTCTATCTTTGTTGAAGCACATATCTTCACCATTATTTTCCCCACCTACCAGCAAACAGATCCTGTTCATCTTCTTCTGAAAGCAGGCCATTTTCCCTGGAGGGTTCTGGAGGAGACTCCTTGGTCTGTGTGGTAGTTATGCTTCTGCCCTATAAGAAAATAATAAAATGGTGTCAAAGGGGAAGAGAGAAAAACAGCTAGTGGCAGAAGACAGAATCTTGACAATGCAAAATATCACAAAGTAAAAAAACATTGAGATGACAGGATCTAACCAGCAGAGTTCCAGGACTTTGCTCTGAGAACCTGCCAACATTCAAGCAGTCCGTTATACCGGTTTTACAGGACAAGGGAAGGGCCCCGTGAAGAGCTAACAAGTGCAAGCAATAATATTTACTACAACACAAATGTAAGCTACAATTAATTCTGACAATTTAGAGCCGCAAGGAATATAAATACAAAGCAGGTTGTCATATTTTAGGTCTATTTCTGTATGTAATATTGAGCTGTACAGTTATGTATTACCCAATATGCATAACAGAGGGTTATTTACTAAACGCCCATATTAGCAGCCATATAGCAAAGTTCGAGTAACGCGGCCAAACTGAATGACTCTGAATGAATTTGGTTTTTATACTTTGGGGCATAGGTAATGCAATGGTTTAAACCAGTGGTAGTCAACCTTTTTCTACCTACCGCCCACTAATGCATTTTTTTGGTTGAAAAAATTTCCTTACCGCCCACCAGTTTTCACGCAAGTGCAGAATATTTTTTAGAAAGGAGGGCGTTTTAAAAAAAAATAAATGTACGTACATTTATCTTTTTATTTCTACTTAATGCATGTTTATAATGTTTTTAACTTTATAAAGTTTAATGAGAAAACAATAAAGTAAATTGAAATTACCTTAACTAGTGATTAATGAGATCCTTGAGGTTGATGCTGCAAGACTAAATATTTGATATCTGGTTCGACTTTCGTAAGGAACAAACAAAGGTCTCCTCTTTCGGTGATATTCAGATGACTTCTCTATTTGCGCATAATATGATTTCTCATTTGTGCGTCAGCTCCCCTCCTCTCCCTCCTCAATTCCCCTCCCCACCTTTTTTTCCCCCCCTTTTTTAATTTTTTTTTTTTTTAACCTTCCTTATAGCAATGCCCAGTAGGAAGGCTGAGCTAGGTATCCCACTTACTATAACTTACTATAGCCCACTATAACAGACAGGCACACATACATATACAGACACACACACACACATACATACATATACATGCATACAGACACACACAGACATGCATACAGACACACATAAGACATACATACAAAGGCACAGACACAAGATACATACACACACAACACATACATACAAAGAAAAGACACACATGCAGACAGACACACACATACAGACACACACACACAGACACATACAAAGACATACACAAACAAACAAAATATTTTAGTCACCCTCCTGTTTCCTACCTTTAAGGTGCAGGGTGACTGTCCCTGGGGTCCAGTGGTGGCTCAAGTGGATGGGAGTCAGTGTTACCACTCTGACTCCCTGGTTTTCCTCCCACGCAGCTCTCAGTGTTAGCTGGGAGGAGTGACGTGCAGTCACTTCCTCCCAGCTCGGTGATGTAATCACAGGGGGCCCGGTCGCGCTGTTAAAGCGCCCAGCACTGACCGGGCCACATCCTTCGGGTGGCCCTGACAGCATGGGCCACCCGATGGAACCCTCCATATGCGGCCCTCTCAAAATTAGAAAATCCCTACCTCCCACCTGGAATCCTGAAACGCCCACTAGTGGGCGGTAGGGACCAGGTTGACGACCCATGGTTTAAACAAAAGGTTAGTTGTTATAATGATGACTTGAACCAGAACAATATCCCAGAAGGACACATGATGAAAATTGTCCGTCATGATAGCCTTTTTTTTCTGAAGTTGTGTCCAGAAAGGGATATACATATTACGATAGTCACAGAGAGCTAAGATTCTCCATCAGTCACTCCCTGTCTATCTGTGAGCCGTGCAGTAATGTTCTCTTCATATATCTGGTGGCAGTAAAATGCTGTTGCCGAGATACAATGATTTCAATGCTGCGCAGGAGCCTTGCAAGGGCAGCCTGTTAAATCACACTCTATAGATGTAGTTTGCCGCATAACTAGACAGCATTGTCAACACAAATGTGAAAAAAGTCATACAGGGACAACTGTGGTGGTAGATGGGGAGACAAATGCTGAGAAAACGCTGGAAGGTAGTGCAAGTGAAACAGCGAAGCACATAGAGTGGGAAAACTTTTGAAAAGAGACAGGGTTATTCATGATACCAGACCTTGTCAGGAAATGACCATGGAATTGTAAGTTTTAGGTCTTAATATACAAGTTAGAATAATTCTACCCCTCCTCCTACTGCTACTTTTTCTAGTACGGCTAGCTTGGACAAAATATGCAGCTGCCTGGTGAATTCTTGGCAATACCTGGTACAGTAACTAACTAAAGGTCTAACAAGCCCCTTTTACTGCTTTACAATTAAGAGTTATATACAACTATTTTGTAGATTTACATTATTTTAATTTATTTATTTATAAACTATTTTACCAGGAAAGATACATTGAGAGTTCTCTCATTTTCAAGTATGTCCTGGGTCCACATTTACATTAAAGCAGCTCTGTCACCTTCAGGGGTCACCTCAAGTTCGGTAGCCTGGGTCCATGTGAGAGTAAATTGTAGTTGTCTGAAACTGTCTTTCGATGGGTATATCTACAAAACAGTGATTTTTATGTTGGATTTGGGCAGTGGCGTGTCCCTTTAATAAAATGCACATCATTTTGTTAAACAAGACAGCTCTTCCTTTATTATTTTGTTATTTATATTCCGCCATCAGGTTCTGTAGCGCTGTACAATGAGTGGACTAACAGACATGCAATTGTAACCAGACAAATGGACAGACAGGAACAGAGGGGTTGAGGGCCCTGCTCAATGAGCTTACATGCTAGAGGGAGTGGGGTATAGTGACACAAAGGGTATAAAGTAGGGATATAGAAATAGGTTGCTAGAAATGTATTATTCACTATCTACTGCCACATCTATTACCAGGCTTGTTTATAATTTGGTAAAACATTTTTTTTTTTTTTTTTTTTAAATCAACCGAAAAATAAAAAGCACATTAAAAAAAAAAAGTATCTGTCATTTTGCAGAATTTCATTAAGATACAATCTTTATGAAATCCTGATGCCGTCATTGAAATGCCAACACTTTTTGCCAATCTAATGTGACGCTTGTGGCATTCACGCATGGTCACTGCGAGAAGTCATCTATGGAGGCCCCGCAGTCTCCTCCATTGACTTCAGTCTTGTAATATTGTTTATGAATCTGAGTACAACACAGAGCCAGTTAAAAAAATTATATGAGAGGTTTTTTTTTTTAACTAACAAAACAATTTTCAACTACAAAAATACAATTCTTAAAGGGACACTATCGTCACCAGAACCACTACAGGTTAATGTAGTTGTTCTGGTGTCTATAGCCTGTCCATGCACACTGTGATCACATCAGTAATCATTGCCAAGTGCACATGCAAAGCAATAGTATATTGTCAACATACCTAGAATCATGTGACTTGTACGAGCCATGAAGTAGATGCATCCAGTGCACTCAAAATGATATACAGAAGCAACTGGTTTAGAAAAGTTTGATCAACCTTGTGTACAGATCTATAGTATAGTAGACAGAACAGCCTTAAAATGGTATGAAATAAAGGCTTTGACTTATTACCTGCTAAGAGCTTCCATTAGCGCTCCTCAGCTAAGCCATGCATTGACTGTCAGCCGATTGCTCTCAGCCAATGAGCTGAGCTCTGCACAGCCGCGTTTAGCTTAGTGAAGAGATCTTCAGATGCTGAAAGAAAGGGAGCGTCGAACCATTACACCAAATGTTTTGCCTACTTATAGTGAAGGAATGCCAGGGTGCACTGTAGTGGTTATGGTGTTTGGAGTGTTCCTTTGAGTTTGAAAAGCCATCTATACACAAAATTGCTATTTTAGTATGGGGTTTTGTTTGCTAGTTTTGCATCACTTGTATGAAGTAATTGTTATGCTATTTTTTTTCAACAAAAAGTATTTGATAGTGAATGGGTTAATACTTCTCAAAGAAAAGTAAATAAAAATAAAAAAGTCTGGACAAGTTTGGGCTTTAGCAGTGTAAAAGGACAATGTTTCTAAAACAAGTTATAAATGGATTCTATCCTAGCACGTGAAACAGACAAAAGCACTCTCGTCTCTGTGCTGGCATTTTATCAAAAGCCACACTCAGCCTTAAAGAGGAAAGATCAGTTCCTGGGTTTTTGCATAGCTTGATACTAGCTAAAGGTCAACAATGTGACAGGATCCCTTAAATTCATCTATTTTACATAAATCATTTTTCATGTAAACCTCCAATCAGTAAAAAAAATGAATTTCCCCTAAACCTGGAATAAACTGGCCAATAACCTGCTAGAAGGGGAGAATCTACATTCCATTTACAGTGTGTAATGAAAAATACATGCATCATATTACACAGAACCATTCCAAAGCTCTGTCTAGTTGCTGACAACGCACTCTATATTGCTAAATACGCATCTTTTAACATGCATGCCAAATCCGAAAACAACTCGAATCCTCCTGGCTTATTGCTTTGCATTCATATAAATTCCATTTGGAAACATTTGCAAGTCATGTGCAGCACAGGGCTGCTGGGGTCAGCACTGCAGAAAACTATAAATTACTCTCAGATGGGTGTAGCCAGTTATCATTGTGATTAAAGGATGGGGGAAAACATTATATATATATATATATATATATATATATATATATATATATATATATATATATATATATATATATATATATATATATATATATATCTCTCTCTCTCTATCTCAAGATCCAAATAGATTATGGTGGGGAAAAATTGTGATTGAAAACCCCTTCCACCTGAAGTATGTGGATAGTTAATACAATGCTAAACAAAAATCTGCACACCAGTCAAGCCATAAGACTTGCTTTTCCCACAGAAATCCCAAATCAGCAGTGATGTTACAAACGCAAAGGATTCTGGGTGGGCATATGCAAATTAGTTTAACAAAGAATCACATTTTTGCCTCATTCCATGGAAGGGGTTTTCAATCACAATTTTTCCCCACCATAATCTATTTGGATCTTGCTTCACAAGCACTACCAAGCCTCCATAAGCGAACCAGTAACCAACCTCATGCTGAAGAGTTGCATTAACAACGAAACAGCTGTCCATGAGTGGTTCACTGGTTTTGCATCTTATCCTAAATTGTGTTCCAAGCAGTTGTATACTGCAAACACAAATTAAAAGGAATCCATGTTTAAAATGGAATGAGGCAAAAATGTGATTCTTTGTTAAACTAATTTGCATATGCCCACCCAGAATCCTTTGCGGTTGTAACATCACTGCTGATTTGGGATTTCTGTGGGAAAAGCAAGTCTTATGGCTTGACTGGTGTGCAGATTTTTGTTTAGCATTGTATTAAATATATATATATATATATATTTTTTTTTTTTTTTATAAACATCCCATGAAGAATTGTTTTGTGTACTTCACCCAAGTCCGTTCTAAGGACAAAGTTATAATGACTTGACTACCAAATTATGGGTATAGAGAAACTACAAGCTGTTAGTGATCCTTATTACTGAAGCATCTTTTTAATTCATTCAAAGACAAAATGTTTCTACATTTGCTGGGGTTACAGATTTAGCAGTGAGCTCTGTCAATCAGGAAGCCTGAATTTATCCTATAATCTCCTTCCCACCAATGTAAACACGTAACTGCATGCTCTATAACGTGCCATAATGCCATATTTGCAGGAATATTTAAAGCATCATTATTAACTTCTATCTGAATGCGTGAAGGCTCTAGACATGCCCTTTGTGTGATTCATAAGTACAATATCACCTTGTACGGTCAATATAAAATTTCTACCGAGGGAACAACATTGCTTTGTTTCAAATAGAAAATCTTTCTGTGTAGGCCATATATAACTCGTTTGTTATTCATACTGTAACAACTGTGCATTTTGCAGAAGACACAGGGCCTGTAAAGCTTATAAAGGCATTCGATGCATGTGTATAAACAATGCCACAATCATAATCTAGGATTGTGTGCCAAATTCTGAACAACAACACTATACAGCTTAGTTTTACATACACATTTACTCACAATTACAAAAAACACATCCATTAGGCCGTACTGGCATTCACTTATAAAAGCACTTTGTGATTAATGATCTAAAATTAGGGATCTGCCTGGAACACTTCTGTTAAAAACTGTTCTAAAGAAATTGTCCACATTTACTGCCTAATATAAAAATATTTTGGGTGTTACCTTATTCAACAAAATACAAGGCAGCGATTTCCAAACCGGTTCTCGTGGTTTTGGAACAGTCCAGAATTATATTCTATTTCCCTTTTCTATTCCAGTGGAGATACTGACAAAACGTGGACTGTTGTTGGGTCTTGAGGACCGGCTTTGGGAATCACTGTTATAAGATACGCCACACTTCTTGCAGGTTCATTCTAGCCACCATAATGACCTTGTCATACTGAAGAGGCAAATTTTCTGTTCCTGCAGACTCTTTTCAAAATGTTTCATTTCAGGAGGTAAATATCTCTTTTTCTGTCTGTTGCACCGCCTTCTTGGACTGTCAATCAGACAGCAAGTATACTCTCTTCATGGCAATATCAGTTTTGTGCAACTTTCAGATCTGATGCCAGCATACATAGCACACATGACTGAATGAGTAATAGGGATCGACCAATATTGATTTTTTTAGAGCAGATCCCAATAATCTGTGAACTTTCAGGCGATTAACTTACCGATACCGATATTCTGTACATTAACCATTTTGAAAAAATAAACTATTTCTACACAAATCTACTGTTAACTGAACATGTTTATTATTTATTTTTTGTAAAGGCACAAAATATACATGCCAGTCAGAATTTTTTATGTTTTCAAGAATATGTGTGTGTGTAGTGGATAAAGTTAGAGTATTTGATTAGTTAATACAGTGTGTGTGTTTGTGTACTGTGTGTATATAATGAATGCAGTGTGTGTGTATAGTAAATGCTGTGTGTAGTCCTTGGATGAGGAAAGCCTCCCTGAGACCCTGTTCTTGTTTTCAAAAACAACAGTGCCAATAGCCCTCTGAACCCTCCACCAAAGCAGACACCAAAGCCCTGTCTCAGGAAATCAGGGCAATGTTGTGAGCTGACATGGCAGTATTGAGGGAGGAAATGGCGGCGCTCATCGGCTGAATTATTACAGTGGTGGAAAACCTAAGTGCCACAAATGTGGCACAGAAGGCCACGGATGCGGCCCTCAACGTCTTACAAAAAAGCAATATCGATCTGAACAACCGCATGGCTAGGTCCAGGGCCAGAAATGTCCGGCTGAGAGGGGTTTCTGAGGCTGTTAATACTGAGGAACTGCCCCCATTTTATCAGGTGCCTCCTGTCTACGCTACTGCCACCAAAACAGGTCACCTTGTATTATTGCCTCCGTCTACCAGGCACGCCCAGATGCTTCCAGGAATATTTTACTGAAATTTGTGCGGGACTCAGACAGGGGAATAATAATGGGGGCAACCACTTGCCCAACCTTCAAAGGATGCCAACTCACCTTCTACTGAGATATGTCCACTTATACAACTGTTTGGAGACAGTCTTTCAGAAAGATCACACAAATCCCCAGAGAGCATAAAATACCCTACAAATGGGGAGCACGACGGCATACCAACCCATCAGAAGCGCACTCTCTGCTACGGGACCTAGGGCTGGAGGTGGCATCAGTTCCAGCAGTGAATCGCCCTACACAGTCTGTGGACAGAATAACGCCATTTGTACAAGGAACAGCAGTTAAGAGATTTACCACCTTGACCAACAACCCGATCTAACATCTGTGTACTACAGTTTCTCACATGTCGCTCGATAATCATTTGGTTTTGATTTATTTTAGTTCACCCGTTGATTTCTATCAGTTTCTTCTATTATGTAGTATCTCTTAACCTGGCTCCGTAAGCTCACACCAAGCCAATTGCAGTTAGCTAAATTCCCTCTGGTGACCAGTGTGTGCTTAAACTAATACCGTACAAGCCGATATAATGTAAGAAGTATTTCTAGCCAATGGTACCCACTGATACATGCTCCCTTAGTTGAGGCTGTTGGATCTATGTTTATACTTGTTATTTACTTTAAATATAAAAAATATATGCTGTAGTTACGGAATATACCGTACCCTGCTTATGTCCAATACAATGTCACCTCTGGTTTACTATGTATTGTAAGCATCGCAAAAATAAAGAAGTAAACATTTGAAAAAAAAAAAAACAATCGTATATAAAGGACACAATGCAATACTGACTATGTTTATTCTTGGCATGCTAGTAGCTAGGCCAGTGGCGTGTTGTCAATGGGTTTGACTGAAAGTCCATAAATGTATTCATTTAGGGCATGTTCAAGGAACATCCAGATTTTACAGTCCTACCACATATTGTTAGGATATTCCTGCATTTTAGCCAAAAGCACTGGAGTGAGGCACAATTGCAAAATAGGTTTACACACGCTGCTTCTGATTAACACAAAACATAGAAGTAGCTTCAAAAATGTGTTTGCAGGCTCATTGCTTCAAGACCCCCAGGCTCCATTTAATCACACAAAGAATCTGAAGCTGTCATGATGAAGCATTGAACTCATCACTCTGTTCCTATATTCCATAGACAATGCACGACACTTTTAGTCTTCACGTTTGTCAGGGAACAATTTCAGCAACAACAGCAAATACATTGTAGCTGCTGTAAATTGTAGAAATAGAATAGTCGACAGGAGGGTTATCTCTTGCTCTCACGTGCCATTAATTCCTTGCATACAGGCTATGCCCGCATATGCTACGGCTGCTATGGAAACTCCATAGCCGGCGATTCCAGCGCGGAAGTATAGGAACGGAGTGACGTCTCGTCACCGTTTCAGCGCTGGCATGCTGCCAATGAAGCCAGCGTGCCGATGTCACTAACGAGATTAGCCCTGCTTGGGGATGTGTCCCATCCAGGACAAATCAAAGAAGACTTCTGGAGGGGCCAAGGCAACACGGACAATGGCCAGGAGGCTGGTGTCACGCGAAGAATAAACATCCACGAAGTGGAGCTGGAATGGAGGAAAATTTAGTAAATCTTTATATTTTACATTAAATACACAAAAAGTATTTATGGTATATGGTGTATTCAATGTATATGGAAGAAATTTAAAGCAAGCCAGTTTTTTCCATTACAGGTTCACTTTAGGGTTCACTGGCAAGTATTGTAAGGCTTGAAATTTGAAGTCTTGTTGTTGGTATTATTATCATTTATATAGCGCCAACAGATTCCGTAGCGCTTTACAATATGTAACCATGTATGATGAGAACAGATTGACAGCAGATGGGAGGAGACATGACTGATGTACAGTCTGGTGGTGTAAAGTACATAGTACCAATATCTAATGGAAGCAACTAACCTTTTGGGGGGGAAATGTAGCTAATTACAACTGCGTTTCTAGCCCAGGTTTAAAATTGTAAAGGGATAAACCAAGTTTCATAAACTCGATCTTATTGCAGTGGTTATAGTGCAAGAAATGTGTCTCGGAATATTTACCTTGTAAATTCTTGCCGTTTTCAAAATTTTCAGGTTCATTTCCAGTTTCCAGACAAACCAAAACATCCTCAACTGCTAATCAGCAAAGAACTATATTGTTGCACTATTTAGGCTGCAAACTATAGTAATTGTTATCCACCTTAGGGACACTAAGTGCTAAAAAGTAAGTGAAAAAACTCCAAACTAAATTATAAAGCCATTTTCCTTGTATCATTCTCAGTTACTTTGTATAGTATTTTTGCCAGTTAAGGTTTCCAACCTCCTTAAAGTGTTTTTGTCATTGTCTGGGGCCTATGAAAAATTTACAAGACCACCAACAGTGACTTCTCTGCTGGCAGTGTTGTGGCCAAGGCGTACAGGGATAGGTGGGTTACACTTAACCAGTATCGATCCCTCGTGGCCACCGCTATCTTCTACCTGCCGGACTTCTTCAGCTCCTGGCACTTCAGCTGCCGAAGGCGATGTCCACATTACACTCTAGCGCATGCGCAACAGTATAACACTAAGGTCTAGAGAGAATCCCACCAAACCCTCCATAGAAAAAGCCCTTTTAGCCTTAGCCGTCACTGGTGACAGTTGAGGGCTTGACAAAATGTAGCTCTGCCTTTTGTCAAGCGTAAGAAAAATACTAAGGCAAAGTAGTCCCTACTTTGTCTTAGTATATATTTTGACCTGGTTGGAATTTTAGCATTTTAGTGTTGTGAAATACCCTTTTTAGATGGGGGAGAGTGGGTGATAGAGCCGCTTTAATCAACTTTGTGGCCATGAGGCAGAAGAAGCAAGATATAAGATACAAAGTTTATTTGTCCTTAAACCAACAAATATATTTATGTTACATTAAAAGGTGACTAAATGCTGGAGTCGATCCATTGCTTTGTATGCATTAAACATATATGCAAACACAATAAATTAAAACTTTACAGTACATTTGAAGACCCTGCATTTGGTGCAAATACTCAGACTTTCAATTCTTATCAAACCAGGAACACCTCAGGAAACAATCATTATGCTCGCCTAGAAGATTAGTCCAAGCACCATAACCACTTCAGTATTTTGAAGTTGTCATGGTGCCTGAATGTGCAGCGTTTCAGATTGAAACACTTCACATATAGCAATTTTGCTGTTGGAGTGTTCCAGGCTGGCCAATATCAATTCAGTGTATATTCTTTATACAGAGGGCCACTTATTGTATGAGAGCACTCTGCTGAAACTCTCAGCCAGCATCCGGCTTCTGCAGGGCTTCATTTTTCATTAGAAGAGGCTCAGTGCCCTGCAGGACCCAGTTATGAGGAAATCCATTGCTGGGAATTAAATAATGGGAAACAGCAGCAGGGTGCTCCTTGCATTATAACCAGTATGTCAGGCTGTAGTGGTTATGACACCTGGAGTAACCTTTTACCTTTCTATAAAACTGATATGCTTATTCTATATTGCATGCTTTAAGGGAATTGTAGTTCAATTGTCTGCTTTATACTGTAGTAAACCAATACCTGAAATACAATGCCCAGCAAAGAAATGACGTCTTGCACAGCGCAATTTTGGAGAAAGAAAGGAAACATTGCAGCTTGGTAGCAAGGGACAGAACAAAAGCACTTCTGACGTGTAGGTGCTTTAAAAAGCAAAGATGCCAAACTAGTGTAAACAAACATCACTTGTTATTTGGGCTTTGTTTCTCTCTTCAGTTTCTGCAGATACACACATCATAACACTGCACAACTTTTGAAAGTGCTTTGGTTCAACCACAGTGACGTAACTTCATATTTCCTCCACCTTCACTCACAGCCCCAGGTCTTAATTGCTAACAGGTGGCCCTATATGTAAATTTCTGAAAAGCTTGGTGGGATGTTCTAGAGCAGGGGTCCTCAAACTCCAGCCTCCCCAGATGTTGCTGAACTACAACTCCTTTGATTATCTGGCTATGTAAATCAAAGAATCATGGGTGTTGTAGTTCAGCAACATCTGGGGGGGCCGGAGTTTGAGGACCCCTGTTCTAGCGTATGCACGCAAAATGTTTATGGGAAGTTCTAACCATATAACCAAAAAAATGCTGACTGAGTCTGTAAGTAGTCATTTCAAAAGTTACATTTAACAAAACAACCATTGGAAATCATCACAATATAATATATGCAATACTTAATCTAAGCTTTAAAAACATTTTTTAAAAAGGTCAGAACTATTATAGTGAGATATATATATAAAGAAAAAAAAAATCCTGCACTCCATGAAATTCAAAATATACTTGCCCGGTGCTTGTCAGGCGAAATTACAAAGCTAAATTATGCAGATAGCACTCCCAGGACTTGGAATAAGTATACAACTTAACTTTTCATTTACTCTACAAATGAATCGACGTTTCAGTCTGTTACACACAGAATTTCCGATGAAAGTCTGTGTAACAGACTGAAACGTCGATTCATTTGTAGAGTAAATGAAAAGTTAAGTTGTATACTTATTCCAAGTCCTGGGAGTGCTATCTGGATAATTATATATATATATATATATATATATATATATATATATATATATATATATATATATATATATATATCTTACACATACACACATCTACAGTGATATAGTAAAGTCACCATCTGCCAACATACTAAAGGTTCTGACTTCCTATCACTCCCTAATCCCCTATGCCCAGGCAATTTGTTGAATTTAGACTGGTCCAGAATTTAAGTAGAATTCACTGATTATAATATTAGCACAATGCACTATATGTATATAAAACAATGACCAGTCTATGTAACTACTGTTTAATTGCCTGGTATTATCAGATCAGTTTCTCCCCATATCCCCTCCAGGCCAATAATAATAATAATAATAATAATAATAATAATAATAACAGTCCAGGTAAGTATTAATATAATCAGTCCAAGTTAATAATAATAATAATAATAATAATAATAATATTACTAGTCCAGGAACAATAACAATAATAATAATAATAATAATAAATATTACTAGCCTAGGTCAATAATAAATATTACTAGCCCAGGTCCATAATAATAATAATAATAATAAAATATTACTAGCCCAGGTCCATAATAATAATAATAATAATACTAATAATAATAATAATAAGAGCAGCAGTCCATGGATGACTTGGAGGGAGCTGCCCAGCTGTTGCAGAGCTCCAGCTCTCGAAGTAAAGTTGCAAAGCATTGTGGGTGTTGTAGTTGTTCAGCAGGTGGTCTGCCCTGTATGTAACTAGTAAACAATATTAACTAACCCCTAGCACTCCCAGCCATGGGCTGAGCTGAGCCCCCTCTCCCAGGATACTCACTGCCCCGGTGAATATATCCTCCCCCTCGGTGTCGCTGTCAGTCCCCGGGGCGTCCTCCTCCTCGTCCTCATCGTCCAGTTCCGGTGGGACCCGCTGCAAAACACCACTTTCATCCGCCATCACCCGAGCTGCCGGAAGCGGGAGGCAGCAGCAGCCAGGAACTCGCTGGAATAGCGAGCTAGAGGGGGCGCTGCCGAACGTGACGTCAGGCTCTGTGCGGAACAGCGCCACCTGCGGCGAATGGGTGGAACAGCGCGCAGCGGGCAGAGGTCCTAGTAATGAGTGGCATAGTGTACTAATCAGCCCAGCACAGCACAGCACAGCCCAGCACAGCCCAGCCCAGCACAGTATGTAGATTATTAGTTATAGTATTAGAACATGGCATACAGCGCTAATCAATATATAGATTATTAGTTATATTATTAGAACATTGCATAGGGAACTAATCAATATATAGATTATTAATTATATTATTAGAACATGGCATACAGCACTAATCAATATATAGATTATTAGTTATATTATTAGAACATGGCATACAGCACTAATCAATATATAGATTATTAGTTATATTATTAGAACATGGCATACAGCACTAATCAATATATAGATTATTAGTTATATTATTAGAACATGGCATACAGCACTAATCAATATATAGATTATTAGTTATATTATTAGAACATTGCATAGGGAACTAATCAATATATAGATTATTAGTTATATTATTAGAACATTGCATAGGGAACTAATCAATATATAGATTATTAGTTATATTATTAGAACATGGCACACAGCACTAATCAATATATAGATTATTAGTTATATTATTAGAACATGGCATACAGCACTAATCAATATATAGATTATTAGTTATAGTATTAGAACATGGTATACAGCACTAATCAATTTATAGATTATTAGTTATATTATTAGAATATGGCATAGAGCACTAATCAATATATAGATTATTAGTTATATTATTAGAACATGGCATACGGCACTAATCAATATATAGATTATTAGTTATATTATTAGAACATGGCATACAGCACTAATCAATATATAGATTATTAGTTATATTATTAGAACATGGCATACGGCACTAATCAATATATAGATTATTAGTTATATTATTAGAACATGGCATACAGCACTAATCAATATATAGATTATTAGTTATATTATTAGAACATGGCATACAGCACTAATCAATATATAGATTATTAGTTATATTATTAGAACATGGCATACAGCACTAATCAATATATAGATTATTAGTTATATTATTAGAACATGGCATAGAGCACTAATCAATATATAGATTATTAGTTATATTATTAGAATATGGCATAGAGCACTAATCAATATATAGATTATTAGTTATATTATTAGAACATGGCATAGAGCACTAATCAATATATAGATTATTAGTTATATTATTAGAACATGGCATACGGCACTAATCAATATATAGATTATTAGTTATATTATTAGAACATGTCATACGGCACTAATCAATATATAGATTATTAGTTATATTATTAGAACATGGCATACAGCACTAATCAATATATAGATTATTAGTTATATTATTAGAACATGGCATAGAGCACTAATCAATATATAGATTATTAGTTATATTATTAGAACATTGCATAGAGCACTAATCAATATATAGATTATTAGTTATATTATTAGAATATGGCATACGGCACTAATCAATATATAGATTATTAGAACATGGCATAGAGCACTAATCTATATATAGATTATTAGTTATATTATTAGAATATGGAATACAGCTCTAATCAATATATAGATTATTAGTTATATTATTAGAATATGGAATACAGCTCTAATCAATATATAGATTATTAGTTATATTATTAAAATATGGCATACAACACTAATTAATATATAGATTATTAGTTATATTATGAAGCAGCTCACCTGTCCTTCCGCGCCATGCTGTGTGGAGCGTTGCTATGGTAACGTGTGGCAACGCTCCACACAGTTTGCTTGCGGGAGGACAGGGGAGCTGCTTCACAGATCCCTCCCCCTGCCTCCCGACACGGAAGCAAAGTAGGCGCCTGATGTTTTGTTCAGGCAGGTGCCTACTCTGCATTGATGGCAAACCTATGGCTGCGTGCCCACAGAAAGGGCCCGGCGTGCCACCTGTGCCATATGTTCGCCATCACTGATCTAGTGGCTAGCTTCCAGGCTCAGTTATTCAGTCAAATGCTGCTCATAGAGAATATTTAATTGGAGGATTGGATTGGCTGAGATTATCAAGATTGATGATATCAGCCAAGAGGCGGTTTGGCAACACGCAGCTAGATATAAGATAAGTAAGATCTCTTGTTTAAACCCTTGCAGAAGGGTTTAAACAAGTGACTATCTAAATGGTAAGGAGAAAACTATAGCGTTAGCAACATTATAATCTTCTTTCAAGTTATTCCTTTATGGACCAATTCTAAATCAATTATATTAAATGATATATCAATGTTAGCAGTACATCAAATTATGGTATAAAATGTTTGTTCTGTTACACAGCTGTACTCATCCCGGTGTGTTCGTTCCTGCTGCAGCAGAATTAAACAGATCACCGTGTCTGAATATTTTTGGTCTGGTCTTTTTCTCCACCTGATCTGATCATAATGATCTGCGTCCTATATTTCTCTCACACATACAATCACACTCTCATCACAGTCATGCAGCCCCGAGATACAAAACTTCAATTGCACATGCAACTGACATATTCAGACACAACTTTTATCATGTGAGTGGCCGAGTGCATTCACACCAACAATCTCATCACATGTGTAATCACATACACGACTCTCATCACTCATGCAGCCCCAACACACTCTCATAACACATGCAATTACACAGACACATGCAAAGCCAATCCACACGCAACTTCCATCTCTCAACTTCAATTCCACAGGCACAACTCCCATCACTCTCATTCAGTCCCCACACATGCAATTTCCATCACACATACAGCTTCACACTTTCAAGTACCCTATATAGGAGACATTTGGGGTCTCTATGTTTCTATGTTTCTATGTTTTTTTCCTATATATTCAAACACAACTCCTATCACATATTTTCAGTTGCATGTCAACACAACTCCTATCACACAAAGTAAATGCAGGTAAAGGATATTGGTGGAGAGATAATGGGAATTGGGAAATTGCTAATGCAACTTTGGGAAATAACATCTGTTGAAGGGTAGGGAGAGACCTGGTGAGTTAGTATGAAAAAATAATTAATCTGGTTGTAGAATAAAGACTAGCAGAGAAATAATTAAAAGTAGACTGAGAGAAGGAAACGGGGAATATAGACTGAGAAGCACAGGAACATACCAGGTGCGGCGGGCAACTTGCAGGGGACCCGAGTGTTGCCGTCGACGACACCCTTTTCTCCTTAGTGATTAGCTGCCAAGTGAATATAGCTCATCCCTAGTCATTAGCCCTGTCTTAATCTAAGGGTGAAATAGGACTGCCTTTATTAGAGTGAATGTCACACTTTTATACCAGGGTCCCTAACAGGGAATCACCAGGAGATCAAAAGACATTGCACAATACCTGGCGCCTAGGTTTCTGTACCTTTTCTGCCACCTCTCCCCACAGCACCTTGTTTGGGGTTCCTGGGACCAAGAGCAACCTCAAAGAAGTTTTACTGGATCATGTCAACTCCGCAATCAGATTTGGAGTTCCAAGTGATTTGTGGGTCGCTCCCGGTCAGGCACGCCATGCATTTGCAAGTCCTCTCTTGGGCTCTGATGTCTCCGGGACTGCTGGATATGGTGCTGGACTGGGAGGCATGGTCAGGAAGGGGGATTATGTGGGTGATTATAGTTCTTTTAGGAGGAGGTGGCAGTTGGGTGCACAAGTCCTAAGGTACTAGGTGATCACACCAGGCCACCATTTATTACAGCCTGTTGTAGTGGTTATGGTACAAGAAGTGCCCTGGTTTCATCCCACCTTAATTTGTGAAACAATTTTAGCACAGTTTTACAATTACTCCCACTGACCCTCTTCTTTTTAAACAGAAGAAATCAAATGCTGATGTAGACATATAATCATTGTAAGCACTCTCGGTCAATGAATGTGTTCCTATCTTGGCTCTAGAAAACGAGAACCAGCACAAGTGTCCGATGGGGCCCAAGATAAGCGTTAAGATGTGCTGAAATGGTTTTACAAATTACACTGGGGCGGTGACAGGGAACTTGTGGGACCATAGTCACTGCAGCAGTTTGTAGTGGGGCTGGTGCTTGAAGTGTTCATTTAAAAAAAGACTGGTTGATAAGGATGATATGGAATCCATCCCCTTGTTATTTTTTTCCTCTCCATTCTTCTCTTCACCCTCTTTCCCTCCCCCCTTTTCCTGGTTTGGCATATTTTGTAATATTTTGCTAATCCATGTCTTTTCTACATTTGTACAGTTTTAATATTTTTTAATTTTCACCTTTTGTTCTTTGCTCTCATCCCTCGTCCTTTTTGTCTTTTTCTCACTTAATTTCTTATTCACCTGTTTCCATCACGGGATTGAAAATTTGTTCACAGTTGGTGACGTTTGTTCATAATGTATCACTTCTTATGTATAATCTATCATTATTGTTTGGTTTTCAACCCTGTAACGTTCCATAATTTGTATATACTATCTTTAAACCTCTTACTATGTCTTCAACACAGTAATTTGAAAATAAATAAGACTGGTAGGGCCTGAGTGCCTGCGTGAGACATGCACAGTGTGAAGTAGAAAGAAAATTATTAGACAGTGGAGGAGAGAAAGATCATAAAAACTGGCTAATGGAGAAATTAGATATATAGATGATGTTTGATAGACAAGGGGAGCAGCAAGTTTGTACGTGTGAGTTTATCAATATATGTTTACACAAGGATATGTGTGTGTACAATTTGACATTATTAAACTATATGTAGGTAAGCACATTTCAAATATGTAAATGAGTGTGATGACTGGTTTACACAGGTTTAGCAACAATAACAAGTTTGTTGTTTGTGGCTGTCGGCTATACATAAAAGTTCAAGTCGAAAAACTCCTCGCAAGAGCACAGTACAACTGACGTTTTGCTTATTTTGGCTATTGCTCAGACCAAATCAGAAACCATAAATTGTCGGAAATGATAATGAATGGAATAATATCTGAATGCGTATTCAAGTTTTATATTTATATAACAGGGTATTTATTTTACCAGAGCGAAGTGTGAGGAATTCAAAATGTTACTTTATTGCACACGATTATCTATGGAAGATCTAGCGATGGCTGGAGGGAGATTTGATGGGTTGGGTTTGGCCTCACTGGGAAAAATATTTATTCAAAAAAGGCAAAACATGGGCTTTTATTCCAGACATCTTCTCTTTATTCAGAGACTCTGGAGCGTTACAGACCCATTCGCCAAATCTTGACAGGGGTCACTAAGACCCCTTCCACCAGACCAAGCTGCAGTGAATATAGCTCTTTAAAATACCCTCTTTCCGGTAGAGCAGTGGTTATAGCTTTATTATAGCCTTTCCACCACCTTTAGACGAGTCTGAATGTAGTGGGTAGAATGATTTTTATTACACAGCATACAGCTATTTATACAGAGCATTATTTTACAGAATCATGTTGGCTCTCCCTGCAGGGGGTCCTCCATACAAAGCAATGCACAGTACAATTGTCCCTCCCCAGGACCACTCTGTCTGGTAATTTAATAACATTATCCCCAGCTAACACAATCAGCTCTTTACAGTCCTAGAGGCACATCATACAAAATCTCCATCAAAAGCCCCTTTTCCTGGACCGTACCCTCACACAATATAAATCTCCGGAAAGCTAGTCACTGAGTACCCTCGCTGTCCAAGTAGTGCCTTGATCAGTGAATCTGCTCCCCAGCGTGTTAGTAGTTTTACCAGGTCATGCCTATTCTTCAATCCGTTGAGCCGGCTTAGTCCAGGTATCCAAAAAGGGCTTAGTCGGAGTACTCTCATGTTCTGGGTATCCAATGGTGTCCCCCAACCTCCCCTCCAAATAGTGCTCTATTTAGAGGTCAGGATACTGAGCGATACCCACTTAAATATTGACCGGTCCTCGTACACAGCTGATATAAGGAACAGTTCCAGAGTGTTTCAGGGTATCTCCTGGTCAAGCGCTCAATGTGTAAAAATGAGTCCAGGCATTCCCCAAAGGTCCTCAATTATGGGAAGCCCCCACAGTAACAATAGTCTCGTTCTAGGGGCTCTTGGGACTAGGCCTACAGTATGGGGGCCGGATGCTGGCCTTCAACGTTCGGGAACTTCGTTCACAAAGCACTTTCGAGAAGTGTGCTCGTCAACCTGTTGATCCTGTAACATTTTGTAAATGCCTCATTAACTGTTAAATTTCCCCCTTTATAAATTTTTAAGGTTCTATAGAATCTATAAATGATGATAATAATTGTGGAGGCCTACTTGCAGTAAACCCAAGTGTCACCGCCAAGGACTCCCTTTCACCCTTAGTGATTATATCCTAAGTATATGTACCCCTTTTAATTAGCTGAGCTTTAATGTAAGGGCAAAGTAGGACTGCTTTATTGGAGTTAATGGCACAGTTTTATACCTGGGTCCAAAACAGGGGATCACCAGGTGCACAAATCCTGGCTCTTAGGTATCTTATGGTAGGTACCTGACCATATAAATGAATTAGCTACCTTGGCGCTAATAACCTTTATCCATAAAAACAGGGTTCCTGCGTCCGTATCCAAAAACCAGTGCCACCCCCAGGTAGCTCTCCATGGAGCTCCTATTCTGTCCAAAAAGCACTCAGATTGGAGTTCTGGATGTTTTGACCGGGCTGCGAGCAACTTCCGATCTGGTTCAGAGTCCCATAGTGCTAGGTGGAGATTCCCAGACACTCTCAATGATAGTCCTTTCCATTGGTACATTGAGCTCCCTTAAGTCTTTGGTACCATTCAATGCCTCACTACCTCCTCTGTCATTCCTCCAAGTAGCACTCTGTTTGGTATTTCTGGGGCCGAGAGCAACCTCAAAAAAGTTTTACTGGATTGCAGCAACTCCGTTATCTGATTTTGATTACCAGTTGATATGTAGGTTGCTCCCGGTCAGGCTCACATGTCTCTGCCAGTCTCCTCTCAGGTTCTGATGTCTCTGGGATCGCTGGATAGAGTGCTGATCTGGGAGGCAGGGTCTGGACTGTGAATAAATCGGTGATCATAGTTTCTTTAGCAGGAGGTGGTGGTTTGGAGCCAGGTGGTCTGTCTCAATAGACAGGTTTGTGAGGGTACAATTTGGGTTTTAACCAGATCCTTCTTGTTATGTTTTCTTTTACAAATTTACTGCATTTTTAGAAACTATGTTTTCCCTAAAAACTTAGGGAAATAGTTTATTCCCAAACATTCATCAGAACATGACATTATTTTACGGAATCATTTTAATTTCAGATTTTAGATGGCGTTCGGTCATAGATTGTAAACACGTTGGAGCAGAGCCTTCTTCACCTCTTGTCTTGTTAACAATCTGTATGTGAATTGCCTGTGGTCAAATATCTCCATACTATAATTGTGACGTCTAATAAGATATGTTGGTGCTGTATAAATCATAATAATAATAATGAGAATGATAAGAAAAATGTCTGTTTCAGGCACTGTTGTGTATTCCCCCATTTCTATGGTTTTCTTGATTTTATTAAAATTCTAATTTGTCAAGAATTTGAAGTGAATTTCAAAATTTAGGCTTAAATAGACAATCTAATGACATTAGAGAACAGTATTTCTGCCATTAATACGTTAATCTTATTAATAATCAGGAGAATTAACAAATTATGTTAAAGCTTTACTTTTGTACATTCTGACAATTGTGAAAGTTTTAAGGTGTCTGTTAATTGAGGAAGGAAGAGAAATACTTTGAGCAATGCTTACACAAATTCTGGTGCTACGCGTATTCTTGTTTAACTTGTTTATCACACTTCTAATATTAAAAAAGAAAAGCTTGTAGTTATCTATTCATTAAATAAGAAATAGTTTCCTGTCTTTTTAAGTGGGCAAGGCTCACTTTGTGATATTTTTGCTAGAAAATATAGTAAATGTAATAGGTCATAGTTGTGAGATATTGACTGAATTGGAGTGTTCTGATTTAAAACAAGGTAGACCTTTTGAAGTTATTCAAAGTTTTATAAACTAGAAAAAAATAGGTGACTGCTATATTTAATCAAATGGTCTTTTCAATTATATTAACCACTTTGGCGTATTGTAGTGCTTATGGTGCACAGTGGATGTTGGTGCAATCCTTCCAGATGTTTGTAAAACAGATCTGAAGCGGTTTGACGATATAAGAAGATTCCCTGGCAGCCAAGGATTATCCATTATGCTTCAGACAATAAGCAAGATTTGGCCATGACAAAAGGCCACTGAACCTTTTAAGCACTGGAGAGCCACAGGACACCTTTATTTAGTAGCAGTGCCAAACAGTCTATTTTTACGACCCTCAATTATCTCATATCTCCTATATGAGCATCTTGTGGAATAGTAATAAAAATGAAATTAAAAAAAATCTTATAGCAGCAACATTTTCAACACAAAGTCAGAGGATGATGAAAAACCGAAGCAACATATACAATATACTGCACTGCTTTACATAAAGTCGTCTTATCGGCCACCTTTTACATATATTTTGAGAATATTACATTTGAGCTCCTTGGAATTACATTTGAGCGCCTTGCATCCAAAATTCACAATACAGGGAAAACGGATGTACGTCGGACCCCCAGCATGTTTCTTAAAGGAGTGGATGACACGGGAGGAAAACGGGAGGGAGAATTATGGATCTTTGACATCACACTGTAACAGAGAAATGATATCGCTCTATCATTTACAATAAATTATATCCCTCCGAGAAAAAGCTATGTTTGTTTAGAAGGAGGGTTAGCATTAAAACGTACCCCAGCGCAATGAAACACTTTATAATTCTAACTTTATAATTGGTAGAACATTGTAATATCATCTATAGCAAACAACTTGGCTACACAATGTCTTAATACAGGACGGACATTGTTTAAATAAAGATTCTGAGTAATCCACTAAATGGATATATTTACATAATTTGCTAATTAGAAGACAGTCTGGTCACTTTATTTCAGTGACGTGGTCTGGGCACAGTGGTCTTGTTTTAGTCCTGCAAGGTAAATCATTGCCTTTTTGCATTGCAGCGCTAAACACACCTCTAGTGAATGTCTTCCTGATACCCGCTAGATGGTGATTCTACTGCTATAACCAAGCCAGACAATTCATAATGAGTTCAAAGTGAATTATAAGTCAATTTCAAATTTTAGGCCAAATTTGCCAAACTGGAAGCACAGCTGATTTTTCTAATTCAGCTAATTTGGCCTTAAATGTGAAATTCTTTATAAATGTACTTTTTTTATTTTTATTCTTTATTTATTCCAAGACATGACATCGTAAAACAAAGAAAACACACACACACACACACACACACACATATATATATATATATAAAATATTTGTTTCCATTTTTATATAAAAAAATAATAATAATAATACAAATAAATATATATAAAGTGAGGGAAAAAAGTATTTGATCCCCTGCTGATTTTGAACGTTTGTCTACTGACAGAGAAATGATCAGTCTATAATTTTAATGGTAGGTGTATTTTAACAGTGAGAGACAGAGTAACAAAAAAACAATTCCAGAAAAACACATGTCAAAAAAGTTATAAATTGATTGGCATGTCAATGAGTGAAATAAGTATTTGATCCCCTATCAATCAGCAAGATTTCTGTCTCCCAGGTGTCTTTTATAAAGGTAACGAGCTGAGATTAGGAGCACTCTTTGAAAGGGAGTGCTCCTAATCTCAGCTCATTACCTGTATAAAAGATACCTGTCCACAGAAGCAATCAATCAATCAGATCCCAAACTCTCCACCATGGCCAAGATCAAAGAGCTGTCCAAGGATGCCAGGGACAAGATTGTAGACCTACACAAGGCAGGAATGGGCTACAAGAACATCGCCAAGCAGCTTGGTGAGAAGGTGACAATAGTTGGTGCAATTATTCGCAAATAGAAGAAACACAAAATAACTGTCAGTCTCCCTCGGTCTGGTGCTCCATGCAAGATCTCACCTCATGGAGTTTCTGTGATTATGGGAACAGTGAGGAATCTGCCCAGAACTACACGGGAAGATCTTGTTAATGATCTTAAGGCAGCTGGGACCATAGCCACAAAGAAAACAATTGGTAACACACTACGCCGTGAAGGACTGAAATCCTGCAGTTCCTGCAAGGTCCCCCTGCTCAAGAAAGCACATGGACAGGCCTGTCTAAAGTTTGCCAATGAACATCTGAATGATTCAGAGGAGAACTGTGTGAAAGTGTTGTGGTCAGATGAGACCAAAATCGAGCTGTTTGGCATCAACTCAACTCGCCATGTTTGGAGGAGAAGGAATGCTGTCTATGATCCCAAGAACACCATCCCTACCGTCAAACATGGAGGGGGAAACATTATGCTTTGGGGGTGTTTTTCTGCTAAGGGGACAGGACAACTGCACCGCATCAAAGGGACAATGGACGGGGCCTTGTACCGTCAAATCTTGGCTGAGAACCTCCTTCCCTCAGCCAAGGCATTGAAAATGGGTCATGGATTGGTATTCCAACATGACAATGACCCAAAACACACAGCCAAGGCAACAAAGGAGTGGCTCAATAAGAAGCACATTAAGGTCCTGGAATGGCCTAGACAGTCTCCAGACCTTAATCCCATAGAAAATCTGTGGAGGGAGCTGAAGGTCGAGTTGCCAAACACCAGCCTCGAAACCTTAAAGACTTGGAGTGGATCTGCAAAGAGGAGTGGGACAAAATCCCTCCTGAGATATGTACAAACCTGGTGGCCAACTACAAGAAATGTCTGACCTCTGTGATTGCCAACAAGGGTTTTGCCACCAAGTACTAAGTCGAAGGAGTCAAATGCTTATTTCACTCATTGACATGCAAATCAATTTATAACTTTTTTGACATGCGTTTTTCTGGATTTTTTTTTGTGTTTTGTTATTCCATCTCTCACTGTTAAAATACACCTACAATTAAAATTATATACTGATCATTTCTTTATCAGTGGGCAAACATTCAAAATCAGCAGGGGATCAAATACTTTCCCCCCTCACTGTAGCTATATATATAGATTTTTTTAAAAATTTTTTTAGAAAAACTGAAGAGATGTGAATGTTGAGAAAAAATTATATAAGAGCAAACCTATGAAATGCATGTAAGTTGTTATGGTGAATGATTATTGAGAACGTACAACTAATGCGGGACTTAAAATCTCAGTGCATCCCAGTAAATACTTTTACTTTTACAATTACATTGAAGCACTTTTCACTAATTTATACTCACCAACATTCATTGCACAAGTAATTGTGCACATCCATTTCCAATAATTTGGGAGTTACGACTAAGGGTCTCAGCTCCTTGTGAGTGTGCATGTAGTTCCACTGCTTGGGGACCACACTTCGGTACTTGCCGCTGCACGTAAGAATGTCTTTACTCTACAGCAAAAAAAACAGATTTAACAGTGATATATAATTGATTAGGTCAATCTGCTTATATACTGCGTATGATGTGATATAACAGACATCAATGGATGTCTTCTTGTGGCATTCAGTGCTCTCAAATTATTGTACATATATATGTGGAATTCTGAATCTGCTGCTAATTACTTACAAATGTGGTCAAATTGACATTGTTTCCTTTACATGGCGTGGCTTATATGCAGGGCCATGAGGGCCGGATTAACATGGGGCTGATGGAGCTGCAGCTCCATTTGATTTTTTTTTTTTTTTAACACACTACTTTTAGAGTTGCCAGGTATTTCTCATATATTTCTTAGGGTTGCCAGGTATTTCTCAGAAGTATTTCTCAGGTATTTGAGGCTGCCTAGCCGGTGCCGGTATTGCAGTAATACCGGCAATACAAATCTGTCTCAGTATAAACAGAGATTGTTCTGCAATACCAACGCCGGACAGTAGGCGTTGCTGTTTGTGTGGAGAGAGGCAGGTATAAGAGGTTACGGCATCTCCCTCCCTGCCTCTCTCTATTCACTGAGAGTCCAGACAGCAGCTCCGAGACATGGGGAAGCTGAGACATTGGGACACTGGGGAACATGGGGACCCTGAGACACTAGGGACACAGTGGCCCCATGTCTCCCAGTGGCCCCTTGTCTGTGTCCCCATGTCTCCCAGCCACTGTCCCTAGTGTTTCAGTGGCCCCATGTCTCCAGTGGCCCCATGTCTCTAAGTGTCCCTTTAGTGTCTTAGTGACATGGGGACACTGGGAGACATGGGGACACAGACTCTAAGGGACACTGGGAGACATGGGGATACAAACACTAGGGGACACTGGGCAACATGGGGACACAGACACTAGGGCACACTGAGAGACATAGAGATACTGGGGGACACAGGGAGACATGGGGACACTGGGCGACTTTGAGACCTAGGAAACATGGGGCACTCACTCCCCCTGGTGTCTCTCAGTGTCTGTAGTGTGCCAGTGTCCCTAGTGTCTCAGTCTTTCCTAGTCTCCCAAAGTCCCCTAGTCTCCCAATGTCTCCCAGTGTCCCCATGTCTCCTAGAGTCTCAGTGTCCCCTAGTATAAAATAAAAAATCTCAGGCACTCACAGTGATAGATTTAGGCAGGTTTATTGGACACTGCAACGTTTCGACCTGTACCCAGGTCTTTATCAAGTCTCAAATGTCCCCTATGTATCAGTGTCCCCTATGTATCAGAGTGTCTCAGTGCCCCATGTCTCTCAGTGCCCCATGTCTCTCTGCCCGTAGTGTCTCTGTGCCCGTAGTGTCTGTGTCCCCTAGTATAAAAGAAAAAAATTTAAGGCACTCACTGTGATAGATTTAGCCAGGTTTATTGGACACTGCAACATTTTGACCTGTACTCAGGTCTTTATCAAGTCTCCAGTGTCCCCTATATCACAGTGTCTCAGTGCCCCATGTCTCCCAGTGTCCCCTTGTGTGTCACCCAGTGTCCCAAGGTCTCCCAGTGTTCCCTAATATCTGTGCCCCCATGTCTCTCATTGTCCCCATGTCTCTCAATGTCCCCTAGTGTCCTAGTGACATGCCCCCTTTTTGTGTATGTTCGCCCTTGCGGCCGTTCTGGTTATGTGATTTGTGTCAGTGGCCCACCCTTTTACCGCATCCATAGACTTCCTGCTTTACTGGACACTGCTGTTAGGGGATATGGGTTGACTTGAAAGATGAAAGCGTGAGATTAGCAAAGGGTATGTGTTTTCTCATAGTCTCATCCTATGAGTTTCCCTCCAGCACCATCTCCATCAGATACATGATGCTTAGGAGGTAGGACTGTTTTAGTGTTTTTAGTCAATAAGATTTTGTAATTAGGCCCATCATAATTATCAGCACCAGGCCCACTGGGCTCTTAATCCAGCCATGGGGCCATGATCTGTGCACCAAAACCACTTCATTAAGCTGAAGTTTTTTTGGTGCTTAGCATATACATGTAAACTGTCAGGTAGATAAAATTACAGTAACTATGGAAACAATTTGTCTTATTATTACAGTAGTTAGCTATTGCCCAGAACACTACGCTTCCACATCATTATATTATTTTATTGCCATTACTGTATCCATATATTGTTGTCAAGTACTGCCTTATCAATACCCTTTGGGTAAATAAAGTTCCTTTGACTCCTGAAACATATACCTGGTCCACAGAGGCACTGTTGAGACTCCAACATCTTTTTTGGAATGCCTTATCCTGAAGGTGTGGTTGTCTCTGCCCCTCCAACACTGTTGAGCTAAATGCAAACAAATTAAAGAATGTAAAATGCTTCTATTGTATTTTCAAGAAAGCACATAGGGATGGAACTGCTGGTCACGTGATCAGTGGATTTTAATTTTTCAAGTAAAAATAATAATTAAATATGAACTGAATTCACTGTATTTTTAATAGGTAATATATGGTATGTTCTGACTTTAGAACAAGCCGACATAAATGATAAAAATATTGGCTGTGCCTACATGTCTTATTCGGCTTCCGGGCTCTCATAATGCCAACACTGTCAACCTTCAACTAATTCAATGTTAAATTAAAAGGACGCTGTAACTGTTTCATCTCATTTAAGTGGTTATAGTTTTTGGAGTACCCTGGCACCATACTTCCATTTAGCATTAAACAGTTTTTGCCATTTTAATGCTAAATAAGAATCCTTAGCAGCCCGGTCCCCTCTTTGCTGCTTGGGCTAATCAGGAAGCATTTGCATGAGTAGCAATGGGTGTATGTGATTGGATGAGAGTGTCAGCTGACCACTTTCAGCCTATTACAGTGCCTATTGCTGGTATGAGTTGGGCTGTGTGGAAAAAATGTTTAACACTGAATTTAGAGACAGCGCCAGAGGCCTCCAGGCACTGTAACAAATTCAATTTGATGAAATTGATATAGTACCTTCAGTGCCGTTGTAAGCATTCTAAATAGAGATACAAAATTTGAAAATACTTTGCGTTTTATGTGAAAAATTGTAGAGCAAAGTTCTAAGCAGAGAGCAATCACCACAGTAACAACATGCTATCCATATGGATAACCAAGCTTTAGAACTTTGCCCATCATTACTCTTATTTATTATTTCACATTGCTGAATGGTAAGCAGCTTTGCCCTTGTTAGCACTGTGTTAACACTGGAATGTAACTAGAATAAATATGAGACAATTATTCTTCTCAATCCTGGATTGACTACAGTGAAAGACGTTACCTTCTAGCCCAAGACAGCACTGGTTTGATTAAGAATATCCCACTTTCTTCCTGCAGACCATGAAACATTTGGTTTAAGGACGACAAAACATGCAATCGTTCATCTTGGCTCTGCGTCCTCTGCTGTTTCCATCGCAGCAACGTCTGCAACATGTATACATCATCAATCAGGGAAGCTATGAGAATATCATATACAAAACTAAATTGATTGTTCTAACGCTAGAAAAACTGTTCCATTCCTTTGGGATACAATAAAATGGATTAACTATCACACTTGTCGAAGTGAACATTGCGTTGAGCCTGAACGATGAGACCAGTAAAATAAGAATAGTACTGGTAGGAAAGTTTTATTTAGCATTTGTTTGTTTTCAAAAATGCCCTGTGGTCTAGATGACGATGTTATTAATTATTAATAACCATGTTAATTGTGCTCAATAATTAACCTTGTGTCAGAACCATCATAGGATTGACCATGCAGGACCCGCTGTGGCTGTTGTGGATGCTCTCTGATACAGCACACAGCTGGTCCTTATTGCCTACCTAATTGTTAACTCCGGTTACCAGCACAGCTTTAACATATTTGATATTACTATTGCAACACTAACACACTATATTTTTTGCTTCATCACATGTTTGTACAAAAAAAAATGTTTTGCAAAAAGATGCATTATAAGCCTGCCCCTTAGTCACACCTCTTCCTTTCTACAAAAAAGACTTCCTGGTCAATGTATGTACACAGTTGAGCCAGTGATAGCATTGAGTGAGCTTTACTGCTCTAAGCAAATCTCGCACCTAGTCAGACTTTCTCCATTATAAATTAATTTTGCGTTTATACAGCACAGCCTTGTCAAACAGTCATACTTTTCCTCTCTCATTATTGTATGCACCCTCAATTCCAGGCATCTCTTTGATAACTTTAATTCTCTTCTTCGCCCTCCTGTGTCCACCCCCCAAACTAACCTTACAGTCAATAGCTTTGTATTTTCCTTTACCAACAAGATTAAACAGCAAAGGAAAGCATTCTCCCCACCTTGCCCCTCTCTTTCTCAGTGACACCTAGATCATGCCTTTTCTACCTTTCAGACTTTCTCCTAGGCTACTGAACAAGAGGTGGCTGCCCTTCTCCTTTCCTCTCAGCCTTCACTTGCCCGCTTGACCTTATCAGATTTCTATCCACTCTCACCTCATCAGATCTTTCTTCCCTTGTCTTGTACCTTCCTTAATACACATCTTCATCTCTCTCTCTTCTGGCATTGTCCCTGCTGCCCTTAAACATGGTACTATAGTACCCATCCTAAAAAAAATAATCTCTCGACCCGTCCTCCCCTTCTAACTATTGTCCCATATCCCTTCTCCCTTTTTCCTCAAAGTTCTGGAAAGACTTTTCTCTGCCCGTCTGGTCTGCTTCCTGAATTCCAACTCTCTCCTTCACCCTCTTCAGTCTGGTTTCCACCCCCTCCAGTCTACTGAGACTGCTCTTATTAAAGTTACAAATGACCTAATCGCAATTAAATCCAAAGGCCACGGGGGCAGAGCTAAGCTGCCATGCTGAGCGGTCGCACTGGAGATGAGCTCCGTGCATAAGCTCTCTCAAATGGCCAGAATCAGGGCACAAACTCACCAAATTGACAACTAGGCGACCTGGAGAAGGGAGCTCTAACACTGCAGAACCAAGCAACAAGCATTCCGACCAAAATCAGAGGCTCCAAACCGGGGATCGACCAGAGGCCTACTAGAGGCCTACCCAGACAAAGCGATAGACTACAACCACTTACCTGGAGGTCTCCCCGGCATATTTCCTCCCGCCCTGCTGGAGAGGGATATCCCGGCAACTAAAGCCTGGAACACAGCGAATCAACTACAGAAGTGACTGTCCAACACAGCCGGAACAGCACCAGCACTCATCGGGTCACTGGGAAGCAGCTAAGATGGCCACCCAGCGAAGGCACCAAAAACAAAGCACACACGCTCAACCAACCTCGAATCCCCTGGGGGAATTCGACCGATTCTGCGCGAGCCTCTGGACCATGCTAAGCGACCGTGGAATGGCTCACCGTCTGGCGGTGAAACTAGTGGCTACATGGCTCCGTCCAGTGACCCGGCGGCGCCATTATAGGTATCCTCTACAAGCAACCAGAACGGCAGCCAGACCCTGCAAACACCGACAAGCCCACGGGTGGAAAACGCCACCATGCTGCAGGAGCGACCACACTGGTCCCCACACTCACAAGAACGAGACTACCAAACCAGCCTCCCACATAAGCTACTCAACGGCTCCGGGAACCAGCGTCCAGCAAAGTTCACCTCCATCCCTCCAAGTCACAGCTGCAAACCGGGGAGCTGCATGGCTGAACACCCCACTGAACACCACTGGAGCTGGGCCCCAGTTAGGGGACGCCTTCAAGGAGACCAACGCTGACGACAAGAGACATATCCATCCACTGGGCATCGGCTGAAGAGCCTACCTCTGTGCCTCTCAAGTAAACATGCCACACTTACATCTGGAGGGCACGTTCACGGCCAGCAACAACTATCGACATATGAACTACCCACACCTCGTAAATATAAATATCACTGCATAGACTAAGTGTTTTAAGTGGACAATGCTGGCCAAACATATAGCCTAGCTACACAGAGATGCCGTAAAATATGCCAAAGACTACCTCTTGTTATTTATTGTTTAGTTCAGGACCAGATAGTCTAAGTTCTCATCTGCGATTCATAATCACCTTTGTGTCCACTTGTAGTTAAGGTTCAGCAGATTAGCATGTTACCACATACCCAGCAGCAAAATAGTCTAATCGCAATAGCCTGAGCTACGAATTAGTATTTTGGTACAACATTTATTGCACTGTTCCAAGCGATGCCTCAATATTGTTTTAATGATGTTTTATAGTTACACAAGCGAGAACTACACTGTTGAAATAATAATCCTAATAACCTAAAATATGTGCCTGACTAGCATATGTCACAACCTGTATTGCAAATGTTTTCCAACCTATCCTGATGTCGCTGTTGTGGCGCACCAGGGCTACTTGTTACTATTGTGCACAACAAAAATAAAGAATTTAAAAAAAAAAAATCCAAAGGCCACTACTCCATACTAATTCTTCTTGACCTCTCTGCTGCCTTTGACACTGTTGATCATGTTCTCCTTCTCCAAACTCTTCAATCACTCGGTCTCTGTGACACTATCCTCTTGTGGTTCTCCTATCTCTTCCAATGCTCATTCGGTGTCTCCTTTTCTAGTGAAACCTTCTCCCTTCATCCTGTCTCAGTTGGCTCTGTTCTTGGTCCCCTTCTATTTTCTCTTTATACTGCCTCTCTTGGCAAACTTATTACCTCATCTGGATTCCACTACCACCTGTAAGCCAATGACACCCAGATATATCTCTTCTCCCCAGACATCTCTCCCACGGACCTACAACGTGTCACTTCTTGCATTTCTTCCATCTCTGACTGGATGTCCTCCTGCTTTCTGAAACTCAGTCTCTCCAAAATGAGCTCCTTGTCTTTCCTTCTTCATATACTGATCCTCCTCTTTCACTCTCCCTTCAAGTTGGTGGTAGCCATATCAGCCCATCCTTGCAAGCATGCTGTCTTGGTGTTATATTTGATTCTGGCCTCACCTTTGAGCTTCACGGCCAGTCTGTTACCAAACCCTGTCGATTCCACCTTTCTTATGCAAGACATTATTAAGGAGCTTGTTCATCATTAACCTCCAGTAATCTCTTGCATTGATTATTGTAACTGTCTCTTAATTGGTCTTCGCGGAAGCCGTACTGTCCCGCTGCAATCTGTAATTAATGTATATAGCAAAAAATGAACCTACACCAATATAAAATTATGTGTAAGTCAAAAAGAATTACTTATCCAATATAAATGAAAAACAGCTTCCTTTCAGGATATTCCAAACAGTATCCTAGACATCAAAGGTTGCCAAACACAATACAGAGGATGCAGCTGATATTCTACAGAAAAGTAAAACTCAGTTGCTATGCGCCAAATTCAATTGCACTCACAAGATAAAGACTTTTAAAATCGTCTTAGGGTGCCTCCCCTTAGATGATTGGGGGGCTGATCCAGGGCTCCCTCTCAGCTTCGGATGATGTCACTACAGCATGGAAAGCCGGACTCGGGAAGTAAAGTAAAATAAAAGAGCGGTCCGTATTTTACTTTCCTTTTATACATTTACCATTACTTCCCGAGTCCGGCTTTGGTGACATCATCCGAAGCTGAGAAGGAGCCCTGGATAAGCCCCCAATCATCTAAGGGGATGCACCCTAAGGCGATTTTAAAAGTCTTCATCTTGTGAGTGCTATTGAATTTGGTGCATAGTAACTGAATTCTGACTGTGTTACTCTATTGTATTGTTTTATTCTTCTGTAGATTATCAGCTGCATCCTCTGTATTGTGTTTGGTGACATTTTGTCTCTAATGAATGCTGCCGCCAGATTTATTTTCCTCTCCTGTTGGTCCTTTCACACCTCTCCCCTCTGTCAGTCCTTACATTGGCTTCCTGTATCATGTAGGAGTCAATACAAAGTACTAATCCACACCTATAAAGCACTGACCAATTCTAGCCCCTCTTATATCTCTTCACAGATCCATAGGAAAACCCCTTCTCAGTCTCTCCGCTCTGCCCGTGTCCTTCTTCTGTCCATTGCTAGCACCTGTACGGGCAAATCATGGTTGCAGGACTTCTCACGGGCGGCTCCCTTCCTATGCAATAGCCTGCCTACCGCCATCAGACTCTCCCCCAGTCTTCAATCATTTAAGAGGTGCCTCAAAACCAATCTCTTCTGGAACGCTTCTGGCCTCCCAGAGTAGCCTCTGCCTTACATTCTATTCTCTCCTCCAGCTCAGCTTCACTCCCACCTTGTTTGATTGATATCTCCTGTCCTGTTGTGTTTTATGCCCCACCTCCTATAGACTGTAAAGCTCGTTTGAGCCGGGTCCTCTTCAACCTATTGTTCCTGTGAGTTTTTGTAATTCTATCATTTATTGCTAAATCTCCCCCTCTTATAACATTGTAAAGCGCTACGGAATATGTTGGCCCTATATAAATGCTAATAATAAATAAATAAATTCAGGTAGACGCATAGTAAGTACATTAGTACATGTCTGTCGGTTGTCTACGACTGCCTGGAGGAACACTATAATTAGCGACTGATTGTCCTTCTGTCACTGTGGGAGTGTCCTCAGCAGAGCTAAGCTTTGGCATTGTCTGAACTATCTGTAGAATTATATGCAGCTTTTATTTTTATGATATTGTATCATATGAAAAGGAAAAAAAAAAGAAACTAGCAGTTGGAAATTTTAAGCTGGTTTGTCCCTTTAACAATTAATGATATGTCATGTATACTCCTTGTGGCTTCTTTCCTCTGCTCACTTGTAACATATAATATAGCTGCTTCACTCAATCCACACCCAAGCGATAGACAGTCAGAGAAACAATAAGTATATCACATGTTTGTCCATTATGTGTCTTGGTGTTCTCTTCTAGAGCATGTTGATTGGCCTCCAGGAAGACTTCCCATTTAAAGCAGCATTGTCACCATCTGGAGACTTTGTATAATTTGCAAAGACCCCCAACTGTGATATCACTTCTGGGGGTCCGGTCTCCGTGGTGGGAAGGTGGGGGGGCAGGCAGAAGTGAGTTCTACTTATTTGAACCTAACCACATGGGCGTCACCATCCTCTTACGTCTGATACTTCAGCTGCCATGTCCCTTTACTGGTGCGGAATTTGTTGGCGCCTTATAAATGCCAGTAATAAATAAATAAATAAAAATACTCTCACACATCCATGAGAGTACAGCATTGAGGTCCATGAAGGTTTCCACGAGACAGAGCCAATTTCCCTCCCACTATCACTGAGGACAGCTGGAGGATTGACACTTTTTGACGATGGTAGCTCTACCCAGCAGAGGCGTAGCGTGGGGGGTGCAGGGGGGGCCCATGCTGCAGCCACCCGAGCGCTCTGTAGAGAGCCGCAGGCGGCTGCAGCTTTGCCCGGGCGGTGCGTCCATGAGGGCGGACCGCACCACCCGGGCGCAACCTGAGGAGAGGGGCTGACAGGAGGGAAACGCTCAGCGCTCCCTCCTGTCACTCCCTCTGTAGTAGCGTGGCCGAGCCCTGCAGCATGATGGTCCGACGGGTACAGAGAGCAGCTGTCTCCTGTACCCGGCCGGACTAACAGGAAGTTCACACTCAGTGTGCACTTCCTGTTAGTTCGGCCGGGTACAGGAAACAAAAGCAACCTGTACCCGCGGACCATCATGCTGCAGGGCTCGGCCACGCTACAACAAAGGTGGGGGGGAGGAGAAAGAAATTGGGAGGGAAGGGGGGAGAAGAAATGGGGAGGGTGGGAGAAGAAATTGTCAGTGGAGGGGGTAAGAAGAAATTGGGATGGGAGGGGGGGAGAAGAAATTGGGATGGAGGGGGGGAAAGAAATTGTCAGCTGAGGGGTAAGAAATTGTGAGGGGCCGGGGGAGAAAGAAATTGGGAGGGAGGAGGGAAAAAGAAATGTGAGGGGAGGGTGAGAAGAAATTGGGAGGGAGAATTGGCAGGGAGAAGAGAAAAGTGGCAGGGGGAGGGGGGAGAAATTGGGGGAGGGAGGGGAGAAAAGAAATTGGTAGGGGAGGGAGAAAGAAATGGGGGAGGGAGGGGGTAGAAAGAGAATTGGTAAGAGGGAGGTGGGAGAATAAATGGGGAGGGGTGGGATAAAAAAGAAGTGGTAGGGGAGGGGAGAAATGGGGGAGGGTGGGGAGAGAGAGAAGTGGTGGCAGGGGAGGGAGAAAGAGAGAGAAAAGAAATTGTGAGTAGGGAGGAGAGAAAGAAATGGGGAGGGAGAAAGAAAGAAATAGGAGGGGAGGGGAGAGAGAAAAGAAATTGGTAGGGGAGAGGGGAGAAGAAAAAATTGGTAGGGGAGGGGGAGAAGAAGAAATTGGAGGGGAGGGGGAGAAGAAGAAATTGGTGGGGGAGAAGAAATTGACGGGGGTGAGAGTTACAGGGGAGGAAGGGGCAATGAGAGTGGGAAGGGGGAGGGGAGAAGAGAGTGACAAGGGAGGGAGAGGGGGGAGAAGAGAGTAACAAGGGAGGGGGGAGAGATTGACATCCATCACACACACATGCAATGCACCCCTTGCACACAGAAAAACACACAATGCATTACACACACACACACACACACACACACAAACAATGCAACCCTTACACACAATGCATCCCTTACACACACAGAAACACACAATGCATTCCTTACACACACTCAATGCACCCCTTACACACACTCAATGCACCCCTTACACACGCACACACTGCATCCTGTACATACACAGAAACACACCTTGCAGCCCTTACACATACAAACACAGATTCACACAATGCATTCCTTACACACATATCAGGACATCCCCTACACACTCCACCCCCTGTGAACAAACTCATTGGTGGAACATGAAGGTGGACCCTGGGACCCAGACCTTGAGCTGTGTAAAGGGCCCCCAAAAAATGGAGCTGCTTCCCGTTCTCCCAGAACATTGATTTTTGTGACCACAGTTACAAACCGCCTCCAGAGAGCCTGTTCTACACCAGACCAGTGGAGCCAGACTGCAGCTAGAGCCCATCATCATCCTCATCTGGTTGTAAGTAGGCAATCTAGTATATTATTCGTGGCACTAATCTGTAATTTACCTCACATTAAAGAAACACTATTCCGTTGAAAAATTTGCGCTAATTAAAAGCAGGCGAATTTAAATTAATCTGTATATTATATACAGATTGATATCTTGCACTTCTATTAAAGAATTACAATTAGAGGTACAGGATTGAGGAAGTTGGCTCCATCTAGCCCAGTCTTGGATCATCTCCAGGGTATGGTTCCATTTTGATGTTTAGTTTTTGTTCTTGATATTTTTTGTCGTTTACGATGGTTGTGAGACGACATATGATAGCATGGCCCATGCTAGGTTACTACATTTGTATATTTGTATTCATAGACCTGCTGAAAATGTGGAGAATGTGTGTAATGCATGTTGACACTCAATAAAGTGTTGGAAAATAAACTTGTATTTAGATGCATTTTACTTTAATTACATAAGTATTTTCATAACAAACAATACATGTGCTTGGGGGTAAGGGTTTCTTTAACTAATCTAGTGGAAGAGACTCGAGTGCTAAAATCCACGGGTTAGGGGGCGCAAATTACTTGCCTTGCCCCTGGTGCTGACAACCCACGCTACGCCACTGCTACCCAGTGTCTAGAAGTGTCAGGTGTAGGAAAAATGCTGAGAAAAATTAGTCCCTACTTTGCCTCAGTATATCCTTTGACTGGTGATTTCTCTTTTTTTAGTGAAATTATAACACAGTCAAAAGGAGTATTTCATAAAGATTTTATCTTCGTGAAATACAAATTTTGCCGGGAGGAGGTGTATTGTTTTTAGTTTTCATGCCCATTAGTGCCAAGTCTATGGCACTACTAAAGCAATGTCTAAAGGACAGGGCCGTAATCAGAGTGTGACAACAATGTAGTGGCGGAACTGCCGCCGATGCAGCTGCACCAGGGCCTACGCGCTGACACTATATCTTCAGGTGCCTGGTCAGCGTTGCAACCGTGTAATAGCGCGACCGGGCCCCTTTAGCCCCTTAAGGACCAAGCTTATGGAATAAAAGGGAATCATGGGAATCACGACAGGTCACTTCTGCTAAGCTCACTCCGTGTGGGAGGGGAGAGAGACAGACCGCGAGAAGGGGAGAGCCCACACCGACTCCCATCAGCCGCAGCCATCCTCCTGCAAAGAAAAGGTAAGGAACAGGAGGGAGGCAGAAAAATGAGATATGTGTGTGTCAGTATGTATGTATGTATCCATCTATGTATCTGTATGTGTATGTCAGTATGTATGTCAGTGTGTATGTATGTATGTATGCCAGTATTATTATTATTATTATTTTAGTATTTATATAGCGCCATCAAATTCCGTAGCTGTACAATTGGATGTATGTATGTCAGTATGTATGTATGTATGTGTATGTATTTTAATGAGTCTGCCTGTTAAGCGCTGTACAATTGGATGTATGTATTTTTGTATGTATGTCAGTATGTGTATGTATGTCAGTATGTATGTATCTGTATGTATGCCTGTATGTATGTGTATGTATATATGTGTTTGTATGCCTGTATGTATGTGTATGTCTGTCAGTATGTATGTATGTCAGTATGTGTATGTATGTCGGTATGTATGTGAGTATGTCTGTCTGTGTGTATGTATGTGTATGTATTTCAGTATGTGGATGTATATATCTGTCTGTGTGTATGTATGTATGTCTGTATATGTGTATGTCAGTCAGTATGTATGTCAGTATGTATGTGTGTTTGTGTCAGTATGTGTGCCTATGTATATCAGTATGTGTGTATGTATGTCCTTATGCGTGTGTCTGTGTGTATGGTAGTATGTGTCTGTGTGTCACTATGTATGTCTGTGTGTCTGTATATGTCTGTGTGTCTTTTTCAGTATGTGTGTGTCAGTATGTATGCCTGTATATGTGTACTTCTGTTTTAGTATGTGTCTGTTAGTATTATTATTATTATTATGATATTTATAGAGCGCCGTCAAATTCTGCAGCGCTTTACAATGGGTGGATGAACAGACATGTATTTGTAACCAGACAAGTTGGACACACAGGAACAGAGGGGTTGAGGGCCCTGCTCAATGAGCTTACATGCTAGAGGGAGTGGGGTAAAATGACACAAAAAGGTAAGGATAGTATTAGACTAGTGACAGTTGCAGAAGAAGAAGTATGTATGTGTGTGTGTCAGTAAGTGTGTATCTTTGTGTGTATATGTGTCCTTTTTGCATCAGTGCGTGTGTTTGTGTCTGTGTGTGTGTATTCCTGTGGGTGGGATTTGGAGATTGGCCCTGGGGCGTGATTTCGAGACGGGCCTCCGGGGCCCCATACCTTGAGCAGCGTTAGGGGCCCCAAAATTTCTGATGGCGGCCCTGCTGAGGGAGCATGGATAGAAAATCATAATTCACACCCCATTAATTTCACAATAAACACATGTCACGTCTCACATAAGGTTACCTGTTGCTTTTTGTCATGTACTTTACTCAGCGTGTGTGAAGCTTTGAACTTGTGGCTAGTATGCCGTTTTAATCGTGTCTCGGCTCGATCCCAGGATATGTACAGCAAATATCCCCTCACAAGGGACCGTATGCGCTCCTGCACCAGCTGCCGATACTGAGACATCCCTCTGCAGGCATCCTGCGGGGAAACGAAGAATAAACAGGAGCACGATGGTTTAAAATAGTAAATCCAAGCATGATTCGTAGCGTTACAATTTACCTTGAATGCATGAAAGGGGATATCTCCCTGTTCTGCCGCCCTCTTTAGAATCCATTTGTTATATTCCTCATCAAGCCGTGAAAACTTCAATGTGTGAAAATCTTTAGATTCATCAATTATAGGACTTTTAATCTGTATGAGATGTTGAACAGTTATTAGTATAACAAAATAAGAATAATAAGAAAACATTGCGTCCCTGACATTGTATAGTGTTTTATTACTTTACACGCACATAGTATGTGCCAAAAGGGTCAGAACACTTGATTTTCTATAAAAAAAATGGTATTTATCATGATGAAAAACAATTTAGCGCCACACTTATAGGGATATCTTGTGTGTAGCTCATACCATGGCTTTCTCTTTATAGTTACTAATGGAGGCACTGCATTTATGCACAGGAGCACATTGTCAGAGGTGTTTATCTGTATAACGGAATTCACTAAGATACAAGGTAAAACGTAAGCATTTCATGCAATAAACTTTGGGTTTTGAACTTACTTGCGTATCAACTGGTCTACAGTTTTGTGTAACAGGTGCTGAGTGTGCATGGAGGTCACTGAAATTAAGAAGGGGATATTTTTTATGGATATTAAGACATAGTAAATAACAGCCAATCAAACACTAGCATACTACTATTTCAAACGGCCTAGAGCTTCTTACTGTTTATACTCTGTGTAGCATTAAGCATACTGCAAAAAAAAAACCTGAATAAATTAAATGTATGCAGTAATAGTAAAATAGCCTTTTTTGTGGCGGGGCCTGGATGCCATGCTGACCGGTTGCATGCTGGAGAGGCTCCGCAAGATTTTGGCCTATTTGACTGAAAAACTTGAGACACGCAGGAAGTTGTTGGCGCTATTGTGGACCTCAAGATCAGGAGTTTTGATACCCCTTGGGGGTGATGCAAAGCTTTGGAGCATGTGGCCTAGTCGGGACAGGAGTGGGGCAGATGGCGGATGCCCTGTTCACATGCCTGATGCCACACAATGGCTCTGTGATGATCCTCAGGCCCCCACTCCAGCCGCCTTTGGGCCGGTGGGGGTTATCCTGATCCCCACTTGAGGGAGCCGAAGCTACACAGACCAACCCTAACTGAATTTACCCAGCAGCCGGGCCCTCGCACTCGGACCTTAAAATGGCGACCAAATGGCTTACACCGGGCATGTGTCCCTAACTTGCTTTTCATCTACCACTTAAATTTAAAAAAAAATATATGTTTTTCTTGTCCAGAATCAACCAACCTAACAACATTTATTATTCATGTTTTCCCACATATTGTATTTTGATTCTGTATTCCTCGTGTAACTTGCGATCATCTCAAATAAAAGAAAGAATTCAAAAAATAAAATAAAATAGCCTTTTTTGCACATTAATGCCAGTTTTTTATTGTAAAATTAGTGGCGTGTAAATTTGCAGGATAGTAATGCCTTAGTAGCATAAGCACTATGGCTTGTGTAAAGAGGTGTTAAAAAAAATATTAGGGAATTATTTTCTTAATATATTCATGTATTTGTATTTATAAATCTATACAGAATACACATTTGGAAGAAATAATAACCTTACCTGTCCCTTGCTGCCACCTTGTGGATAGTTTTTTTAAAGCCATTTTGGACACTTTCATCAGTCATTGCTTCCGTGTTCCTTTGTAGCAAACTGCACAATACTGTTGGAAACAAATTAATACAGTCACATTAGGAAAAAAATTCTATTGGAAAGTGATTAAAAGCATTCAATCTTTTTACTGAGAATATTTTTCATGGTAGCTAGTATTGCATACAATCTGTAAATGGAATCCACTTGAACAAAAAAAGAGCCATACATAGGACATGGCTAACATTCCGAAGCACAACTATCTAGTGCCAGTTTCTCTTTAATTCCATTGTCCAAACATTTTATTACTGTGACAAACCCTGTGATTTCTATTTCCCCAGTTATTTTCCCTGCATTTGGTTGTTTGATCTACTGAACACCGACCACCCCCCTGACTCATTAACTTCAAAGTAACCACAAAGTTAAGTGCTCTCTCTGGGCGGCCACCGTTCATATAACCGCACAACACATGCACTTGGCAAATGGTGGCCATTTTGTCTCCCGAAAGCAGAGAGCGGTACTTGGTTGTCGAGTGTCTGGAACTCCAAGCCGGACACTCTAACCCACGAACACTGGTAACTTTGTACCAACGCCTGATTCAAGACAAGCCAGGAAAGCACTATTTGGTGAAAAGGTAGGCACGAACTAGACGAAGAATCGCTACCTATGAGCTATAAACTGTTCAGTATTTCTTTCTTTTTGGGACTCCCGAAAGTGACTGACCGCTACCGCTTTTCTTCTGGAACAATTTTGTGCAGTCGCCACATGTACGGTCAGTCAAAACTTTACCCTGGTGGTGATTTGGCTGTATTCAGGGGATTTGAGAGCTATTTGGACACCTTGGGCGCTCAGATCCAGGCTATATGGAGATAAAGGACTTGTGGAGGTCCCTAGTAAAATTATATATGTTTTGGGGTATTTTACATTTTATTTTTTGTACCTCTAGTGCCTGGGAGATAATTAGTTTAAGCTAGTACACTCAATTATCTCCCAGACACAGAGACGCCTTGACATGTTTTACTATACTTGTGCTGGGGACCCCATGGTCTCTGTATAAAAGTGGGCCTTCTGGCTATAATAAAGCATTCTAGTTGTACCCTTCATCAAGTCTCGACTGATGTTTAGGTATGTGAACAACGAAACGCTTGATTTTTCCCACGACCTGCTTTGAATTTCGGGAGAGTACGAACTAGCGTGCTATACGAATGGGCTATAATCACACAACCTTCTAGGAGTTCAGGAGAGTGAGAACAAATGTACTATACTAAGTACAAGGGGTTTGTTACAATTACAATCTGTTGAACTGTATTTATTTATGGATAAAATACTTTGTAGTACAGTTATTCAATACCCAAACCGAAATTCAATAATTAATACTGAAAAAAGTGTACAAATATACAAAATAAACACACATACTATAAAATAAAAACAATCTATTTAATAAAAACACATCCAGACTTATTCACTAAAGTTAGAATTCAAAATTAATTTCACATTGAAGGGCAAAGTAGCCAAACTGGAAACATAGGTAACTTAGAGAATGTTTCCATTCGGCTATTGTTACCTTAAGTTTGAAAATCTCTTTGAATTCACACTTTATTGAATAACCCTGATAAAAATACAGACAATAAAATAAAAGCACATATAAACTAAAACATATGATATTAAATAAAAATATATTATAAACTAAAAACATATTATGAAAAAAAACACCTACTGTGAAATAAAAACACATGCTATAAAATAAAAGTATATTATTATATTTTTAAAAATCCATTAAAATTGAACACATGCTAAAATATAAAAACATATTATAAAATATAAACACATAGTATAAAATTAAAACACATGTTATACCTGCAGGGACATTTTCAAGCTGTGTTAGGTTACCAGATATCCCATCTTCATTTAAATTCTGGACACCAGCATTCAAACCATCAATCAGAAAGTCATAGCCTGAACACGTGTTCAATGCAGCAAAAAAATAATAAGGGCGTCAGATACAGAAAAACATAGAGAACAAAAAAATTGAATATTGTAACGCGCTGCAAACTATAGCTTTGATTTAATATTGTTAGATAAAAATTTCAATTTTATTAATATTTATAATATTTTGTAATTTGTTTATATTTTTTTAAATATATTTATATATTTTTTATATATCACTTTTTTTTCTATATATTTATTATTTAACAAAAAAAATATTTTAAAAGTTTAAACAAAAATAATAAATCATTTGAAAAGCTTATCCAACAATGTGAAGTTGAGATATATGTTGGAACATATATATTATTAAACTTATAATTACAATAATAATAAAAATAAATTTTAGGAACATATCTATATAAATGATATTGTGGGTTTGAGTACCTACCTGGACTAGATCCTTTGAAAGGCCACTTACCTGCAGAGTTTAGAAGCTGCTTTATCTCCTGAATGCACACCCTTATCCTTTGTGAGACCTGACACAGCTCGTTCTGGATATCCTCACTTGATAAATCTTCTCCCTCGGTGTGGAGAATGATTTCAGTTTGTACCTGCAGAAACACCACACATTACACACGATTCCTGGTGTCAAAATATGGTAGCTGTTAGAAACATATTCATTCAAAAATTATCATTTTTTTTTTCATATGTCATATGTGCCATCTTTTTTTCATGTGCCCCCCCCCATAACCGATTCCTCTCCTGCATCAAAAACAAACAAAACCAACAAAGACCTCAGTGAATACTATTCTAGCAACGTGGTTTTCTACCTGACCCTTACCTTTTGTGTCATTTTACCCCACTCCGTCTAGCATGTAAGCTCATTGAGCAGGGCCCTCAACCCCTCTGTTCCTGTGTGTCCAACTTGTCTGGTTACAACTACATGTCTGTTAATTCACCCATTGTACAGCGCTACGGAGTTTGTAGCAAAGCATCATGAACTGTGAATTTACCATTTGCTCACCCCTAGTCTAAAGACTGGGCTTAAACATAGACAGGATCAAAACTACTCCCAACAGTGTCAGGATTCTTTTTATTTAATAACATATTGGACAAGGCTGGTTTACTGCCACCTCTTATCACTGGACAGGAATCCTTGTGCTGTCTGATTGGTGTATCACCCCCTCACTATCACCCCCCTTACCATCCTCAGCATCACCCCCCCTCACCGCTCTCAGCATCACCCCCCCCTCACTATCACCCCCACCTACCCACCCTCAGCATCACTCCCCTCACTATCACCCCCACCTCACCACCCTCAGCATCACCCCCTCACCACCCTCAGCATCACCCTCCCTATCACTCCCCTCAGCATCACCCCCCCTCACTATCAGCCCCCTACCACCCTGCATCACCCTCACTATCACACCCCCTCAGCATCACCCCTCACCACCCTCAGCATCACCCCCCCCTACGCCTCAGCATCACAGCTCTCAGCATCACCTCCCTCACCACCCTTACTATCACCCCTCACTATCACCCCTCCTCACTATCACCCCCCTCCCTCCCCCTACCATCACCCCCTCACTTCAACCCTCAGCATCACACACCCTCACTATCACCACCCTCAGCATCACCCCCTCACTATCACCCCCCCAGTATCACTATCACCCCCTCAGCATCACCCCCCCACTATCACCCCCTCAGCATCACCCCCCTCACTATACCCTCAGCATCACCCCACACTCACCCCCACAATCACCCCCCCTCACCATCACACCCTCTCACCGCACTCAGCATTACCCCCCTCCCTCATCATCTCTCAGGCACATACACAGGTAAACTGTGCATGAATGTGTATATGTGACAGTGTGCATGTATTGCAACTCTATTTTTTTCACTTTTTTGTTAGTGGGACCTCATGTTTGAGTTTTGCCTAAGGCCTCATAAAGTCTAGAGCCGCCTCTGGCCATCCCCTTAGCTAAGCTCTCCTTAGCTAAACTGTGCAGTGCAGGGCCAGCTGAGGCAAATATATTCTGCCCCTCTGAGAGACTGGCAGCAGTGTAAAAAGAGAAACTGGTAGGTACACTGGGTGACAGCAGGGTATCCCTGGCACCATAACCACTTCAGTGCAATGTAATGGTCAGAAATTCTATGTTTAATAATTAACCCTAACTAAGATTATTAATAATGTCAAAGTATTAAACCAAGAAGAGTACATTATAGTTTTTCCAAGAGGATCCTGAGGTTTCAATATAATGTCACTCATTTTATTTATCTCAGTAAGATGACAGACTGAGACCCTGGTGATATTCAAACCAGTGACAGCGAGATAATGTATCTAAAGTAATCACTGAATTATCTTACTTGCATGATGATTGGCATTCCTTACAACCCCCTCAGGCATATCATCAGGCATAGTGAATTTATTATTTTTTGCAATTTAAAAAAATAAAAATTTTGGGAAATGTCCTTGTAACGAATCAACAGAGACAGTTCTATTATTGTATTCTCTTTTTACTGATTACTATATCTACAAACCTTTTTATCTTCTTCGAGGGTCCCTTCATGTCCTGATGAATCCATACCTTCATCAGGTATATAAATGTCTGTAAGGAAAATAACAGCAAGGAATACAACACTGTTATTCACTATACAAGAATTGTGTGAAATTTGTGGCTAATTGACAACTGATTGCAAATTTTACCCAATAAAAGCTGAATTATTTTAAAAAAATGTTCCACTATTCAGCTGTTTTTTTCAGATCAACAATTAGCCTAACAGTTACCATTCCCTTGTGAATTATCCACAATTCGTAGTTACTGAATTGCCCAAAATGTTTAAAGAGACATTAATATTTCAATTTATGTTAATTTAAGAGCAATTTTAGGTAGGTGCAGGTGAGGGTGTCAGAGTAATATAATTTGTCATTTTTAATCTCATTCGAGCATTTTCTTCTGAATATTAAGGATTTTCTGATTTCAAATTTGAGTTGTTCTTCCTTATTTCCCTGTCATCTATCATCTGCATATATATTCAATAATCCCAAACTTCCCACTGCAGCAATTTAAAGAACATATACATTCTAACATGCTTATATACAAAGGGTATAACGTGATACATACCATTCCCTGATAAACAAGAGACAAACATGACATATATACTCACTTGCTACAACTGGTGATGTAGTAGGTCGAGAATCATTTTCAACATCACAAAGTGATTTGACAGAATGGGTATCATTTAAAGGAGCAGGAGGTCTTGTAACAGGGTGAGCGCTGTTGTCAGATAAGGAATCTGGTACAATATTTCTTGTATTCTCGTTCTCCATATTGAATGATGTAATAAGTCGGTTTGTTGTGTCAGGTCCTGGCGGTGACATAACTGGGTAGTCATTGATGTCATTGTCAGAACGTAATGTATGTAAAGGGATTATCCTGTCTGTGCCAGAGAATGACTCATTAGTAATGGGATCACTGTGAATAAGTGGTGAAGTAGAATTCATGTTTCTGACTGATACAGCACTATTACCTTCTTCAGTCACACTTATAAATGCAAGAGGTCCATTCATTTTATATAAATCATGAACTGATGTCATTAGGCCCGAGTATCCTTCATTCATGGGATATGATGTGTTAAAGTTATTTTTATCTGGAATAATAAGTGAAATATCTGAATTGACACTTTGATCAGGCAGGTGAGGTATCATCTCTTGAGGAACAGGAAGTGACAAAGGAAGCACAGCCATGTTGTCAGACCCAGGAAGTGATGCAGGGATGGGGGTACTCATGTCTGTCACAGGATGGGATGTAATAATACTCATCTCATCAGGCCCAGGCAATGGTGGATGATTATGGGCCTCGTCTGGATATGATGCGGCAGCTTGATCTGTCTTTTCACATTCAGAATGCAATAAAAGTGTATCTCTACCATCCTCAAGCACAGAAAGTGGTGCAATGTTTACAAGTTCCTGCTCAGTAGCTGTAGGAGTTATGAAGTTTTGTGGTTTTCCTTCAGGATCAGTAAATGGTGTAATAGAGCATATTTTAATATCCTCAATATTGTCTGGACCTTCACCGGGAAATGATGTAACAGAGGAATAACTGTCACGAGACATAGAATGCGATCTTGCAGTATGAAGGTTCTTCTCAGCTGAAGATTGTGATGTGATTAGCAGTTGGCTGTCCTCAGATACACGTATTGATGTAATAGCCAACTTGTTCTTCCCAGATAGGGGGTGTAATGTAATTACAATGTTGCTTCCTTCTTCCAAAATAAGTGATGTAAGGACAGATGTCTCCTCAGACTGATCAGTTGTTAATCTAGGTGTGTTCTCTTCATACACAGGGATTAAAGTCAAAATGTGTTCACTCTCCTCAGTGTATGATACAATATCCACATCACTACGGCTGGGGTCTACAGGACCCCGGCCATCGTCTAGTACGTCTCCGTGTTCAGAAATGGTGTCCTGCCAAACAGCAAAACATAAACACATGGTGATTGAATGACTAAACAGGAAGGGACCCATGTCAGCAGGCGTAAGCAAGAGATGACAAGTATGTCAACATAATGTACATGGAATGGGAGGCACATAGAATTCTACTAGAAATATACCATGGACAATGTTACAAGGGAGCACAATGTCTGTCAACAGGGATAAAGATGGAATCATGGTGGGGCAATGGACATAAACCTAATAATGGCAGAGATTAAAAGAGAATAGATATAAAGAGGATGTGATTTTAAGAATCTGCAGAGAATATAAGTGTGACAGATATGACAAGAAGAACAGTTGAAAACATGATGCAAAGCACAAAAACTAATAATGTGTCATGAGGCCCTCATTTAATATGGTATACCAATAAAGGGTTTATGAACTGGTTGACAGGTGGGAGAAAAAAATATTTTAAAATAGGTTTTACCCCCAATCTACAGATTTCCTAGCAGAATCGCAATATATATAAATGGAATGTGATGCTCTTTAATGAATCTGCTGCCCTATCATAATATCTGTCCTAGATTATTAAGTTTGGTGAGCATCGCTGTACAAATATGGGACGCTAGGCTAGACCATATCTGATATATGATTTTGAAAAGTCTGCTGTTACAATGCGATGTACATCTTTTCATGTACTATCTCTAAAAATCAATAATAAAACACACACACAAAAAAGTTAAGATGCAACAAAGAGAGTTATTCACTAAAGTGAGAATTCTTGGGAATTCAAAGTGAATTTCAGATTTAAGGCCAAAATTGCCTTAAATCTGAAAACAGAATTAACCTAAAATTTGAAATTCACTTTTAATTTCCAGCAATTTCCAGCTGATTGCAAGAACACAAGTCCAAGGATTCTGCATTAGATGGTGAGGGATGAAAAGATAAATGTCACAAAGGATAGTGATACTGAGGGAGGATAAATGAAACAATCACAATATTGCATTTAAGAAGAATACAATCTATCGAATTTAATTATTCTCTTTACTAAACTAATGTCTTGGAGCAATCAACATATTGAATGACCTATCTCTCTGAGAGAACGGACCTCTTACTGTGTGGACCTTCGTCTTTTACTTACTGCAGAATATTGCTTAACATTCCATGGAGGACATTGCTCTGTTTCTTGTACTATATTTTCCTCTGCTTCATTTGGAACAGAAAACTCAGTTTTAAATGTAGAATCGAGGTCTTCCCACTACAAACAAAAAAGACATGACACTAAAAGAAAGAAACATAATTCTGACCTTAGGCCTTCAGTGTCCTGTATGAAACTTAGTAGTGGTTCTCACTAATGTGTCCATCTGACCATCAGCAAGTATCCCCAATCATTATCCCTAGTAGTCCACCTCTCCCTAATATCACTGCCTAGCTTACTTACCCAATCACCTTCACCTAGCCCACCTCCCCAATAATCTCTTGCTAGCCCACCTCCCCAATAAATCTCCCTAGCCCACCTCTCTTTATTGTCACTGCCCATCCTTCTTCCCCAATCACCTTTTTCCTAGCCCACCTCCCCAAATCATCTCTCCTATCCCACCTCCACAATTATCACTCCATAGCCCACTAGCTTAATCACATTTTCTTAGCCCACTTCCTGAATAATCTCTCTCTTGCCTACTTCCCCAATTATCTCTCCCTACCCCAACTTCTCAATCATCTCTCTCTAGCCCTCCTCCCCAATTAACTCTCCTTATCCCACCTTCCCAATAAACTCTGTCTAGCCCACCTCCCCAATTATCTCTCAATATCCCACCTTCTCAATAATATCTCTCTAGCCCACCTTCACAATTATAACTCCCACCCCCAATAATATCTCTCTTGCCCACCTCCCCAAATATCTCTCGCTATCCTACCTTCCCAATTATAACTCTCTAGCCCACTTTCCCAATCATCTTTCCCTAACCCACCTCCAGAAAAATCTCTCTAGTCCACCACCCCTTATCTCTTCCTAGCCCACCTACCATTATCTCTCCCTAGCCTACCTCTCCAATTATCACTCTCTAACCCACTTCAATCATCTCTACTTAAATCCCCCAATTATCTCAGTTGCCTATTACAGTTGTTGTAGTGAGTATTGTGTATCATAGTAAAGTAAATCAGTAAGGGTGATAAAATGTGCAAGTAACTTAGGGATATGATTTCACACACCTGGGTAGATATATCAATGGACTGTTTTCCTGAAACCTGATTCTCTAGCTCTTCCAGACGTTCTGCCTGCTTCCTTATTTCAGCATCAAGAAGAGAGCGCTGTATTGCAGTCTCACTCTGCAGAGTTTGTAAGCTTTTCTGGGACATGGAGAGATGGGACATGGAGAAAGAGAGTCCAGAGAAACAAAACATTTACAATTGTCTACTAAGTAAGGTAAACTAGACAATGCAAAATCCATGATCATTAATTTTTTGCTTATGTGAACTCCAAACATTGTTTTTGCCACTTTACAAGGTTTCTTTATAAATCATCAAACAGACAGACTCTCACACACTCACATTATTATTATTATTAAATTATTTTTATTTCAGTCTACCCGGCATCGCTAACTTTGGAAGAGCTGGTGTGGAACCTTTCCCTGGAGTCCAGTGGGAATTCTTTCCCTATGGCTTAGTGTGCAGCTTGTGTAATCTAGGAATATTGATATGTCTGACAGCAATCTTAGTTCTCTACCAGCACTCCTCCCTTGTGCGCTCTTTAGTGAAGCCAGGGCCAGAGAGACATCACAACCCAGCTCCCGGGCATCACCGCAGGGAGTGCAAGGGAAAAGTGCTGGAATATTAGGAAGAGTACATCTCCCTTGCCATCTCCAATCTCCCCCAGCTGACTTCCTCCAGGGATGTGCTGAGGTGGCCAGCCACCTCTTGGTGTACTCCTTGCTTACCGGACACATACCACGGGTTGAAAAACTAGAATCTATACACCAAAATTGCTTAATTCAGCTAAAGTTGTTTTGGTAACTATAGTGTCCCTTTAACCTCATCTGGCGCAAAATGTAATATAAATGAACATTTAACTATTTATTACAGAGAAAACATGAGTTGATATTGTGTACCATGTATAATAAACTCAAACACTGAGTTGGACAGTCCCATTACCTTAGTTGTCTCGAGCAGGCCTTTGAAGTAGTTGAGCTCAAATATTTTATTTTCGTTCTGTTTTGACAGCTCTTTAGTCTGTTGGTCTTTTAATGTCAAGTCTGCATGGAACATTGATACAAGGGAGGTTAGATATACAGCAAATTCAGCCACGAATGTTAGGTGCTGGATTCAAGGTAGGTAAAAACCTTTATTTTATAGAATTTACTGCAAAAAGAGCAGAGGGATCTTATCCATAGTTCCCAAGAGGGTATATAACACTGAAAAGGTTAAAGTAGCCCTTTAATTTCTAACTACATTTATAGTAGTTTAGAGATATGTATGTGGGTTATTACTGTGAACCCTGTTAAATACACACAGCAAAAACTGGAGTTCGTAGAAAAGAGGCGCATTAGCATAGACAAGAGGGGCCAGAAGGCTATCAGCCAAAAACAGGGACTGTCTTTCTTAAACAGGGGCACTTGGGAGATATACACATTTTACACATTTACAGGTTTTTAGTTGTTTTTTTTTTGCATGTAGGATATCAGTTTATTGTCAACATCAATGTCTCTAGTAATTGGATCAGTCTCTCTTGGTGCATGGGGTGTTAGGGCACAGCTAGAAAACAAATCGATCTCAATACAAGATCTTACACCCAATAGATACACCTTCCAAGGGGTAAAAGATCCCAGCGTCTCAGAATGTTTCCTATAATTAGCTCTTGTAGACTACACACTCTCAGGTACCCTATGTGACATTATTAGAGTTAACCTTCTCACCTTCCTGAGCCTGTAGGAGCTGATCGGTAAGCATCACAATGTCCTCTTTGGCCTGATTCACAGCTTTCTCCAACTTCTTGCGGATCCTGCAGAGGAACGTTTGACTGAACGTGTAAATCATGCCTATATCCTGATTGTCTCCATCCCTCTTTTTTTAATAGCTGATATGAGGTTATAGGTAACATTGTACTCTATAGAAAATAGAAGCAAAAGTAGGTCTCAGCCTAGACCAGACCTAGCGTCTTGTCTGTTGTGATGACATCTCTTCCTTGATTGAGTTTATAGCTGGTCAGCAGCATTGACACTTGAACCCTTGTAAAGATTACACTATCAATTTAAGGGGAACCAAAAATAATCATGGCAATGGTTTATAGCATTTCGGAGAGTTAGATTGCTGAATGATGAGTTTCTGCTTTAGACGGAAGTGGTCAAAGATCTTGGTACGGGTGAAACCGATAAAAATCAGGTGGTGGAGGGTTGCACACTTGGCATGATGAATGGTGCACAGCTGGGGCTAATAAAATGTTTTACAGATCTGGGACTGTTGGTAGGTTGCTGCTCATATTGGTCTGAATTATGCAAGTTTGGTACATGTGTCTGCAGACAGCATTATACCTGGGTAGCCGACAGTGGTGGTAACAAGCAGATGGGGCTTGTAGCATTAGTAAGGGTTACATCCTTTCCAGATATGACAGATTACATGATAACTGTGACTTTAATTTCAGGAAATAATCTAACTAGATACAAAGGTGAGGAGGAAATAAAAAGCAGCAAATAGACATATTTAGGGAAAAACAACATAATAAACAGAAACAATGTCATTCAGAAGCCAATAAAGTAAACTGCATTGCAATTGTATGTCTGTCTGTCTGTCCATCAAATCTGTCTGTCTATCTATGCTAAATACAGGCTAAATAACACAGTATGACAATTTTAATAGTTGGCTAGTGACAAGATCACGCTAGCCAGGATTACAGGAATCATTTTTACTCTCGTTTTAATTGATATTGATGTATGGTCTATAATAGGAGTTTTAGAAAATACAGTCTAATAAATTACCCAAATCATACAGATCTAAAGTCGTCTCCTATAACTGGGCCAATACCAAATATTACTAATGTGACGTGCAGTTTCTATTTCTTTTCCTTCTTTTTATGTTATCTAAACAAGACGAGACAGGGGGGATATGATAGAAACATTTAAATACATAAAGAGAATCAACACAGTAAAGGAGGAGACTATATCTAAAAGAAGAAAAACTACCACAACAAGAGGACATAGTCTTAAATTAGAGGGACAAAGGTTTAAAAATAATATCAGGAAGTATTACTTTACGGAGAGGGTAGTGGATGCATGGAATAGCATTCCAGCTGAAGTGGTAGAGCTTAACACAGTAGAGGAGTTTAAGCATGTGTGGGATAGGCATAAGGCTATCCTAACTATAAGATAAGGCCAGGGACTAACGAAAGTATTTAGAAAATTGGGCAGACTAGATGGGCCGAATGGTTCTTATCTGCCGTCACATTCTATGTTTCTATGTTTCTAAATTAAAGTGTATCCATTGAAAATGTAAATTCAAATGTTGCAAATCAAACCAGTTTCCTCGTGATAATGGCAGCCCACAGTGGCTTCTTCAAACCGTCAAAACAGTCAAAATCCAACCACAGTAAATTAATACATTTAATCCTTTACTTTACTTTGTTGCAAATCAAAGGCCAAAATAGCACATACTTGTCGTCTGAGGATTTCCTGTAACAGAGGAAATAGAAAGACCATCCATGATTATACATTACAGGGAGGGTGACAGGGTTTATGATAATGTAGTAACAAAACATTTCACATCTGTGTACTTATAATATTAATAAAAGTTACATACTGTTCCTTGCTCTCTTACAGCATGTATAATAGCCACATGGTGTCCCTACTGTTTCATATTATATCTAAAAGTCATATAGTGCCCCTGGATCTCTTTAAGATGTGTAACAATCATATAATGTCCCTGTTTTCTTATATTATTCATTAAAGTCAAATAGTGTCCCTGGCTCTCTCATAAGACGTGTAAAAGACACATAGTGTCCCTGGCTCTCTTTCTGATAAGACATGAAAATGTCATATAATGTCCCTGGTTCTTTTATAAGACATCTAAAAGTCACATAGTGTCCCCGGCTCTCTTATAAGACATATAAAGTTCATATAGTGTCCCTGGTTCTCTTATAAAACGTATAAAAGTCAGTGTCATATAGTGTCCCTGGCTCTCTTACTGACAAGACGTGTAAAAGTCCTATAGTGTCCCTGACTCTCTTACTGATAAGACGTGTAAAAGTCACATAGTGTCCCCGGCTCTCTTATAAGACATATCAAATTCATATAGTGTCCCTGGTTCTCTTATAAAACGTATAAAAGTCAGTGTCATATAGTGTCCCTGACTCTCTTAATGATAAGATGTGTAAAAGTCATATAGTGTCCCTGGCTCTCTTGCTGACAAGACGTGTAAAAGTCATATAGTGTCCCTGGTTCTCTTATAAAACGTATAAATAGTCATATAGTGTAGTATAGCTTCAGCGACTGGGTCATAAGCACTCCAGGGTCCCTGATTGCAGCTAGGAAGCAAGTTTGGCAGACTACAGGAGTCCGTTACAGACAGTGTTACTGGCTCTCTTACTGATAAGACGTGTAAAAGTAACATAGTGTCCCTGACTTTCTTATAAGATGTATAAAAGACCCTGGTTCTCTTATAAAAAGTGTAAAAGACACATAGTGTCTCTGGCTCTCTCATAAGACGTGTAAACGGAAAATAGTGTCCCTGGCTCTCTTATAAGACACGTAAAAGTCACATACTGTCTCTGGCTCACTCATAGTATATCGAACAGCCACACAGTGTCTCTGCTGCTTCATATTACATATACATGTCCTACAGTGTCCCTGCTCTCTTGTAGTAGAAATAAAAGTCAGAGCTGGTCCCTGCTTTTTTACTATAATTTAGTGTCTACTGAATAAACCCCCTTGTCATTTGTCGAACAGCCACAAACTATCTCTGCTACTTTGTTACTTGCAAAATAAACTCTCTCACCGTTTCCCTGATGTTGCCGCAGATAGCGTGTTATTAACATTGCTCATGATTTCTGTGTGAATATCAACCAGACGAGACATAGCTGTTTCCGCAGATCTCAGCGCTCCGGTCATCTTTAGATTTAGAAAATAAAGACATTGTGGATTAAGCAGAATCTTTCATACATGATAATATTTGTAGGAACTACATAGCTCATTTTAACACCATAGAACTACATGGTTCCATCTTAAAGGCTGCAGATAATGTATTCATCAAGTGTGAACTCTTAAAGGGGCACTCTAAGCACCATAAACACTGTAGTGAGTCATAGTGGTTATGGCGCCAGGAGTCCCGTGGCACATTCCCCCTGTTAAATGTCAAACCAGACACCCATGTTCCTGACCCTTGTGACAGATCAGTCTTTGTAGCGCACTGTAGTGGTTACATTGCTTAAAGTGGCCCTTTAATACTATGGAATGTTAGAATAGAGGTTTATATTGCCCAGTCACTGAGAGGAGGAATGTGGTATTTGTGTATTTATTTATTTTTTGTTAAAAATAGTGACATTGATTTTACCTGATAGACAATCCCATCCAGATCCACACCATAATCCTCCGAATCATAGTCTTCCTTCTCTTCACTCATCTTCGAATACAGGCTGAAAAACTAGATAGATATATAGTTATCAGTTAGTGTTAAGTTTGTTATAAAGAGCTCCAATGATACAGATATAAAACTCCATAGTTCTATATACAATTTGTCAAGAAATCTGTGATGTTTATTCAGCTAAACATCTAACTGCCGTGAATTGTGAAGTAGATTGCAAAAGGTAAGCAGAAAATGTTCATCGGATAATTCTTTAATTCCACTATAGTCACAGCTTGTCGCTTACATTATGCGATTTGGTTTTCAATTCTCTACAATTTGGTTATTAATAAATAGACCCGGGGCGTGGCCTGGATCGCACCGAGAGCAGTCGCATGCCTGCGGAGCTCCCGAGCAATAACGGAGATATATGCAGATTAATCGATCCGCACGGAGACAACCCGACTACTTCTCAGCCCCCACACTCAACGACACCATGGGGAAAAGAAATAAAAAGTTAAAAACTCACCCTGAGGACGGATCTCGGAAAATAGGAGATCTCTTCCTGGCGAGGCCTAAACCTAAAATGGCGGCGACCCCAGATCCCCAAAGCTCATCCTCAGATGAGGAAACACTGGATGCTCCAGATCCCATACCAGAGGCTACAGACCCCATCTCGAGCCTAGCAATGGGTGACCTGCGAGCTCCGGCCACCAAGGGTGACATCCTGAATATACTACAGAACCTGCGCACCCTATTCCGCTCAGACATGGCGATTTTGCAGGAGGAAGTGACCGCCGTCACTGGCAGAGTGAGGGTTGCCGAGGAAGACTTAACTGCTATGGCAGAACGCCAGCAAGCAACGGAGGAGAAGCTAACACACCTCCAGTCCTCACACCAGGCATTACTGGCACGACTAGACGGCCTAGACGACGCAAGACGCCGCTCCAACATAAAAATTAGAGGCATTGCCGACTCCATAGACGACAATGAATTGCCACAACTTACCCGACGCCTCTTAGCCACAATTCTCAACCCTAAGCAGGCGAAGACTGTGCTAGTGGAGGGCGTACACAGACTCCCAAAGTCACCAAGAGCTCCAACGGAGGCCTCCCGCGACGTCCTTCTCCGCTTACAGTCTACCCGGGACAAAATGGCGGTGATGGCGGCGCTCGGCGGCCAGAGCCCATACCACTTCGAAGGCATGCAGCTCACCTTCCTGCAGGACCTTTGCAGAGCTACTTTGACCTGGAGACGGTCAGTGCAGCGAGTCACCAAGACCCTCAGAGCGGCTGGAATTAGGTACCGCTGGGGCTCATCAGTGCTATTAGTTACAAAGGGAGCAGCAACTTATCGACTGACATCGACAGAAAACGCAGAAACTTTCCTTGGTAAATTAGGACTTAAAGCAATAGACTCCTCTAACCCGACCCCTAACTGCTCCTGGGACGTCCCCAACATAGTCCCATTTGTGCCGCGCTCCACCGCTGCCACAGACTGAAACACAGGGACATGAAGGATAGAACCACCTGGCTAAGGAGCCACTGGACTCCAACAGACCGTATGACCCCTAGTTACAGAGTTTTTATTTTCTCTATTCTTAACTTTTGTTTTTGACTTGTTTTGTTTTCCTAGTATTTTGTGAAACTGTTGGGTGTTTCTTACAACGCTAACGTACCCTACACGCAGGACAGACCCCCATGCCCATCTTGCTGCTGCAGAGAGCACTCCCACCGCCACCCCCCCCGTTCCAAATAGCGCAACCTTTGGGTTAGGGAAGGCGCGGCAGCAAGCCACCCTCCTCTCATAACCAGGAAGGCTTAATGGTACACGCCACAAAAACCACTACTTAGCGCCCCATCATAATCACCGTTAGGGCCGCTGCCCACTCATACAGCCAATTTATAGCGGCTGCTAGGTCTGCCAACCCACTCCTACCAAGGAGGTAAGCGATCCTCTCACCTGGTCTCGGAACATGCATACATGAAACAGTGTCAGTTTAGATCTTCTTAGAATTCTAATTTTAATTAGTTATTTTAGTCACTGTTTCTAACCAGATCCCAAGCCATGCACTCGTTTATAACCAAAGCGATTGCATATACTATGGGGACACAGCAGAACCGGATGTACCTGTTTACTCTCTCTAATCATCAGCAACATGTACTAGACTGTCTATACAGTCATCAATGCATGCATACATTAATGTTAGACCGGTAATGAGCTTAAATAAGTTCTCTCAATCGACTAGTCTCATATCCAGGCTGTCTACAAAACATGGCACAACATGCTCACATATTGCAGAAACACTAACTTATCTTACCGAACATCATAGCATTTTGTGTACCTAACTTGCTTAGAAGTATGCTTGTTCAATTTTCTATTATTTTACTATTTCTCAATCGGTATCGTACGTGGAGAGGCATCTCACACTAAATGACCTACCTTTTCGCAGTAAGCACTCACTCTCTATTGGACCGCAATCATTCACCCAGCATCTCTAGAAAAGTTCCTGCTAACAAGCATGTTATGCATTAATCGGTTAGACAGGAACGCTAAATCTGTTTATGTTGTTATATAAAAATTGTGCTGATCTTTACGCATGCTGACCAACTGTTAACATATGTCTGGTTATATACTTGTCATTGCTGTTGGGGCATGTAGAGCCCTCTTGTTATATTTTCATGCACTCCAAAAATAAAGAATTCAAAAAAAAATAAATAGACCCAGCTGTTAACAAATTAGTGAGAATTAAAAAACATCAAGTACATTTGGCAGGGAACACTGGAGTTGTTGGCTAAACAGGGAATTGCAAAGTTTATATCGATAGAGCAAATTTGGAATTTCACCATTCTTCCAGCTTGGCTAGTTTCGCTTGCTAATTCTCAGGCAAGGCCAGATTATTGAATAACTGCTTTTGTTTCTCTTAAGGTTTTGGTCTCGTGAGCAAGTTTGTAAAGATACAAATTAGTGAATACCTTAACTGAGAAAATTGTCACATCAAGCAAGTCATCTGATTATGGTGAAAAATATCTAAATTGGGTGCAACTTGGATTAGTTGCAAATTCGATCTAGCGTGACCCCATCTTGATTTACAGTTGTGCCATAGCCCTATTGGATACCTCCTGCAGCTGTGTCAGTAAGTGCCTTCTCTGACCACAGGCCTCCTGATAACCCACAATGAAGACGGTGACCTTCTGCTGATATCTCCGCCTCTGGGTATGATCTCTTAAGATGTTTTGCAGCTCGTCCTACAGAGAAAAATATATACTGTTGAAAAGTTTGCATGACTGTGAAGAGTATTTAAAGTTTATACAGATGTGAGTGTAATACCAAAGAGTCACCACATTATGACCTGGAATCTGCTCTCAGTCTGCTTTCTGCTCAGTCACCCCAGCCTCGACAGGTTATTGCAATTTTGTCATTGTAGTCAGAGCACGCACGCCAGTCTGCCATAGAAGAACACTTATCCTGGAAGATGCACAAGGTTCTAGGGTCTTCCTATGAATTCCATATGTATTCTGCATGTATTCCTAGAATTACCCAAAGTCTATGGACAAACTGCAGGCCAAAGAAATGGAAGAATCACAAATGCCTTTGTCATTTATAATATTTAGGCAGCCTGCCCCATGCTTCTTCGCTCATTGTTTACGTCTGAGTTGCAAGCTGTCAGAACTATTTAAAGGCGCTGTAACTGTTGTTCAAAATCTGGGGTCTTGGAACAACTCTACAACATGTATCCTCTTGAAAGTCTCCATTGTTTTCCTGCACAGTCCCCTAGAGCTCCCGTGCCTTGTTCTAAATACTAACAGGGATATTCAAAGTGAATTTAAAATTTAAAGGGAACTATAGTGACGCTGGATGTCCTCATTGCCTAACATCAGTTAGGCAACCAATAGTCGCCTGACCATCCAGAAGTCCCTCTAGTGGTTGTCTGGTAGAATTATTACTCCAACATGAAAAAAGCACTCATAGGCTTCAAAATAAACAAAAGTGCAGATTTATTTTAAGCAGACGTGCCTTTGCATGTAACCAACTACCTTGACATATTAAGGAAAGTTTGGTAATGGGACTGAAGTGGTGAATGTATGTAGTGCACAGCTGTAAAAAAATGACGTTATCTTGTTTATTTTGAAGTCCTGTGGGTGTGCTCTTCACTTTAAATATGTTATTGTGCTGGAGTATGCACCTAGCAACAAGACTGGGCCAATATCTGCTCATTACATATGGTACATATTAATGACATTTCTCTGTGTATTATGCATATATAAATGTACATTAATATATGTGTAAATATTATAGGCATAATTATATATATAACTAATACACACATTAATATCAATGTCATATATATATATATATCCCTTATGTGTGTCTCTTTCTACCTCCAGCCGCTCTGTGTGCCACTTTGTCTCCCCCCAGTCCCTCTGTTTCTTTCTCCCCCTCACTGCTCCTCTGTGTCCATGTCTCCCCTCTCCTTCCAAATGTCTCTCTCTCCCCCCTCTGTCTCTTTTCCCCTCTCCCTGTGTCTCTCTCTTCTCCCTCTTTCTTTCTCCCCACTTCCTTGTGTATCTCTCTCTCCCCCTCTGCCTCTTTCTCCCCCTCCCCCTGTGTGTCTCTCTCTTCCCCTCTGTCTTTTTCTCCCTCCTTTCCTTGTGTCACTCTCTCTCCCCACTCTGTCTCTTTCCTTCCTCTCCCCCTGTGTCTCTCTCTATTCTCCCACTGTCTTTTTCTTCCTTCTTTCCCTGTATCTCTCTATTCCCCATCTCTATTTCTTTCTTCCCCTCCCATTGTGTCTCTCTATTCCCTTTCTGTCTCTTTCTCCCCCCTCCCATTTACCAAAAGAAGTCAGAGGGGGCCTGCCAGGTTCCACGCTGCTGCTGCCGGCCCGGGTGGCAGCCTAGCCGGTCCGGCGGCACACTCACTAATACTGGGAATACTCACTCTGCTGGGAATTGTGGGGACCATGAGGGAGCATGATAGAGAGACATGCTCCCTTCTTAAGTCCTCCTATGTTGACAGCTCACTGCTGTCAGCATTAGTGAGTGTGCCACCGGACCGGCTAGGCGGCACCAGCGTGGAAAGCGGCTGGCCTCCTCAGAGTGTGCCATCGGACCCGGTATCCCAGTGGGCCAGTCCGGCCTGGTAGGCAGGCTGTTCCAAAGGAGCTGCCCATGAGAAGTCTTGCAGGTGGGAATTTGCAGTAAGGGTGCGAGCAGCAGACAGGAGAAGGTCACCAGTAGAGCGGAGAGAGACTGAGAGGGGGCATACCATGAATAATATGAATCAGTGAAGAAATGTAAGAGGGGCTAGAGTTGGTTAGAGCGTTATAGGTAAGTGTTAGTATTTTGGGCAAAGGTCATTATAGCGTTTCCATATAAAGTTGGTGCAATGTAATTGCAGCAATATTTAGAATGATGAGTAACATTACAATTCTTAGCACTATAAATGTCTGGCTAAGAACTAAACGACAATTAAACATCCCCTAACTATAACCAAAACCCACTTGTAAGCCCCCCAACCTAAGCCCTAGTGGCTCTGCTATTTTTGTGCTGTTTCAGGACAGTTTAGGAGGGACAGTCTGTATTTTCGAGACTAAATTCCTCTTTTTCTCTTTTCTGTCCTAATGTTCATTTTCTAGAAGCTAAGTATTCTTAGTGTATCTGAATTATACTACAGCTCCACAGCAATAATACCTACTGTAATGTGTCTTTAAACTACAATAAATGTGTTTAAAAATCAGTCTATGTAAATACATTATTGTTTAGTTGTATAAGTTGTTATTAGTAAGTCACCTAAACTTTCTCAGAACAGCCTCACCCCTTGACACCCTTCACTCACACAAAATGAAAGTGTCTCTCTTTGGCCATTCTGTCTGGTACAGTTCTGTCCATTCTGTCTGGTACAGCTCTTTGTCTGTTCTGTCTGGTACAGTTCTATAATGAAAATGTGCTGTTTTTTTTTTTTTTTTTTTAATCAAAGCACCATTTCTGTGCTAATCCCTTTCAAATGGGTGATTAAGTATAAGAGATGATCATCTTATTTTCTATTTTAGTACACAAATTCATAGACAACTTGGCTCATCCAATCAAAAGCCTAGCCCAGTATTCACTATAATCAGACAGACACATATTATGGCCAGTTTGGCATAGATACAGGCCTTGATTTCTGTTAGAAATAGAATTTAGAAAAAACCCGTCTCTTCATTACCAAATCTTCCAGGATCTCCATGTCGGTGTTCTGAATATTAATCGGTATGCCCTGCGTCCTTTCGAAGGTCTGGATCGTCTGAAAGCAAAACACTTAGGAAGTAATTGCAACCTACTATATTGCTAATGTGTCTGGTGCTAAATTTTCCAAGAGATTAAAAAACACTTATTTTTTTAATTTGTCATGAAAAGTTTTGAAATTTTTGTTGATCGCTTGGTAAACTAGACATCAAAGTGGTTGTCTGTGTTTGCTTATGTGATTGTTTATTAAAGATGTGTATAAATGTGGATGTAATGAGTAAATAATCAATTAAAATATATATGAAAATCTATTGAAAATACGTGAAAAAACACGAATAATTAAAACAAAAAAATGCAGGAATTGGCATTCCTGTATTCGGAGCAACCTTCCAGTAATCACTAATACAAGGCTTAATTTAATAAGCTTTCGAAATGATTCAATACTGTTAGAATATTTTCCAAATTATTTATCTACATAAGTCACAATTTAAGTCTTGGGAGTTTTTGTAGATAAATAATTAGATAATTTTTCAAACAGCAGTGGATCATTGGGAAAGCTTATTAAATCGAGGCCTAAATGCATTCATGGTCACTGAAAAGTTGCTTCAAATACAGGCCTCGATTTAATATTGTTGGATACGCTTTTCAAATGATTTAATATATACTTTTTCAACATATTAAAATATCAAAACATATTTCACATATACAAAAATATTAATGTATTTAAAAAAGAAAAGAAAATATTGTTCAAAATATTACATAATTTTTAGAGTTTCTCCAAAAATAATGACAAAAAATTATCCTACAATATTAAATCAAGCCCATATTTGTTAACTGCTATTTACTGTTTTCAGTCTTTAATGTAATTTTTTTATTGATATTGGCAAGTACAGGTTCAGTTGCAACAGCCACTATTTATATTGACCATATACAGGAAATTAATTAACTGAAACAATCTTTATGGTACATGTGACTTTGTCACTTTATGTTGTTTTATTAATTCGCATAAGATGAATGTTGCCGTTGTTTTCTTCTCACCTTGTCTACACGATTCTTTATTTTGGTGACATCTTCTGCGATCTGATTCGTTCTACGGGCCATTCTGGAGAAGGTATTGGATCTGAGAACAGTTACTGCTGGTTCATCCACACCTCCGGCCCAAGAAGGTCTGGATTCCATTGCTGGAAACGTTAGCAGTAAAGAATTATGAAACATAAAATGTGGTGGGCGATATTCTCGGTTATTACCTAAATTAAGAATTTAAAGTGAATTTCAAATCCAAGGTCAAAACAGCCGAATTGGAAAAAAATCTCAAAATTTGTTACGCTTTAAGTTCAGCTACTCTGGACTTAAATTTGGAATTTATTTTGAATTCACTTTGAATTCTAACTTTAGTAAATAAACCTGATAGAAATATTTACTCATACAGTGTGAGTACAATTCAATCTTTGGCTTTGATATGGTACAGTATAACGGTAACCCAACACGTATTGCTTGAATCCAAAAACTTTGCTGAGACATAGAAAGGATGCATATTACCGGTCCATAGAATGGCTGAGCATAGCGCTACCCTGGTGAAGTAAATAGTGGGAGGGTAACCAGAATCAAAGTCGAGGGATTCCAGAGAATAGTATATAGTACTTTCATGTTTTGGGAGCATGTAATGATGCAATATACTACTAACGCCAATCACTATACAAACCCCTCAAAAACCCCTAAGCCCTGGAGCACATCTCTCTGTTGTGAGTCATTAGTGTCCCAATAGTGCACTTACAGTGATTTGGTTTATCTGGATATTGACTCAACATTTCACGACAGTTCTGATATCTCGTATCTGTGACCCGTCTTGGCTTATTGTATACTTTAAACTTGGCTCACACTACGATCTATCTAGTTGCATTAAGTCCAGCCAGCCTAAGGACCGGTAATATGCCTCTATTCTTTTTGTAGAATAGTATGGATTTAAGTACTGCGTGTCAGGGTGTCCGGTATCAAAAGAGCTGCGTAAAAAATCAAAGGAAGGAAGCCAAATCACTGTAAATGCACTACTGGGACCACTAAAAAATGAGGTCGTTCGTTTTATCGGTTGCACGAACACGCGTTAATCTTATATAGCCATATCAGGCTGGGCTCAGGTAATGTGATTACTTTTACTGTCTTATTTGTAGGGTCTACAAATAATGCATTACGTAAACCTCATTCAGTCATGTTCAGTTTAAGCATTAAGGTTGTAGCTGATGTCGATATTACTGAGATATTCTTCCATTGTTCTAGCATTTGCTGTTGCTTTCAACCCTAATCTTCCGTGCCAGCTGTGTATGCATAAGGGTTTATCATCCTCCTAAGCATTCCTCATGTAGGTCTTTTTAACGTATGTCTAATATCTCCTGTCTCTTCCTATGTATTGTGTATGTGTCACTGTCACAGCTGCTAGCCTGTTCAGCCACTGTGGCATTCTAGAGGCATGGGCCTCTGTTCCCGTTTTTGACTCTGTCTGCCGACACCCAGTTTTATTTGACTTCGTTGGTATGTGTTCTATGATGCTTTATAAGTGTTTACATATGGTTTCTATTCTGTTTGCCATTTTATAAACTAGATGATTATTTGTAACTCTATCAGGTTCTCTACCATCTCATCACCAACATGTCTTGGTTACATACAACTTCTCCACAACAATTCTCTGATTCACATCCTACCTTCACCTGCATCAATCCCAACACAGCTGCACAGCCATCCTGTAACTCAGGAACCAAATTGGGAGCTTCTGGTATTATACACAATTTCCCACTCATAGCCCTCCCTAGGCCTTTACAATGTGTGGTCAGATGCCCCACAGTGGGCTACATGCCATGTCCTAATTCAGCACCTAATTTGGGCATTACATTTGCATTACATCTGTCTTACAGAGGTTGCATACTACCCCATTATACTACATGTTACTGACAACATACTTATTCTTAAGACCCTCATTTGGCCAATAAATGAGGTAATTGTAATCCCTCATTATGTACATTATCTTTACCTCACATTAGGCCCTTCGTTCACCTTTATCTATTTAGGTAAGTTTATTATATCCTTCATAGATATCATATTGAAACTGCTCACATGTAGCAAGGTTGTGAGTAAATGTTAACCTGGTCTTGTTTTAGGTTCAATGCCTTCACATGCGTCCATACTGGGCATTTATTTCATTCTCATCAAATGGCCCTCTGTGGGCAGCCCAATACAACCAATTCAGCCCATCCTTTGGGCTTTGCATAAGTTCCTTCCTGCTTCATGGGGGTTATATGTATATACCACTCTATCTTACAACATTTCATTACACCACTTACACTCGCTAGACCTATACCAATCTGTACGGCCCTGACTCGGCCTGCAAAACTCCATTGTACATTAATCCCTTATGCTATACATTGTATCTTTACTACACATACTGACACTTTGTTCTTGCACAGTATTAGCAATGTTATGTCTCAAGTCACCTACATTAAGACACCATATAATCTATTGTGTTGTTTGTATACTGGTCATCCTTTGGCATGGGCCTTATAGTCAGCCTCCACTGCATGCCACATTACCATCCTTCTAGCCTAACTACTATTCCTACCTGTACAAATGGAGTGGAGCAAACACTAGGGCTTCACTATTTGCAATTTTACAACACCTGTACCTTGGTATGCTTATCCTTCTTTTGTTTGTTCCATACATCCATACCACTCATACAACCCTATTTCTCCATCCAGCAGCTCAGGACTAACATTGAGCACTCTGCCTTCCTCTACAATACCGCTACACATGGCCCTCACTAGGCCTTCACTCCATACGTTTACACATGGCCCTCCACAGGCACTACGACAATTTAGGCCCCTCATTTGGGCAAATACATACGTCAATTTCCTGATATACGAGGGTCAAAGAAGTACAACCTTTCATCCTACATTCCAATATTACACATGGCTTGTTAGGCCCATGCAAGTCTTTTCCATACGGCCCTCTCTGAGAACACTCCCATGAATTTGGAACATATCACTAAGCATTTAACATATCCAGGCCTCTTTCGGTCTCACACTATTTTACCTGTTTAGTAGTTCCACTTTGAAGCCTTTGCTAGTTCTGATATTTCGCTTCCTGCAGTACGCTATGGGATTTGATTAAATGTGATGATTGGTTATTTCTTAGGGTGTTCTTTTTCATTCATAGTTCAGGTCCTTCTAGTGGAAGAATGTGCAGTGGGAAGTCATGCCTAGATCCGGTACAATCAGGGATCTGGTACCAGCTTTTGATGTAAACTGTTCATTTTCAGTTACTCCACATCTCTGCACTGTTATGTTTTATATTATGCCTTTCTGTCACTATCTTCAACTTGATAATTTGTGAACTGTACCCTCACCTCTTGACATATACTTCACAGGGGTCTTGTTGTTTATTTATTCTGGTCACCTCCTTAATGGCCTATATTAGACATGTGCAATTCGTTTCGGTCCGAATATGAATTCAGACGAATTTCGGGCAATTCGGACATTCGGGTACTTCCGAATGTCCGAATAGCCGAAGTACCAAAGTCCCGAAGTTCCGAAATTACCGAATTTCCAAAGTGTTGAAGTACAGTATTGTCTAAGTACTATTATACTTACCCAGTGAAAGAAGGAGAATGTTACATTGTATACAATTTTAAATAAAAAGTATACAAACATAGCCAGGATTCAGCTGTAAGCATTTGCAACACTTACAACAATCAAGTAACATACATTCATATAAAATGAATATAAATATAAGTTACTTAGCCAGTCAATGTAATGACAGGAATGAATAAGTAGATAACCCCTAATTCCTATGGTATTAGGGAGCTATCTAATAAAAGGCTGAAAGACCTAAATTGGTCCTTCAGCCAAATTTACTGATACTAAGTAAAGAATACTTAGTATTAGTAAATTATGCCCCTACTCGCGGCATGTCTATTAAACAGTGAGCAGCCTGTAAAAATAAAAAAACACCCCCCCCCCCTCCCAAGCCCCCACCCGTTCCGCGCGAGTCGGGGTTTCTAACTTGAAGGGGGGACCTATTGCCCCCCCCCCGGCTCCTATCCTGAACGGCAGGTGGGGGCCCTAAAGCAAAATAAGGGGGGGGACTTATTGTCCTCCCCCTGGCCCCCAACCATGAGCGGTGGGTGGGGGCCCTAAATTAGAATGAGGGGGGGACCTAATGTGGGACGGTGGTGGTGAGGCTGGTGGGGGGGTGGGAAGGCTGAGGGTGGTGGTGAGGCTGGTGGGGGAGTGGGAAGGCTGAGGTTGGTGAGGCTGGTGGGGGAGGCTGAGGGTGGTGGTGAGGCTGGTGGGGTGGTGGGAAGGCTGAGGGTGGTGGTGAGGCTGGTGGGGTGGTGAAGGCTGAGGGTGGTGGTGAGGCAGGGTGGTGGTGAGGCTGGTGGGGTGGTGGGAAGGCTGAGGGTGGTGGTGAGGCTGGTGGGGTAATGGGAAGGCTGAGGGTGGTGGTGAGGCTGGTGGGGGATGGGAAGGGTGGTGAGGCTGGTGGGGATGGGAAGGGTGGTGGTGAGGCTGGTGGGGGGGTGGGAAGGCTGGTGGTGAGGCTGGTGGAGGGGTGGGAAGGGAGGTGGTGGTGAGGGTGGTGGTGAGGGAGTTGGGGTGGTGGTGAGGCTGAGGGTGGTGGGGTGGTGAAGCTGAGGGTGGTGGGAGGGAGTTGGGGTGGTGGTGAGGCTGGTGGGGAGGCTGAGGGTGGTGGTGAGACTGGTGGGGTGGGGGCTGAGGGTGGTGGTGAGGCTGGTGGGGGTGGGAAGGCTGAGGGTGGTGAGGCTGGTGGGGAGGCTGGTGGTAAGGGTTGGTGGGGAGGCTGAGGGTGGTGGTGAGGGAGTTGGGGTGGTGAGGGGGGTGAGAGAGCCTACCTTCTCTTCCCTGGGCTCCCTGGTGGTCCGGTGGCCGTTATATAATTGCACAAGAAGCCGAAAACTACTTATGGCTACTTAGGGTACCCTAACAGTCAGACCAATCTAAAGATAAGTTCTGTAGAGCATGTGGTTGTTGTAAGAAAAGAGGTAGTATCGTAAAGCCAGTCACTTACGTGGTGACTTGAAAAATGTAAATTCAAAAGAATGAACCCCCTTCCTCAGCCCGGCGGGAGTTTGTTGTCGTGGCACTATAGTGGTCCTTTAAACTATTAACGTTTTGCTCTCTATTTATAGGCCTACCCGAATGTCAGTTTCGGCACACTACAACCGACTTGTGCACCACTAACATAACTCGGCTTCTTGTCCCCGACCACAAATATATATATATAGTCATCAGACCAGAATAGCATTTTAGAATTTGATCTGTTAGTTTCCAAGGACAGTTTTATGGAGTATGCATAAAAAGAACAAAAACAAAATTAGAATACGATATGAAATTGAATATCACGTGAGTATTTAAATCAGAATTAATCATCAATACTTATATTATATATAAAAATATATCTGTATTTATATTTTGTTATAAAACTGTAAGAAGTTTAAAACAAAATGTTAAGGAGAAAAAAATAAGTAAATGCTCTCAAGCAGTTACATCCTCAGAATTGATGAGTCTGTGCATTCTATAGCGCCAACAATCGGAATCGTTTGATTTTAATCCCAGAAAATGTAAAATGTAAAAGTGATGAAAGATATTACATATATTTATTCAGACAAAAAATGCTACAGCCAAAATGAATTCATATAAAAATGAAGGATATATACGCCTGCAGTGTTTGACAATATACATAATTTAAAATTGCATTTTATGAAACAAGTATCCCAAATCTCGTGGATGTGCCTATTTTTTTTTTTTTAACAATTTCACTCAGTAAAGTTTTCTATATACTTCTGCAGGTTTTTTTTTTTGTCCCAAAATGATAGATTTAGTCTAAATGAAGGAGAATATATATTTTCAAACACAGAAAACTGTCGTAATAAATGCAAACAATAAACTACATTTCACCAACAGATATAACAAGTTCCAAAGGCATTCTGTCCAAAGAGACATTTTTAGTTTGCAAACATTTTTCTATTCTATGCCCCTTCCTAAATATTCTCTATTCAGATCTATGTGTTACTCAATACTCACCTTAGTGCTTGCTGCTGGCACCTGCCTGCTCTCTCTGTGTTACTATAAACAGGTTTGCTGTATCCTAACCGCTTTGTAAACTATAAGTATTTATGATGCACACACCCTGAAATACAGGATGAAGAATAAGACATTAATTCAAATGTCAGCCTATGGAGTAATAATAGACATTGCACATAGTGATGCCGCATTGGGACAAAATTAAAGGGACAGTAAAGCCTGTGCTTTGCTTCTGGCACTTATGGGCAAATCTCAAGATGCTTCCAGTGTTCCAAACAGGACAGCTGCTGTCTGTAGGCACTATAACCATTTCACCTCTTTGAGTCCCCTGGCACTGTCGCTTCATTTAAAGGGACACTATAGTCACCTGAACAACTTTAGCTTAATGAAGCAGTTTTGGTGTATAGAACATGCCCCTGCAGCCTCACTGCTCAATCCTCTGCCATTTAGGAGTTAAATCCCTTTGTTTATGAACCCTAGTCACACCTCCCTGCATGTGACTTGCACAGCCTTCCATAAACACTTCCTGTAAAGAGAGCCCTATTTAGGCTTTCTTTATTGCAAGTTCTGTTTAATTAAGATTTTCTTATCCCCTGCTATGTTAATAGCTTGCTAGACCCTGCAAGAGCCTCCTGTATGTGATTAAAGTTCAATTTAGAGATTGAGATACAATTATTTAAGGTAAATTACATCTGTTTGAACGTGAAACCAGTTTTTTTTTCATGCAGGCTCTGTCAATCATAGCCAGGGGAGGTGTGGCTAGGGCTGCATAAACAGAAACAAAGTGATTTAACTCCTAAATGACAGTGAATTGAGCAGTGAAATTGCAGGGGAATGATCTATACACTAAAACTGCTTTATTTAGCTAAAGTAATTTAGGTGACTATAGTGTTCCTTTAATGTTAAACCATTTTAGATCAGTTTAACACTAAATAAGGGTCCCAGGCTACCCACAGTCCGGCTCTTCTGGAGGCGTGTCTAATGCAGAGATTATTTACTTCCTTGTAGTTAAACCCTTCTGTCAGAGCTCTGATAGGCTAAAAGTGGTCAGCTGACACTCTGAACCAATCACAGCTTCCCATTGATGCTCAGGCTAATTCTTCCTCATTTAGCATTACAATATAAAAACATGTATGGATGAAGTAAGGTTCATGCATTGGGTTCCTTGGCAAAGAAAAATGTGGACAGCAGAAACGATGTGGGATATGGTTTGTATTCAGACTCAATTCTTTAATGTAATTATTGTTGGAATTATATTGGTAGTTGGGTTGTTCTTTTCATATTAGTGAACTGTCTTACTACTAGTATGAAAATCGACTTGGCTTTGTTTTAATTTGTCTAATAAAATATTTCCTTTTTAATAAGCTTGACTGGTCTGCATCTTCACATACTTATGACGGGGTTATAATTTGCGTTCTTAGTGTACTGTTGGAATAGCACTAGTTTTGTTCATTAGTTTATACAAACGATACTACAAACTATAATCAAATTTTTTTTTTGTAAATTAAATCTGAACGAAAAAAAAAAAGCTGATCTGAAAAAATTATCAAATTCAATTACAGTTACAACTTGGCCATTTGTGCCCGCTTTTTCCCAGATTTGATTTATGGAAGTACACCCTACAAGGATGCAGAATGACATCTCCGGGATCGAAAACATGCATAAGGTGCAACAGGGCTTTCATTGTCGGGCAGACATGGGCAATTTTGTGCTGCAAAATGCATGAATCACCTGAATTGAATGGATGTGTATACAATGCCAGGCTAAATAGAAAACCAAGCTGCGTGAATACCTGGCACGGTTTACATTTACTAAACTTCATAACCATCAGTTTGCCTGAATGTAAATCATTGGGGTTATTGATCCAGCAAACAATTATAAAGAACACGGAGGCTGTTGTTGATAGAAACTGTGTAAATAATGACAAAGAAAAACTACAAAGAGGTCACGTTGCTACAGCAGTTCAAACACAAGTCAGTAAAAGGGATAGAACTCTAGCACCGTATCTGACCAAATTGACTACTCCAAGTCATTGCATTAGAGAAGAACAGGACTTCTCTATCAGGATTTATATTACATGGCTAAAAGTATGTAGACACCTGACCATCACATCTACAAGAGCTTGTTGGACATCCCTTTCCAGAAACATTGGCATTAAAATTAAGTTGTTCCCGGTTTGCGGTTATAACAGGAATCACTTTTCTGGAAAAGCTTTCTCAAGATACTGGATTTTGTGCCAATTCTGTCAAATGAGCATTTTTCAGGTCCGACATCATGATTGGAACATCTGACTCACAATCAGCGTTCCAATTCTTTACAAATATGTTCAATGCAGCTTATGTCAAGGCTCTCTGGAGGCCACTATTTCCTCCCCACCAAATTCATGAAAACATGGACCTCACTTTGTGTGCTGTCAGCACAGGAACGGTCCTTTCCAAACTGTTGCCATAAAGTGGGAAGCACCAAATAGTCTAAAATATCCTATCCAGAAGATTCTTCACTGTTATAAGGGACCTAGCACAAACCCTGAAACACAACCTCAAATATTCTCTCTCTTCCACCAATCTTTAAATTAGGCATTCTGCATTCCACTTGTTAGCATTCTAGTAGCTATTTCCACACTACACTGGCAAGCTTAAGTGCTTATAGTGTATAACCATTGAATCCTCCTGCTTTATACAATAGCGGGTAACTTTATTCTTAGCTGATCTAAACAGTTACCAAAGTAACAAACATGGGCAGCCAAATGACAATTTAATATTGCAATCAGGAAGCTACACCCATTAAAGCAAAGATAAACTAGTTTTTATATTTACATTTAAAAACAGACAAAATGGTTTTTTTTTGGGGGGTGGGGGGGAGGGGTCTGAGTATCTTATGATTAAAGCAAAAACCACGAAGAAGCTACTTTAAATAGATTCTAATAAACAAAACCTACATTACTACCCAATTAACATCAATTGCGAATTATTCTCATCGACCACTAGAGTTGAATGACACCAAAGTTTGAAATCATCTCCCATCCATTTATCCTATCCCGTGGCAGAGAATTTCAGGAGATTTAGTTTAGCAGTTGAGGGTCTTGCATCTCCACCACGAGAAAATAAGAAAGGGTATCACCACATTTCAGTGATCGTGAATTTGTGGCTCATCCAATGGATTTCCAGTTCATAACGTTCTAGACTCCTAAATCCAATCTGCTATGAATAATGCAAGGGATAACACACAATTCCATCATCCCATTTGAAGGTGATAAAAAGAAAAAGGAAATAAAACCTCACTCACCACATTGACTTATGGTCAGGATAGAGGTGCTGCTCCAGTGAGACCATATTTTCAGGAAGGCCTTATTAGTATTGTGGACAGCTGATTTTTCAAGGCCAAAATATGCCATACCTTGGCTCCAATTGATGAACAGCTAAATTGAAAACGCAAATGTCTAACTGGCCAATTTTGTAGCACTGCAGACAGTCTTAGAATTACTCACATTTTGATAACTAAAGCATTTGAGGCTTCCAATTCAGCAAGGCAGTGTCTAAGAACATCTCCAACTACCACCACAGCCTTTGAAGAAAAAATACCCTCCATCCACTGATGTATCAACTAACAGGCCACCACACAGGAAGGCAAAAACATTGCAATCCACAACCCCTAAAATAAATTGGGAGGTATGTAAGAACATAAGTGATGGGACCTGACAAGAGACAAACAATCTGGTCAGCGTTATAAATAAAAAAAAAAAAAGTCCCCCACAATGTTTTATAAAATATATATAAAAAATATGTTTTATAAAATGTAAAATTTGTCCTAATGATTCATCTCCATCAATTTGTCCTCCCATTTTTCCTTAAAAGTGTGTGAGGAGTTGGCATCTAAAATACTGCCACAGGGCCCGACAGCCATGCCTAACACATCTGAAGCGAACTACAGCAGAGCACAAACTTTATCACAGTACTTTTATAGATTATTACCCTATCAGCAATCCCAGCTACCTTTAAAGGGCTCATAGCACGATCAGTGGTCGCGTTCAGTGTCGGAGAGCTGCTGGTTTGCTTTGAGGTCTGGAGCATCCAGAGGAGCGGAAGATCTCTGCTCCCTAGCCAAGCTGCTGGTTGGTGCCCCCACCTCCCCTAGACTGGTGGGGTTGATATCAGTCTACACCTTGGCAGCTGCCCCGCTATACTGAGAATGTGCGGCACTAATGCTAGAAACAGGAAAAAGCTAGAGCGTCCCATATAACATGGCAGACATCGTATGCTCCTCCGACCCCTGCGGAGAGAATTCTAATATAGAATCAAAAGTGAACAGACACTACGAGTCCTTTTGGGCAAAGCTGACTGCTCGAAAGCAAACCGCAGCTCCAAGTGACCCGACCAATAACTTGCCTCAGAGACCACTGTCTAAGGTTTAAAATGAAGGCACCTAGTTTATTATACTGTTCCCCTTATTTTGGAGATTTAATTCCCCTCCTCATGTTCACGATTCTCCTTATGTGGGGCACGACTACGTAAGGAGCCTCCTGGGGGTTTCACTTATTGTTGTTATATTTATATAGCTCCAACAAATTCCATAGCACTTTACAATTGTTCTAGCATTGGTAATCTTGTTAAAATAATTATTGAACAGCTAAAAAAAAATTATCACCATAAGTCTATTTACATGGCTTACTGTCAAATATATAAGGATTTATCATACAACAAGCAAGCATATAATTGCCTGGATTATTGCTTTAGTGAATTTGACATGGTTTATCTTTATATGTGAAATGGTGTGGGAGGCTATGGTCCCAAGCGTGCCAGGAAATCAAAGCAGTTTTCCAGGCACTATAGGGTTAATAGGTCCTCCCCCCTTCCCAATATGCCTGGCAATGGCTGCACACGCACTATCAGACCTCCCATAGGTCAGATAATGGACCAAAAGTCTGCTTGGATTCTGTCTGGTAGACAGCCAGAGGGCAGACTTAGAGCAGCAATGTAAACATTGTAGTTCTTTGGAAATGCAATGTTTTACATTGCAGCACTATGTGCAAAAGGGATACAGCACAAAGACCACTTCAATGAGCTGAAGTGGTCTGGCTGCATACAGTGTCCCTTTAACAAATATACATTTAGCATTTTTTTTTATCCTGCACAAAAAAAAAAAAAAAAGAGGGATTGGCATGCAGTATGTCATCAAGTACCATGTTAGGGACAGAGAGAGAGTAGTGGTGGACCTAAACATATAATCTTGGGAGAAGAATCATCTTTAT